ATACTATAGCCTATATTTACTAATACTTATAAGACCTAATATTAGACTAACCAGGATAGAACTAACTAATATTAGACTAATAGCACTCTAGGACTATATTACTCTAGGACTAATAGTAACCTTATATTACATTACTTTTACTAAGAAACTATAAGTATATATATATATTTATTTAGTATTAGATAGAACTTAGCTTATTAGCTATTAATAATACTTCTTTATATTAATTAAGCCTAATACGTATTAAATCTACTATTAAAAGATATAATACTTTAATAATACTTAGTATATGCCTTATGCAATCTGCTAATAATAAACCCCGCAATCTGCTAATAATAAACCCAAGCACGGCTTAGTTTAACACAGTTAGACCCAACCGTCACATTCACAGTACCTCCTCTCGCTTCGCTAAAACGCCGTGAGCCAAGGCGGCTAAATAAGTCTATTGTGACTGCGGTTGCCTTGTTTACTGGCAGGGTCTATATATAATATAGTTATTTGCACTAAAATTAGTTATCCTTTTTCTCGAAGTTTAGCCTCTGGTTCCACTGTCCTAATGATTTATTTGTCTACGTTGGCGTCCTGACGACACAAGATCTACAGATATCCCGAGGTTGAGGATATATATCTCTGCATGGAGCATAAGCCAATCAGTGTCCAGTTATGTTATTCATAGCTAAAACTTATCGCTGGGAGCCTTTATCAGGAGACGGAACTTGGCATCAGTGTCCTTATCCGTCGCTATAAATCTGATATATGACGTAGACGGAGAGATAAGACCAAGTTTCAGCTATCTATAACCGATGGCTCATTTAGGAATGTGGCAGCTGAAGGAACATGCTCCTGCACGGCGCGAAAACAATGCATAAGTACGATAGGCCCTTTAAGCACTGAGAACCCTTGTACGCCACAGTGTTCACACTGCCTCCATTTTGCCGATTTTAGCTAGCTGTAAGCCTGAAGGGACGTCACAAGTGGAGATGCTGCAAGGGTATCTTGATTTGTACGGCGCCGTTGCCCTGTATTTTTATCCCGCACTGGCCTCGGCTCCTACAGTGGCCAATCTACGGCTAGGGAACTTTTGGACGAGGCACGGCCCGTGCATTAGTGTTGGCGCGTCGGCTTGTCGGCCATGCAGTAAGCAGTGAGCCGTTCTTGGTGAGGCAATCATAACGACTGATCTTGTATCTGGAGTGGAAGCCGTAAGCAGTTCAGCTGGGTTCAAATTGAGAGTAAAGTCGCTGACAGAAAGAGGCGCCTTACCAATCAGTCTAGGTCGACGAACTGCGTACCTACAAATTGACGACTAACATACCTTGCCGATGTCAACATGTCAGTTTTTGGATCACAGTCAGGTCTTTCCGAACAGACACTGTCGGACGCGGATGACAGCAATGTTCCACTGCAGAATCTGGCGGACACTATAGATAGACGAAAGACACAGAATCGCATCGCCCAGAGAAAGCATAGTCAGTCACTTCCAACATTTCCATATCAACCTTGCAGCATCGCTCTCATCGGGCCATGTTCTCATCCGCCTGCAAAAGGGTAGAATCATTAAATGATAAAGCACAGGACAAAAACTCAAGAAGCGCATCGAAGACCTGGAGCTGCAACTAGAATATGCAAACTTTAACTCCCGATCCGTCGTTCCAAAAACGACACCTCACCCTATACCAGTGTCTGCACCTTCGGATCTGAATTCGACCGAGGAAAACATGCTACCCCATTTTGACCACATAGAGAATCTCTTTACAAAGTCCAATGGTCACCTGGGAAGCTTTTGGAATGCCCAGGAACACAGCGCATTGTCTGAGGGTTCGCTTTCACTCGGTCACATCACAACGCCCTTTTCCGCCGCAGGCATGGCACCGTTGCAAACTCAGGACCTGACCGGCGATCATGCCTCGAATAGAGATTTTACGTACACCTCAGCCCGCCGTGGCTTAGAGCCATCGACAGAATCTCTTTTGATGACACCAACTACCGAAATTAACGAGGTTCTCGCCGTACCTGATGCGAGTCGCAGGCCTTCATTGCACCCGCTGAGTGACGCGCCAGAACTAAATGACCTATCTGCCCCCCCTTGTTCATTGACCATGGAGCGCAAGATCGCCTACATTGTCGATTGCGCTAAGTCGCTCGGGTTTCGCGACTTCGACTCGGTCGTAAAGGCTTACTACACAAGCTCATTTGAAGTCATGTCCCGAGCCCATGATATGCAGAGAGTTAGTAGGATTCGTGGCCTCGATTCCGTTCTTAGGACCATTAATGCCAGCGCCGAAACCTGGCCGCATCATGAGAGCCAAATCTATCAAGCCGAGGTTTTCAAAGCCGCGGAGCATCTTTACAGCGTCGAATTCCAGCGAGCCATTGACAGCGGAGCGCTGATGGTACTAGAACAGCATCAGCGACTGAAGGAGGATGAAATGAATTGGCCAGGGGTTAGAATTACGTCTCATAAGAGCGAACTCTTATCACAGGTGAGTCCGCGCTTTTATTCCAGAGTCCAAACAGGCACAGCTAATGAAATTGGTCATTGGAATTAGCTTCCAAACCTTTGGACATTCCTATTGGAGCTCTCAGGATGCAACCCTCCAAGATCCTTTACCGCGCTCCTACATTACTATTTATCCCATCAGGGAGACGTAGCTTCTGAACAAAGCATTTAGAAAACCCAGTATCCGAGGGTGGAAACGATATATTTTATGTTTGTCTATACGTCTTGTAAGAAAGACTGCTAGTGGCGCCAAATATCTGTGAGATATATCAAGAGGTCACGCGAGCAAAATGAAAACCCTCGAGTTCACACAAATCATAGGTTACAATTAGTTAATATAACTTAAGGAGATTCGTATTTATGTTTAAAGTTCAAGAAAGTTCAGACCAGGACTATCTTGATTTGCGTGCTTCTGAAGCCACCAGTACCTCACTCCTCCCCACCTCGCAGTATGACAGCAGAACAACAGAGTGTAGCTACCATCTTAAACCTTCATTACATCTCCATTAGCAAGACGTGCGGCACAGATACCGTGGCGAGCAGTCATTCCCTCGTCGGCAACCTTGGCAGCGCAAATGCCGTGGTGAGCCTTGACACCGCCTCCCATTGACTTGGCCGCACAGATACCGTGGTACGCCTTGATACCCTCAGCAGCCTTTGCAGCGCAGATACCATGACGAGCTGTCATGCCGTCTTCAGCCGCTTTGGCGGCGCAAATACCGTGTCGAGCGTTGATACCATCCTTGGAGGCCTTAGCAGCACAAATTCCGTGGCGTGCTGTGAAACCATCGTCGGCTTTTACCGCGCAGATGCCGTGACGAGCTTTCATACCGTCATCAGCCACTTTAGCAGCACAGATACCGTGACGAGAGGTAACTCCGTCAGTACTGGCCTTTGCGGCGCAAATGCCGTGACGGGCCTCGAAACCATTTTCAGCCTTAGCTGCACAGATACCGTGTAGAGCTTTGACACCATCGTTCATCTTAGCTGCACAAATACCATGGCGAGCGGTAACCCCCTCATCAGCAGCCTTTGCAGCACAGATTCCATGACGAGCTGTGACACCATCGTCAACCCCCATTGCAGCGCAGATGCCATGGTGGGCAACAATATCCTCGCCCTCCTTCTTGCTGAAAGTCCAGGCAGCTTGGAATGCGTCAAAACCCTGTGGTCCAATGACCTTGGAGCCGATAAGACCTGTAGAAGGAATAACGATGCTGCTGCGGCCGTAGGTCACTTCCATGGTCTCGTTATCAGGGTCGCCGGCCTCATACAGGCTCACGCCCAGAACTTCATCGAGGCCTGTCTCTTGCAGCACGCCGATGAGCTCCTTAACAAAAGCAGCTGGGAAGACTGGTCGATCGACGTTGGAGAGCTCACGCTGTGGCACGAACTTGAACTCTGTGGGCTTAAGCTCTCCATCGAAGACGCGCCAGGTGTGAGGGAGGACTGCGCCGCCAGTGATGACTTCGTCGTCACCTACAACCCAGGGTGAGGAGACTGGGCCGAGCTCGATGATCTTCTCGTTGGGGGCAACGTCATAGTGGCGGTGGAGGAGACCAACACCGAATACCTTGTCGACGCCGTGCTTCATGAAGACATCTCTGATGCAGGACTTCATGTGATCAAGGCCATTGAGTTCCTGGAGTCGCAGCGCGGCCACGTCGACGTCCGTCATGGCATCGACGGCGCGGTGGTCGTATGACGCGGGAGTGTAAGTCTGGACTGCTGCAGCTGCCATGTTGTAAGTAAGAATTGAGAAATAGTTGTGTGTCTGTATCAAGAAGAGAGAAAGTTAAGTGTTTGAATGTTGTTTGAGTTGCCAAGATGTTTGGTTCTTTCTTTCGTCTTTATAGTTATATCTATGCTGCCTCTTGACTCAACTATCAAAGTGTCCTCATATTGCATATTTTGTTAGATGAAAATCATTTCTAGACATGGTGGTACAAGCCGGATGATGCACAGTCATCTTACTCACTCACGCATCGTTTTACTCATGCCTTGTGTTTTGGACTGACGGGCGAGCATTTGGAAAGCCCATGCACAGGTCGGTCGTTGAAACAAGCCTTACTAAGATGACTACAGCGCTGAGATGGCGAGGAAATCATTTCTAGATCGGGGGTCAATCATTTCCAGATTTGGGCATGTATGTTATCTTTGCGGGGACAAGAGTTGCCACAACGATCTGCGTGATAAGCAACCGAGGTTACATTCTGCACCAAAGAGCAACCCTTCCCCGTGTACCAGAGCGGCTGGCCCATTTATTCGTTACGTCCAAGATTCTGAAGACGATGCCGGTCTCCGAGACTGTGCGAACTGGGCGCTCGATGATCCAACTTGTCGAGCCGAGCATGTCGACTTTGAAGCCCTGTTGGCTCAGTGGTAAAGCGTATCACTAGTAAATAGACACGACATGATAAGATCACTGGTTCGATTCCAGTACGGGGCAAATGGCATTGTTTTTGGTGAGGCCGACTTGGAACTACCTGACTACTTTTTTATGTATTGACTTGGCATATCCACCTAGGATATATGATTATTGTAGCTCCAAGAATTCACGTTCCAAACGATTTTGTACAATGCATTCTCGCAGCATGGCGAAGATCAACACTAAATTCAACGCTATGCTTCGGTTGAGCAAGACTCTGTAGACATGCCACTAACAAGTAGCACCGCAGCAAGAGTATAGAGAACGGAAGCAACAAAGAATGGCAGGCTCACAGCCATACCCCCAATGTCCAAGCCGACTGAAAATGACAGTCCAAGGAGTGGTGAGGCGCCAATAGTTGAGATACCCTCGAACACGGCGATTGCAGTGAATAAGAGTGACAGATGATCGGGATGTACCATGGTTGTTAGGAGAGATCGTAGCGCAGATGAAAAGCCATTGCCAAGCGTGTAGCCAAAGAAGGCTGACTATCGGTTAGTTTGTCCGAACATAGATAATGCTGTATCCGTACATACCAATTATAAACGCCGGAACAGCAGTGGCAATACCCATGCAGAGCGAACCAACGGCAAGGATGATGATTGACACTCGAGTCAGAGCGAGATTCGCAGCAGAAGATGTCTTCATTCTGCTGATGAGCCAGACATTGACTTGCGGTAGGACTCCAGCGAAGAGTAGAATCTGGGCGGCGGCTTGGATAGAGAGCAACAACGCCGTCTAGAACCTAAAATTAGTGATCGGGAGAGCATTATGGAGATGTTTGTCATCTTCCTGATCTGGAGAGGACGTACCTTGGCTAGTGGCCATCCAAATCTCACAGACATGTATTGCAAGATGAGTTCTAGCATGGGCCGAGCCATCTTTGCAACGACCAGTGCTAGCAGGCCCACCAGAAGACTTTTATGACTACCTAACGTACGAGCGCCATGACGAACATCGTGTGAAAGGTGTGTTAGAGCCTGCAGAACCTTGTTCTTTGAAGGGTTTTCATCGTTCATGGTTTCCTCACATACGTCATTGGCTGATGGGGCTTCCTCTCCCTCCGTGACCTCTATGTCACTTGGGGCACTATCTGAGGACTTTGTGTTGGGGATAAATCCGAGCACCACAAACGCCAGAGCTTCAAGTGGAACGGCTGTGAGGAAAGCAAAATGCGGCCCCAGTGCCTTCATGAGAATTGCACCAAGTGGTGGCGCAATTAGCTCAGTGATGAGAAGGACAACCTGCACCCAGAAGAAAGCCCTTGTTCTATAAAAGTTTGATCAGTATCCAGTTTACAGTAATCAAAAGTGTCGTCCTTGTGATAGTGTACATACCTTGATGCTTCCGGAATTGCAGCAGCAATGATGGCCATGATCATAGGACTGATAACAGTAGAACCTCCTCCCAGTACCAAGAAAGCCGGTGCAGCATAGACAGCACGGACAGGAAATACTTGGTGAAAATAAAGTACACTAAAAGCCCAGATGTCTCTGAGGACAAAGCCCAGTAGACTGAGACCTGTTACCAACCGGCGGCCCTTACTATCGGCCAGGACACCATAGGGGATAGCGAGTATGAGACCAGGGATACCCTCAATCATGCCGAGAATACCTCTCATCTTTGCCAGAGCACTTTGAATTTCATGGACCTTGCAAAGATGCTCAGGAATGGAGCCATCGTGGCCGATGACACTTGGGTCAGTGGCAGCGTAGTAATCGCGGCAGAGACCAAGCTCGAGCATACGCAGCTTGGGGACTTCGCTTAGAAAGTTGGGGACGTCGACAAGCAGGATGAACAGACTGCAGATGTAGAGGGCTGACCACTGGGAAAAGTGACACTGCCATGCCGTCCGCCACTGAATGACCCTGTCCTTTGCGGGAGGGCTTCTAGTTAGGGCGCTACCATTGAGGTCGGGCTGTAGGAGCGGTGTCGATTCGGAGACACTGTGCTGAACGTTGTCCATGGCGCAGGCTAGTCACAGGAATTCTCTTTCATGCAGAACACGTCGATAGCAATTGAAATACGATAGATGCTGGCTGCGTCGGGAGAACAGTGTTTGTTCAATGTTAGCTAGGCTGATTATCCGCACGCAAAACAACAGCTGAGCGCGTTTTCGCCAAAGATGGGGCCCAACAGGAGTCGAGGTGCTGAAGCGGCGTTGGGAAGAGAAAAGAACCGCGTAATGACGTAGTATTCTCGTATCGCTGCAATGCAATGCAAAAGCACAGTAATCTGAGTCAAAGCAAAGTCGTGTTGGTCCTTCAGGTTGTTTGTCGCAGGCGGAGAGATTTGGCGATCCCTACTATTATAGGAGTGTTAGGGACTTTTGGTAGGATTCGGTGGCGTGTTTGCGCTGTCTTATCTGCCGCAGCAAGGAAGTGCAGCACAGTGTGAGTGTGATACAGGCGAGCGGGGAAAACAGGGCACGGTAGGTTTAGACAGGCATTCAACCAACATGCAGATCCCCATTCAGCTGTGCCGCACTATGCATCATGCAGAGTCATTAGATAAACAATACACCCGTGATAACCTCGGATTTCCAGGGCAACAATCCTTTCTTACTTCCCCGGCAGACCTGAGGTATCAGTATCAGCATCAGCTCAGTGGTACTGCAGTCACCACTGACACCAACGGACCATGTCGTCTGTTAGCGGCTGTCTCAACGATGACTCGCTGGGGCCTGCTGTGCGTGGCTGTAGAGGCAACTTTGACTTTACCGTTGCATTTGAAGATGTCGTCTTTGTGATTGTACCAGCTGCTGCCTTCATCTGTCTTGGCTTCCCTCGTATTTTGACACTCTGTCGCCGCCGTCGCCCAATTGTCGGCCCTTCGGCAGTTCAGTGGACGAAGCTGGTATGTACCGCCACTTTGGTCAATCCATATCGTATCTGTCACTAACGGAGGGTTTTTTTCGTCGTGGTGTAGGCTCTTTCAATAGGCTTGACTATCTTGCAGCTTGTCCTCATCATTCTGGGACAAAACTCTTCTCAGTTCACTTCAGGACGTTCTTTGGCTACTGCCTCCCTTGCTTTCATTGCAGCCCTGCTTCTTATCGCGCTGTCATGGATTGAGCATTCGAGGGCCCCGCGACCTTCAACAGCCATCGCTGCCTACCTCTCCGTCACGCTATTATTTGATGTTGCTCGGACACGGACAGCCTGGCTTCTAACTCCATTGGGGCTGGACCAGAAATATGCTTCTGTATTGACAACCGCCACTATCCTCAAAGCTCTCATGATTTACCTGGAATCTCAACAGAAAGAGAAATGGCTGGGCTGGGACATGAAGCAGCATAGCCCTGAGGAGACGAGTGGTATTTGGAATCTTGGCGTCTTCTTTTGGCTGAACACGTTGTTCATGAAAGGCTATCGTGTTATCCTGACGCTGGAGAGTCTGTACCCCCTCGACAGAGCACTTGAAGCTGAGACACACCACCATCTTGTTAAGAGAGTTCGGAATAATCCATACAAGACTCAAAAGTATGGTCTAGCACGTTTACTGCTGCAGATCCTAGCTATCCACTTATTACCACCCATCATTCCCCGTGCAGCGCTCCTCGCTGCCAGCATGTGCCAACCATTTCTCATCCACGCCCTTCTGCACTACCTAGAAAACGATAACCAAAATAAGAGTCATGGATATGGACTCATTGGCGCGACAGCTCTGACTTACGGCGCCATTGCGTTCTCAACTGCATTATACTGGTACTTCCAGGAGCGTTTCGTCATCATGGTTCGAGGCATTCTTGTGCTCGCCGTGTATGAAAAGACCACAGAGCTTAAAATGCCCACGGAAGGCGATTCCGGCGCCCTCACGTTGATGAGCACCGACGTGGAGCGTATCACAAGAGGCATCCTCGACCTCCATGAATACTGGGCCAACACAATCCAGATTGCTCTTTCTTGCTGGCTACTCCAGCGAGAGCTCGGCGCTGCATTCGCTGCCTCCCTTGGTGTAGTTGCAATCTCAACTCTCACAGCGTTCGGGATAGGCAAACTCCTTGGGCCACGTCAAAAGGCGTGGATGGAAGCCATCGAGACGAGAGTTAATGTCACTGCGGCTGCTATTGCACAGATGAAGCTGGTAAAGATGTCTGGCATGACAAAGCCAATCGAATCTTGTGTGCAGAGACTGCGTGTAAGAGAGATTGAGGTCGGTGGCCAATGGCGTATGCTTCTTGCTGCAGCGGCCACAGTCTCGCAGGTTCCCATGACCTTATCTCCCGTTATCACTTTTGCGGTGGCTACCAAAACGCTCAACACGACATCCATCTTTGTTTCCATCTCCTACCTTACCCTTCTCGCGTCGCCTCTTATGATAATCTTTCAGAAGATCCCTCAGTTCCTTGGAGCTCTAACATGCCTTCAACGGGTCCAGACGTATCTGGAACGCGACTCAAGGTTTGAGTATCGTCATCTCGATCATGGTATGATGTCAACCACGTGTATGACTCCGTCTCCTTCTCCACCTTCTGTCTCGGAAACTAGCGGAAGCTGCATCGAGATGGAGACTCATCCAGGGAAAGGCACTCCTCACATCGTGATCAAGGACGGCAGCTTCAGCTACCACGAGAGCGTTACTGTTCTCACACATGTCAACATAAGCATTCCAACATCACGTCTCACAGCTGTTGTTGGTCCTGTTGCCAGTGGAAAATCCACTCTATGCAAAGCCATTCTCGGCGAAGTCCCGTTTGCGACTGGATCCACGACTATACTCCGTTCCAGAGTCATTGGCTACTGTGATCAACAGCCATTTCTGACAAATACCTCCATCAGAGACAACATCATTGGGGATAGCCACTTTGACGATAAGCTCTACACTTCCGTTATAAATGCTGCCATGCTCGACCACGACATCGTAAACCTCCCTCAGGGCGATAGCACAATGGTTGGAAGTAGTGGTATTGCCTTGAGCGGCGGACAGCGGCAACGAGTGGCGATTGCAAGGGCCCTATACCTTGTAGATACCAAACTCTTGATCTTTGATGATGTACTCAGCGGTCTGGATGCCAGAACAACTGATCATATTTTTCGACATGTCTTTGGACGAGATGGAATGCTCCGTCGTCGTGGCGCCACTGTTATTATGTGCACACACAACCTTCGACACTCTCAAGCTGCGGACCATATCATAACAGTCAGCAGTAAAGGAGAAGTGTCTGAAGAGAAACCCACGGCCGACACAAATGTGCTTCCAAACACTGATCCAGGTTCCGATTCAGAGTCAACTTCGACTGAGGCGCTTGAAAGTGCACAAGAGCCAGCACCTCCCTACTCACTACCAGCTGGAGCAATGACAGTGGAAGAAGCAGCGGCCCGAAAACTGGGTGACGGGAGCGTCTTTGGCTATTACATACGTACCATCGGCTTGATTCCAGTTGTCGCCTTCGCTTTCGCTTGCGTATGCAATGGCTTCCTCAACAACTTCCCACGCATATGGCTCACTTTCTGGGCTGACGATGCGGCTCGGCCACAGAGAGGCATGGCACAAATACACTCTCAGGCCTACTACATCGGTATCTATGGAATGCTCCAGGTACTAGCCTTGATATCCTTCATGGCTGCTGTGGTGCTGGTTCTGGGCCCTTTCATCCGTCTCAGTGGCTCGGTGCTGCACCAGAGGGCGTTGGAGACTGTCATCAACGCACCGTTGCAACTGCTGACGACAACGGACACTGGCACCATCACCAACTACTTTTCCCAAGATATAACCATCATTGATAATGAGCTCCCTATGGCTGTAGCCAACGTGGTGCTGGATGTCTTTGGCGTTATTGGAATGGGTGTCCTTATAGCGTCGTCATCACCGTGGCTAGGACTTACTTACCCAGCTATGATACTAATCTTATGGTTGATACAACGGTTCTACCTCCGAACGTCTCGGCAGCTTCGACTACTAGACCTCGAGGCCAAGAGTCCGTTATACACACATTTTCTAGATACGTCGAGAGGCATCGCCACCATTCGTGCGTTAGGCTGGACGGGAGAAAGCATCAAGCATAATCACCGATTGCTGGACCAGTCCCAGAGACCGATGTATCTACTTTCAATGGTACAGCGCTGGCTATACCTGACCTTAAACGCGGTCGTTGCTGTCACGGCAACGGCTCTCGTAGGTTTGATAACTCAGCTTCGGTCTAGTTCAAGTCTTTCCGGTGCGTCTCTCGTCACGCTGATGATGTTGAGTCAGTCGTTGAGCGATATTGTGCGGTTCTACGCTGCGCTGGAGACCTCTATTGGAGCTGTAGCTCGGCTCCGGAATTTTACTACCAAGACTGGGACGGAAAGTAGTTTGCATGGTGATATAAGACTTGATCAGCAGTGGCCATCGAAAGGAGCCATCGAAGTCCGAGGAGTTTGGGCGACATACAAGTAAGTTTCTGGCCGAAGCTCTCTGAGAAAGCATTGGTAACTCTGGCTCACAATATAGATCCAGTGGTGGTGCTGAGGAATACGCCCTGCAAGGAATCGACGTCTCGATCCGAGCAGGTGAGAGGATAGCCTTGTGCGGTCGTACAGGAAGGTTTGTGTCTCAACACCGCACAGAGTTCCAAGACACTCTTGCTGACCTAAGGGCATGGCAGCGGAAAGTCTTCTCTCATTCTCCTCCTTCTCGCTCTGTTAGAACCTGTGCAAAAGGATAATGTCGAGTACATGCTGTCCATTGACGGTGTCCCTCTGTTGTCTATAAGTCCTCAGACGCTACGAGAAAGAATAATAACCGTCCCTCAGGACCCAGTATTCTTATCAATGGGCAGTACGGTTATGGAAAATCTAGATCCGCTTGGGTTAGCGACGACAGAGCAGTGTCGCGAAGTTCTGCAAGCAACTGGCCTCTGGAACATGGTCGACTCACAGGGTGGGCTCGGCAGTGTTCTTTCAGAATCTTCATTGAGTCAAGGGCAAAGGCAGGTCTTTAACATTGCTCGAGCAGTACTTAAGCGGAGAACATCGAGTAGTTGTGTACTCCTGCTGGATGAGTTTACCAGCTCGGTCGATGCTGACACCGAGCGAAACATGCTTGCAATAATTGAGAGGGAGTTTGCTGGTTGCACTATAGTTATGGTTGCCCATCGACTGCACATTGTGTCTGAGTTTTGCGACAGAGTCCTTGTCTTGGATCGCGGAAGAATTGTAGAGGATGGCGACCCTCGGGCGCTGTCAAGAGTCGATGAATCGTGGTTTGCAAGTCTCATGGCAGCTGGAGGATGAAGGGGGATTCAAGATAGGTCGGTCACTGAATAAAGACCATAAGACCCATCTTTGTTCTGATAATAGCACGAGGGGGATCCTCCCTTCGGCAGTTTGTTCCGCGCGCTACAGAACTAATGCTGATATGCACCGTATGTTTCCGAATTGAGAAGCTGATCATCTTTTGTGTAGAGTGTCTGTGCAAACGTACGCGTCGTCAATTTACCTGGCCTTGCTCCTAAGCCTCTTCCTTTTACCGGTACGAGATTGATCGAATGTCATTCACTATGCGCCATACCGAGCTAGGCAGGTCCGGAGGTTCTTGCTTATCAAGTCCATCTGCCGGCGCTATGACGCAGCTAGTACTCACTAGTCAAACATTGGTCCCAGGACCGTTCTGATGTCGTCGTGACTAACTAATTCCATTGATATGAAGCTGGAGGAGAGGATTCATGGCCCATATGTAGTCCGCATTATTACAGATTCATAATATATAAATTGATAAAGGAACGCCAACGATTAAGCCATATCTCCATACTTCCGAGCTCCCAAGAAACCATTGAACGAGCAAAGCATAAATGTCCCCTTTCCGCAGTTTAATCATCGCCTCCTATGTCTTCTCTCGCCGTCCAGTATACGGAAAGAAGCTTCATTCGGCAATTCGAATGTTTGTGATATCCGTAAAGTCCTTGATGTCATCAAAGACATGTTCAATGGGAGTGACATACCCATAGCCATCGTCGTAGGTGTCGTTATGTTTGTGTCCTCTAAACAGCAAGGCAACAATCCCACCGTCATTGTCGAAGATTACTGAGCCTGAGTCTCCGTGGGCACACAGCTTGGTGATAGGGTTGATATCCTCCCTTGGCCCATAGACGAACTCATCAGTCACAAGACGCGCCTCCCCAAGATAGGCGTCATGTTCTATGGTGACCCTCTGCTTCTCCCACCACCATTTTCCAGTTGTTGCTCCAGTAGTAGTTCCCATTTTGAAGATATGACCGAGTTCCCATGGGCCCTCTGCTGACTTCCCTTCGCTTCTTGGCTGTATGGGAGTCCCCAATGCATACGGGGCCGCCGTTGGGTCTTCGTACTTCGATAGCCAGACTTTTAATTCGGGGAGATCGTTAGACCAACGTCGAGATGGGTCAAGCTCAATCAACGCCCAATCCATCCTCCTGCTACCAACCTGGCGTCTGAAGCCTGAAGAAGCAATTAAATTGCCGAGAACCTGTTTGTCCTGCTTGATGAAAGCTTCTTTTGCTTTCTTTTCGGTCTCCATACTAGCGATTTGAGCTTTAAGCTCACGGATCGACTCTCTTATGGCCTTTTTATGCTTGGAAGCGCGAAGTTCTTCTTCCTTCAGGCTGAGTCTATTGCGGAACCCGTCAATGTCTTCATCGATGACACCCATAGTGAAATTATGCTTGGCTCGGGATGGGCTTTCGAAACTGGCAACCTCATGACTGAGCTTTGAAGATGCGTTGTAGCCATCGAAGTCAACTTTCCGAAGGTCGCTGCCCTCTGGTGGCGGTAGTTTCTGAATCTCGCCATCGGGTCCCGTAAGGAAGGCAAATCCATCAAAAGCAGCTCTGACAACATGGTGATTTGTAAGGGCACAGGTACGCCATTGAGGATCAGACTTTCTCTTGATCTGAATAAAACAACCTAGCGTCCCAAAGCCAGAATTATGCTTCTGATCACCTTCCAGGATATAGCGCGAAGGGCTGAAGTCATCGCCAATCTGTACTGTCTTGTTGTAGTCACCCTTGATGCGTTTGTTTGCGGCTTCGCCCTTGGCTCTCTTGCTTGGATCTAAGGGTAACGGTTCGTAAGTACTTAGCCAGTTCAGATTATGTTCGATGTGAATCTGGACATGCTCCCATCCTCCTAGGTGATCAAGGACGTCCTTGACGGCCGAAACAACGCCATACCAACTTGTCTCATCTGAGCGGTGGTCCATTGAGATGTAGACTGTTGCTGGGTTCGCATTGATGAGGGGATTGACCCCAAACTTCTGAAGGGCGAGGCATGTTAGGTAACCTCTTGTTGTTGGGAGGGATTGAAGTCGTTCGTATATGAGGTCGCGGACAGTATCCCACGCCCTAGACAGAGCAGGCTCGTTGACTCGACCATAGTACTTGGTCTTGATAAGATCCCGTGAAACAATCTCAACGTAGATCGGAGACATCATCATTCGGGAAAACTTGCCTAAGTAGGTGGCCATGTGTTGAGCTGCGCGAGTAAAAGAGTCGCTCTTCTCGGTTGACCAGTCGGCAAGCATAATAACGGTCGGCCTAGCACTTGTTGAGCCAGGCTTCCCTCTCATTTCGAGTCTGACCTCATTCGCAATACGTCCACTGCTATCTCTGCATAACAAATGGAAGTCCTTGAGGGTACAAAGGCCTTCCTCTTCAATATCACCTTTCAGGTCATACAAACCGAGGGGCAGTGGCTGGGCTAAAGTCCTGCAAGGTAAGGCTTCGAGTACAGGATATGAAACCCGATGCCAGCCAACGCTGACATGGGGAATAGGTGCTGGATTCATCGCAAGGGCTTCGCTTCAGAACTGGCGTGGGACGAAGATGTGGTGATGAGCTGGCCCGATTGAGGGCTAAAAAAGAAGTGTGATGAAAGCAATACGAAACAAAAGCTGGCAATCGTGCGACACCAAATATGGAAGTCTCGTAAAGAGGCGATGTGTGGTGGTGGAGTTGCTAGTGATTGCAGTTTGTGAACTGTGTGATTTGGGAGGAATCAAATGATGATGAAGTGAGGTTGAGAGGTTGAAGAATTTGTGTGCAGCCCGAGACATAATCACGAACAAAAGTCTAAGGGGCGCCGGTGACCACGTGACTCCCAACCAGTGACCAAGTTAACTAAGTCCTGTCTGCTGATTTACGCTCTTAGCTACGAGCCTTAACTGTAAATAACACATCTAGCTAATAACTTAGATATTATACTATACTGACTAACCAATTGCTACAGCCAAAGGCTGATATCATGAAAACCTAAAAAATGACTCATTCGCCCGCCAGCACGGTGACCAAATCAAGACAATGAGCGAAAGTATTTGACACATCTGCCGAGTAATTTAAGTACCGCATGATCATTTGAAACCCTTAGCCACCGGTTTCACCTGCAAATAATACATATAGTTCACAATTTAGACGCGATTCTCTGTCGCACCAATCATAAGCTGAAGCTTGCTGAAGCTTACTGAAGTTGACAGCTCGAATCAAAGACCAATATGTAACAACGTGCTTGATTTACAAGGTAAGTTGTAGTAATGCATGTGATGTAGATGTCATCTGACAGCTGTCGGGTTCATCAGCTCAAATTGACAGCCTCAGAAACACCCAGGGTCAGAGTACTGCAAGCCCAAAATCAGGCTATCCCTTAACATGACTTAAGATACGTGAGACAGAATACGCTATGCACCGTCAACCTTCCCAAAATACAGTGACTTTGATGTGTAGACGAACACGCATGCATAGTGTTAGCTGAAAGCCATTATGTTAAGTTGAAGCTCGGCAGATATGACCCTGAGAACTATTCTAATGTCTACAGTTGTTGAAACTGGTAATACTGTCCCAAAAAGCCACCTCTTAGAAGTCCTTCCGGAAATTCTTTAGTCCAGGGAGTTGAATCCCTCATCCGACAAAGACGTAAGGCAGTTTTGTAACCTTCTTCACACCTCCGCCCACAAAATACAAATAGTAGAGAGTAAAGTCCTACAAAACAACCTAGAAATCCGTCACACTTTATCTTCAGGTTAACCTATAAGCCTGCAATACCTAGTAAACTTGCCATCTGCTAGTATCGCATCAAGTTCTTCTGGCAGCATACCAACGACAAACTCGATACCTCCGTCCTCGCGCAGTGGATGTATAACCGCCATCCGGAATGCCGCATTGATAGAATCCATCTGTATGCGCATCGCTGCCGGCACGCCGCCGTCATCCAGTAACTCGTCTCCAAAGGAGATAGCGCTTGTTTGGAAAAGCATCAAGTTGTTAACTGCAAAATGCATCCCGTCCATCCCCATGCACGCGGTAGTCACCTTGGTGTAGTCAGGTACCGACTGCAGCAGCGTGAATGCATCGTGAACTAATGAAGTTTTGATGTGTACCGCCGCGGCGCGGAACACCTGGGCAACCTGCCCGACTGTTGTGCCTGTGCCACAGAGCGTTGCCACAGGCATACTCGGCCGGTTGATGATGACAAGATTACCCATGTACGACTCAGGTAGCAGCTTTGAGAAATAGGGTCTGACATCGATAGGCAACTCAACTATGGCCATTTCATCTTCATCAAAGGTCTCGCAGCGCAAATGAGTCGCCACATGATAACGCGCTTTGATGGCTGAACGCCAGACGAACGCTTGGATCATATCGCTGACCGATGTCACGCCCTCAGCTGTAGGGTCAGCCAGCACATCTCGCCAAAGCTTCTCGACCATTTCTGTCGACATGACAAAGGTGTATGCTTTCATGGGCCGGCCATGAGTAGGGCGGGTCGGTGGCCATTCGAACTTCCGAGGGAAGAATGGAGCCGGAGGGAGCGTCGACTCGTTCATGAAGCTCTTGACCTGAGTCCCGTTCTCTATCTCGGCCGGGTCTGGGATGTCGATGAAACCCCATACGTTCTTGTCTACTTGATCAGCCGGTTTTGCATATCCTTCCAACTCGTGGAGGATTTGCGGAATACTGCGGTTCATACTCTGCTTGTCCAGCCAGTCGCAAGTTGCCGTGGCTTCGCCTTGCGTATGACGGCAACAATCGCCCCAGATACGCATCACCATGATGGCTCCCGTACCATCAAAGCATTGGTGGTGAAAGTCAATGGCCAAGATGCAACCACCATGGATGAAGTTGGCCTGCGCCATGAACACGTCGGCCGGCAGTGACGGCGCCAGCGGAGAAGCGAGTACAATGTCGTCTACAAAGCTTGAACACAGAAAACCACCGGCACGGAGTTCAGCGAAGGACGAGAGCACCACCGAAAGGTCTTCGTATCGAAGCTGTCGTGGTCCAGATGACTCGGCGCTTTGGTTGGTCTTCGAAGTATAAGGCACTGGAGGAAGTGTAATACGCATACTACCCTTCTTATACCCTATCTCATCCTCTGAGCAGGGTATCAGTTTGCCATCAAGCTCAGGAATGATTTCCATGGCACGACGTAGCCCTGTTTGCAATCGTGCGAAGACGTCTTCAAACCGCACGCCCTTGCGGAGCCGGTAGAAGAACTTCATCCCTAGATAAATGTTGGGGCTCATCTGATCAAACGGGCTCACTCTCTGTGACAGACGCGCGCGGTGTAAATCTATCATCCGGTACATCTCGGCTGCACCGTCTGTAGCCGCTTCACCCGAAGATGCCTCGTTGCTTGTCTTCCTGTGCATGCCGATTGCGAGCTGAACCAACATTGCAGAGAACTGGCGGAGTGTAGGGCTGCCGTAGAGATGCCGTGGGGCCAACAGCTCACCAAGCTTGGTAGCTGCTCACAGAGACTTGATAGCACGGAAAACCAGCATTGAGTCAAGCCTTTAACGAATAGGTTGTCGTCAAGTGCCGCCTCCTTAACCGCAGGTGACAGAGTATCTAAAATATGACGGACACCATCTGTGACCGAAGCAATAGAGCTGGTGTCAATAGCTATAAACTCGGGGTCTTTTTCCATTCGTGAACTGTAGAAGCGTTCGATGAAATCACCATATGCCTCGAGCGTGGCTCTTCGCTCGATCGTTCCCTTGTCAGTGCGGATAAAAGGCTTATCAAACTCGGCAAATGCGACGTAATCCCTTTGCACCTGATTTTTATGCAAAGACAATGCATTGGCACGTTCAATTGCAGCCCAGACACTGTCCAACACCTCGTTGGTCCTGGAAGTTGAGTCTTGAAGCTCAATGAGCAAACCCGCCTGACGCTTGCCTGTTCCGACCTAGAAACGTCAGTGACATTCGAGCAGCACACAAGACGGGACGTTTTACCATCAAACAGCCCTTGATATCAGGGTGCGTGCTGACCAAAGCCTCTGTTTCCAACGGCGATATCTTGTAGCCATTAGATAACACAACAATGTCATCATTGCGACCCTGAAATGCCCATAGATTCGGCTTGGTAGGGTGTTTGCTATAGAGGTCTTTGAGGTTAATGCTCGCCTCGTTTGGTAAAGTATGGAAGATGCCCTGAAATAGGGGCCAGTGGGTATTGCTATGTACCCAATGCTCATAGATGCCTGGTTCTACTTCCCTAAACTCAAACCCAGAAAATGGATGGAAGGAAAAATAGTACCAGTCTTGTCTTTCTATCCACAGGTTCCCGATGAACAGGCCTTCTGTAGTGCCCGTTAGATTTAAAACTCGAACCACATCGTTACCCTTTGATCCGAGGATAGGGCTAACCGGGCCACCAGAAGCGCAGATGAATTTGGACGGCTTCAGCTTGATTAAGACATCCGGCGTTTCGCCTAGCTCATCGACTAACGACGGAACCATGATCCAAATAGCGATATTTGCATGATCGGCAAGTGACTCAATTAGGTCCATATTAGGCACCACACCTTTAGGGCCCATGATACAGTGCAGACCAAAGAGAGACGGCAGGAGAATATTCATGATGATACCGGCGCCCTGTAAAGTTATTTTCAGTTAGAAGGATGCTCTAGGCTGTATCGTGGGGTAGAAATACGTGGCTCATTGGAAACGACGAGTATATTCTATCTCCCTCGTTCCAATTGTCTGTCCACGGCAACAGCCCGTCATCCCCTTCGACGCGTGGGAGTAGCCGCACAGCATCCATTGTACCGATAAGACCGTGCGACCACGTAATCGGCTTCGGAAGGCCAGTCGACCCAGAGGTATGAAGTAAACAGAACGGGTCCCCAGAAGCTTCTTCGAAGGTCTTGTCATATGGATACAACGTGATTGGATCGGCATTGAGCATTTCGTCTAGTTCTGGGAGAATGAGCACCTTTATACTGCGCTTCTGCAGGATGTCATCTGCCAGAGGACACGAATACCCGTACGGTTTGACCCAGGTGCTGCATTTTGCAGCTTCAAGCACTGCGAGCGCACCTTCGATGCTATTTCTAGGGGACAAAAATAATGCCTCCATTGCATTAGAGACATGCGACTAGGTTCAGACGGGGCGTATTTCACTCACAGTGCAACCGACCTTGACACATGCATATGTCAACAGGACGTGCCGGAGGTCATCTTCTGTAGTCAGTAAGGTCAGGGTCTTCAAGTATCATTTTTCTTTACATACGAGGTCCAATGTAAGCCGCTGTCTGCACAACGTTGTTTTCCCCAATTTGGCTATACAGCCACCAAGCGGTCTTATTAACTGCATTCGCAAAAGCTCGCGCAGAAATATCTTGGAATCCATCAGAGATGTTTAAGGAGCTCATCACGTATAAGACTGATCTAGTCTCCTTTAGCTAATTTATTTACTTTATATAATGTCTTCTAATGCATGTAATTGTAGCTCAAGATATAATACTGCTCGTTATAAGAAATTGGACATTTAATGCCTATTTTTGCCTGTCTGGCTGGCATAGTTAATAATCTCCTGTTAGTAATGGCTTTTAACAACTGAGGATCTAACTTTTACCCCACTCTCGCTTGGCTTCTACCTTAAACTCAAGACGTGCAAAACAATATATATAAAGCGACTATAAATGTCCGTAAAATCAACGTCACTTTCTCGGAGAACAGTGGTGATTAGGGAAAGCTCTGAGTCATTGTATTCAATGCAGCCTTTGTAGATTTCAAGGCTTGAGAAGCCTGCTAGCTATAAATCAATACACAGTCCTATTGCCACATAGTAACCATTTACCATAGCAAAAAGCTAGGCTTTACAAAAAGATAAACTAGTAAGAAAAGATAACTAGAAGGGCTATTTAAGTATTAATCCTATATAAATTTATCTTATACCCTTAAGAAAGATAATAAGCACTTTCTCCTAATAAAGTAAATTTACTTACTGTATTGTGGCTAGGTAGCCTCTTAGCCACACTTTGCTTTAGATAAGAACATTTCGCGGCTACCTCCGTACTTTACAACCAACATACAGTATCCTGCAGGAGGCCTACCAACATGGGTTCCCCGCTCTGTGCCTCTGATCAGATTTGGGAAAAAATCACTCTCTTTCCTCTTACTTATTGTCTTCATCAAGAACACCCTCCCTTTACAAGAAAGATTACTCAGCGGTTAGCTACTTCAACATGTCGGCGACTCTCGAACCGAAATTGCTGCTTCAAGCCGTTTTTCACCATGTAGTTCTTCCGTCCAAACTACCTAGCAGAAACGACGCAGATAATTCTGGGCTGGCGTATGATCTTGGAAGTCGGCTTCAGCGCGCTCTGGCCATGTTCAGTAATGATCATGACCAGGAGGCTTGGAACGTCCTAGTCAGCTCTATGAAAGCTACAGCATTTCTAAACCAAGGCCAATTGATCAGCCACGAACTTCTGGAGCGGTTTCAAGGCATCGCTACTGGCGAGAAAAACATATGGCTCGCTCTGTTCGTCACTCAACAGAATTCTGCTTTGCTGGTCCATCGCAATGACATGTCTGTTTCTGAAAGCGTTTCCCACTCCTGATGACATATCAGCTAATCTCATAACAGTGAAGAAACGGTCATTTTCGAAGCATTCCAGACGGAAGCGCCGGTTAAAGATGTTCTCGCAGCAAAGCATTGCCTCACGTGGGAATTTCCCCATCGCTCAGTCCAACTTCCATTCAACGTTTTCAATGACATGTCATTTTTGAGAAATCTGTCTCAGTTTTTGGGACAGGCAAGCCATGAATCCTTTGATCAGTTCGCGGCAAAAGCTGCCAAGGGCGGGAAATCAATTGCCGAGACCCGCAACTCCACTGATCCTGCCCTGGTAGTTGACATGCTCATGTCACTTTTGGAGGGGCTTGGAAGTGGCGCTCAAATACAGTCGGTCCGCAAGAAAGTTCGGGATGACGTTGTATTGGGCTCATCCGAGGTTCCCTGGAGGCGCTCACCGTACTGGCTCGTTCTCCGCATAGCATTGAGACGCATGTTACGTGAGTTGCTAGACCACAAATGCGTCGGCATGGGACGAGTCTATTACAAGTTCGTTATCTGTGCCATGTTGGCCGAGCTTCTCAAGGACTCTGTTGACAATCTTCACCCCGAGATGTCGTTGCAGCTTCGAGCAAAGCTTTGCCGCCGCATGGCAAAACTCAAAACGGATAGCAAAGCGTGTTCACCCTCTTTGCGCCCGTTGTATGACCAGCTTTTTGCATCAACTTCGGGAGACTTTGAAGATATCGTGAAGCATGCAACGGAAAAGCTTTCATTAAAATGGGACGACTTCAAGGCCAGAGCGACTCGCCGGATTCCAACTCTTCCGTCCCGTGTTCCAGAAGCTGATCTGTATATCAGACTGGATAATAGTGGGGCCTTTCTGAGATCTCAGCTGTCACAAAGGCTCAGTCCTACGTCCCGTGTTATCTTTCAAGATTTGCCTAAGCTACAAGAAGGAACAATTCTCGAGGTTGGCCGCCTGGCTGACCGCTATATTTCCCTCCAGGACCGTGATAATGCGGCAGCTAGGAGAATCGCTGCCACCTCAGATAACCCTCAAGAACTGTGTAAATCACTATCTACAAGTATCATGGACCTACTTACCAACGTGGGAGACAGCTTCAACAACGATTCGACTTTGATGAGTCGCCACCTTCTGAGACTTTTCGAGCTTTGGGTAAAGATGGATGAAGAAGCAACCTCTACGTGTCCATTACTCAAAGAATATCATCCTCTGTTTATTCCTGATGCATTGGATGTGCTTTGCCTCATGACGAGGGGCGAGATGGAACGCCTATTACGAGTGCAGCAATACATTCGCAATCGTGTTGCTTCGCACAAGAAAGGCCTCGGTACAATCTTCGATAACCCCAGACAAGGGTCAACGTTTCCTGCCAGATACGTCTCTTCCACTGCGGCTGGTGGCCAGATGCTGATGACCGCTACACTGATTGATGATGCTTCACTGAGGGCTCGACAATCAACCCTGTCTGAGCTAGAACGGCTAACACAAAGTTATGACAGCTTGACACAGTCGCTGAACGACCTTACCTGCACATGCACCGTTTCTCCTACTGGCAAAAAGATTACGCATGCTTGTCGAAGATGTCCGAAGTTGTGGAAACGGAAGAAGCTTAAGATCAGTGTCCATGAAGACTTTCTCCCAGCAACAGACTCTGATCAGCGCAATGCCCAAAGGTCAGCTATCCTTCTTGAGCTGCTTATTCCTCAGTACTTGTATGCCTATCGTACAGCAACTTGGCAGCTGTACCTTCTTGGTACCACCGTGTACTCAAGAACCAAAGGTGTCCCCAAACTGCTTCTTGAAGATATCGCTGATATCAAGAAGTACTCTCTGAAGGTGAACACAACCTTCACGCTTGCTTCGCGTAAAAAGTCATTCCGGCAAACTCACTATAGCAAGTTGAAATTACCAAAAACGCCCGCCCAGGTCACCTTTCCCTTTGGAGCCGAAATGTCATACTACGATACTGTATCGGGGCTCTGGGCGGACGAACTCCCCAAAATCCCATGGTATCAGCACCTTTTAGGTCCCTGGCTTCCACAAGGCATTCCTGATCCATACGAATCGCCAAGAGGTGTTCTAGGCATGCGTGTACATCATCCCTCTTCTTACGAGATCGTAGCAAGCGGATCAATGTGTCCTCTTACCATTTCTGGTAATGAGCTCAGTGCTTTCCAGCGAGCGACTTCTGCACGAGGTCGACGCTGGCTCGAGATTCTGAAGGAATTGGCGGCTTCCAATTTCGACTTTAGTAGTCGAGCTACAAATACCTTCTTCCATCGCCTTGCTATGCAGGCCGGCCCAGCTGCATTGGAAAAAGGAATGCTGCGTGAAGTTCACTGCGTGTTCAGCAGTGAAAGTTTCTGTTATAGACTGAAAGAGCGGCTCGAGGCTTGGATGGACACGATGGAACAGAATTGGAGACAGGTCGATCGGATGAGTACCGTTTTGATATTGGGTCTTCGGCTATATCACCTCGGCCCGCCGTCATTTAAAATGCAGGCTCATCAATTGCTGTTAAGAGTCCGCTCCATCACCTCAAACTGGATCCTTCGATTACAGCATGAGGTCAGATCAACGCTTGACGGTGACATGGCCGCCAAGGCCGCCACTTTTGCATTCTGGTCCGCGTTACTTTGCCGTCAAACATTCTGGGGGTGTTTAGGTCATGATGACTTTGAAGCAAGCCTGCTCAAAGATGATCCGTTACCTTTCTTCCGATCGTCAATCGCGCTTCAGGAGAACCTGCTTGACAGCTCGGATAAACTGCCCACACACTTGCGTAGTCTTCTTACCCAAGACATGTCTGCTTCTTATCAGATGAGGGATATTGTTGAGAAGTGGGTGGATAGCGACATTGGTCTAGTGGAGAAGGCAATAAACGAGACATGGGCCAATGCTAGCCTTCTCGCCCAGAGGTCTTACTACCCGTGGAAGAAGCTCCCAGGCAAACACTCGTGGTGGATCTCGTCTCAAACCGCCCCTAGTGACTCAGTAGCTTCACAGAGAGTACATTATCATATCCTTCAAGGTCACTTGCTAGTGGATCAAAAGCCCCTTGGGAGGCTTCCTCTTGAAATCAGAGATGATGAGTCCGTGAGGGAGCTTTTCGAGGAGCGACACTTGCTAACACGGCCATCCGGACTCTTGGACTATCAAATTCTTACTGAAATGGAAGAACACCAAATCCATGTTGGCATAAGGGATGGCGAAATAACCATCAAAGCTCTATTCAGAGGCTCCATTCTTCAATTCGTTCCCCGTTCCATGTTGAAAGGTCCCATGGGCTGGGACTTACCGGCAGACCTAGTTGACGACTGCGTGCACTGGCTGGACTTGACTACTGGGGATCTTGAGATGCGTCGAAAACCACGGATCTGGAGACGCAAGAAATCGAATTGGGTACTCGACATCCGAAAACGAAGAGCCACCAGAAACACGGGAGCCAGTCTTGTTGAGCCAAACTCGGAAATTGGGAGGAAAGTCGGTAGTATTTTTCAAGATTTCGAAGACTCCAAGAGGTTGACAATTTACCAGCCGGTGAATGGAGATCTGTCCGTGGAGCTGAAACGTTTGGAGCTCCGCTTCCATGTCAACCAGAGAGGTTTGCTCTACTGCCCTCAACTCAAGGCTGAAGTAGACCCTCAGCAAGACATTGGAACACTACACGGACTACGAAGTGGAGTCACTCTACGGAATACCTCAAACTTTGAAAGAAAGAGTGTTATTATGCCGATCGGGGGTTTCCAATGGCAGAGGGAGGGAATTCATGTCGCTGTTAGGATTTCCAACGAAGGAGTGTACGCTAAATATACACTCAACTCTGTCCTAGGCCGACTGGACTGTCCCCCCGAACCACTTCTTCTTTATCTCAAGGCGGCAATACATGCACTGACATCTTTTCCACTACCGGATGACTTTACCGGTAAGACAGGAACAGAGGAAGCTCGTCATTGTTTGCTCTCGCCTAGCAGTCAGCCATGGACTCCTTTGGCGGGCTTTCCACAGAGAATACTGTCTGTCATCAAGTCTCTATCACCGGAAAGAACTCTTTATCCCCCAGGCATCAACTTGTATCAAAAGGTCCGTTGGGATGAGCATTTAACTTCCACAATTCAACATGAAGACTTGGCTCCTTTAGTCACTCTGATTGAAAATCGGTCACGGGAGCTAGAGACTTTCAGTAACACAGAAACTATGACAAAAGGTCAGCACGAAAGTGTGTCATATAACGCGTCTGTGGCTCGTTTGCGAATCAGAGGTCGTATTCGAAGACAGCTCTATGAGCGTGTCTGCTTTGATTCTGATTCGACGGTTCTTTCTCAGGCGGCACAAACAGATGGTTTCGTACCTCTTCGAGACCAGAAGTCATCTCTAAAGAGCTGCCGAGTATATCAGACCATCCGTGCGATGATGGAATCCGATGCTAGTGCATTTCACCTTCCCAAGCTTGCTCCAATTTTGGAGAAATGGAACACATTCCGAGGTATTAAAGAGTCCTTATCAGATATGGATTTAGCGGCGAGTCTAGAGGTTGAAGCGCCACAACTTTGGGGGGAGCTTGTTCGGAAGCTCCATGAAAAAGACCCCACGAGAACTTACAACAACCATTTTTCCCTGGCTTTGTTAGCATTCAACGATAATGTTGACATGGTCGTCATAAAGTGGCTCGTGGCACTTTTTCAAAGTAGTAGACTGAGTCGCATCCAACCGCCCAGCCATACCCTGTTCACAAACTTCCGCCATTTTGAAGAACCGTCCAAAGACTTATTTTTGTCGCTAGTGCTACCAGAACCATTCATTGATGGTACTAGCGGACTGGTGCTCAGAAATGATCGTAAGAAAGACACGGTGTTACGAATAATCTCTCACATTCTCAACATGTGGCCAAATCCACCTCTTTCAAGACACGAGTTCGAATCATCAGTCAAAAACCTAACCTCGAACATCAGGGACTTTAGCCTGAAGAAGACATGGCAGAAGCTCTACCCCGAGCTTCGAAGACTCAAGTCTAATTGGGAGCTGTCTGTATACCTCCTTGACCTGGAGAACGCAGCAGATCTGTTGCTAGACGATCAATCGAAGATGGAGCCAAAGGCATATCAAGACGTCTGGACTTCAAAACCAACACCTCTGGAAGGCAGAAACCCAGAGGGACCCAGGGAATACTTGATGGCTCAGTATTCCATGTCCGACTTGCTATCGAGGCTCAAAATCCATGAGAGGCCGAATGAGGACTCTCAATCCTGGTTAGAAGTACGAGATCAGTCTTCAGTGGGAAGCAACAGTTCCCATCCTCAGGGCCAGGCTTCGGATTTACCTGTAGGTCAAAGGCCTGAGTTCAATATCCTCAAAGGGATTATACAGAGACTCGTCACTTCACCTCTTACTTCACAACGGGCTTATGGGGAGGACCTTTCAGTGTCGCTCAACGCTTTAACTCTAGCCCAACAAAGTCGAAAATTACTTCATGGCATACCACGCATGGATTCAGTCAAGGGAGAAATCGATCGATGCCGTCAACGACTACGAGAACAACAATATAAAATAGAACACTCGGCTTCACAAGGTGATGAGGGCTTCGCGTGGCTTTCAAAAGGTCAACTTTGGCCTTGTTTCTCACCAGTAGCAATTCTTGAACAGCTAAGAAATGGCAATAGATTGCTAGTACCTCATGCATTGGTCAACACGATAGTAGAATATGGGGTGCTCACTACGCGCCTCCAGCGTTACTTGCGAATAGAAGATGCAATTCTTCGCAGAGATCATGTCTGGTTGGAGGAGAATTCTGAGACTGAGGGTCACTCCAACTGGAATCCGCTCAAGTACCCAGAATGGCTTCTCCTAGAGATCGACAGCAACATGTTGATTCGGCCTATCCAATTCGAAGTAGCCAATGCTATCATTTCACCATCATCGACGTCGAATTCTGTTTTACAGATGAACATGGGTCAAGGTTTGCATATTTTACTAACCACTCACAACGGATCGTGGAACTGACTTTTACCGTAGGCAAAACTTCTTGCATCATGCCTATGGCTTCAATAATGTTGGCAGACACGAAGAACTTATGCCGACTGGTTGTGCCTCGAGCCCTTCTCCTTCAGACAGCGCAAGTGATGCAGAGCCGACTTGGTGGGTTGGTTGGTCGAGAAGTTTGCCACCTACCCTTTGCTCGACGATCACCTACCGACGACCAAGCTCTAGACCTTTATCACAGTCTTCACAAGAGAACTCTCGCATCAGGAGGAGTCATGCTGTGCTTGCCAGAACACCTACTTTCCTTCAAGCTGAGTGGGCTCCAGAAGCTGGCTGACAAGGAAACAAAGAGAGCGCAGAGAATGATGAACATCCAAGCATGGTTGGAGTCATCGAGTAGAGATGTTCTTGACGAGTCTGATCTCACTCTCTCGCCAAAGACACAGCTGATATATCCGAGTGGTATACCCACCATGATTGATGGTCATCCTCAGCGGTGGCGACTTATCGAAGATATGCTATCTTTGGTTGAATCTCATGTACCCCAACTTCAGGCCAAGTTTAAAGATGGGATACAGGTATGGCGACGACACCGGGGCTTTCCTGTCATTCACCTCCTACGTCCAGAGGTTGAAGATCTTCTTAACACTCTTCTAGTGGATGATGTCTGTCATGGTCGGCTCTCATATGTTCAATTCAAGGCTGACAACAGTCTGACTGCCACAAAGCCCGTCAAACTGCTGCTCTCAACTACTCAACCTCCCGCATCCATTTGGGAAGATGCAATTGCGTCGTTGAGTAATGAAGCCTCTGTTAGAAAGACTCTCTATCTTCTTCACGGGCTCATTCCCCAACGGTTGTTGATTCTCTGTCTGAAGAAGTCGTGGAATGTTCAGTACGGTCTTCATCCGGACAGAGCTCCCATTGCAGTGCCATTCGAAGCTAAAGGAATACCTTCGCAAACTGCCGAGTACGGTCACCCGGATACGGCGCTTGTTCTCACATGTTTGAGCTTTTACCACGCTGGTTTGAGCAAGTCACGATTTCTCCAGAGTCTCCAATTAATCAGCAACTCTGAAGATCCCTCCTCGCACTATCAACGCTTTGTATTCTCAAGACATCTTCCTGAAAACCTTGAACATTGGCATCAGCTGGAGATTGAAGACGAGGCCCAAGTCACTCTTCTCTGGGAATATGTAAGGTTCGAGAAACATGTCGTCAATCATTTCTTGAACAACTTTGCGTTTCCGCAACATGCCAAGCAGTTTGGGGTAAAGTTCCAAGCTTCAGCTTGGGACATCCCCTTGCTCCCCGAGGGTATGAAACGGCAAGGTATGACAACAGGATTCAGTGGGACCAATGACAACAAAAATATACTGCCACGTACGATTCGTCAAGATGATCTGCCCAATCTCATACAAACCAACGCTGAAGTTCTGGTACATCTGCTGGAACCACGCAACCAAAAATGCTTCCAAGCTGTTGACCGACACGGACGGCATCTCAATGAGATCGGGATACTAGAACTACTCCGAAACAACGGGATCAGGATCCTGATAGACTCGGGTGCCCAGATTCTTGAGATGGAGAACCACCAGCTGGCTGCGGCCTGGCTTGACGTCTATACCGAAGCCCAAGGCGCAGTGTATTTCGATAAAAACGGCCGAATCATGGTACGAGCTCGTTTTCAAAAGTCTCCTGTGCCGCTTCTGGCTAGTTCCTTTGCAGACACTCTCGAAAAATGCGTAGTCTATATCGATGAGGCGCATACACGCGGGACCGACTTGAAACTTCCCATGTACGCCCAAGGAGCTGTAACATTGGGCATCAGTTCGACCAAAGACCAGATAACGCAAGGTAAGTGCATGCAACAATCAGTAGACCGTGTGAGGCTAACCATGATAGCTGCAATGAGACTGAGGCAACTCGCGACAACGCAATCAATCGCATTTGTTGCCCCTCCAGAGGTGTACACAAGTGTTTTGTCACTTCGATCCGCCCACAGTCCCAGGGTTGCATCGTCGCAACCATTGAAGTCTACCGACATTGTCCACTGGCTTCTAGAGCAAAGTTGTCAGGCCAGCGACAATATGATGTCCTTGCACATTGCCCAAGGGTTCGACTTTTGCAGACGTACAAATGCTCTAATGGAGTTCAGAAAATCCTCGCAAAACAAAAAGAAGAGAGACAAGCTCCTGCAAGAGACTCAACAGCCCGAGGGACAGACATTGGAACAGCTCTACGGGCCAAAGGAGAAAACATCATCAACCGGCTTGAGAGTCATCGATTCTACACATTTACAACGTTTTATGAAAGAACTACATGGACTGGAGGCCGATCTGGTCAAACACCAAAGGCGAGCGTGCTCCTCGGCTTTTGATGAGGTGGAGCAGGAAAGAGAAGTCGAATTTGAGGTCCACCAGCTTCGCGAGAAGCAAAACCCTACACATCTTACAGCATTTACGTTCCCGGGCCTCGATAAGGCCCTAGTTAAGTTTTGTGATGAGACTGAAGTAAAGCTGGCTAGTCTTCATTTTATCTCAGTCCTTGACTTGATTGGCGATACCTATATCGGACTCAAGTATGGTGTCAGGGGATCTTCCTCGAACCTGTTTGTCTCGAAGGAGTTCTCAAGAACAGTTCAAACCCAGAAGGCTGAGGTTTCTCGTCGCCTTATGGTAAGCTCTCTAGCAAACCTTTTCAGACTAAATATACTAATAATACACTTATAGCGACCAGTCGAATGGGTACTCTGGAGACCTGACATCCAAACAGCCTTAGTCGTTATTCCTGAGGAAGCTGAGCTCCTTCTTCCAATACTCCGAAGGATACGAACCCCCACGACTTATCTTCTTACGTACACATCCCCATTTACAAGATCTCTTTTGGAGGTCGGTACCCTTGCCTACTATCCTGTACCGACTCCAAAGAAGGAACTTGTGATCCCTTCTTGGCTGAGCATTGAGATCGGCATCATGGCTGGTAGATTGTATCTCTCTTACGATCAGTATACGCAGTTACGCAACTGTCTCATGGTTGACGAAAGGGCAGAACCTTCGGTGAATATGGACGATGCTCATCGTAGCAGGAAACACATCCTTCCCAATTTCGGAATTCTTAGTCCTCAGTCGCTCTCAAGGTTTCTAAACGAGTGGATTTCATATCGGTCCCAGTCATCTGACATTACGCACACCCCTATGGGGTATCTAATTGGGAATCGAGATCTTTCCGACAATCACCCATTCTTTACTTCTCAACTCAAATCGAGGGCCATAGAAACCAGATCAGTAGCTCATCATGGAGCGCTAAGAGAGAATGCAGAAGGCCAAAGCAGCGATGATGAAAGCGAATAGACTGAAAGCGGACAGAAGCTGCTCGATTAAGTTACTGCTAAAATATATCCTTATACTAGTCAAAGACTCTATATTAGTAAGGGTTTTTAAAGTAGTATAGTTACACAAATTCACTCGCTAGACTTTCCCAAGTAACAATATTATTATCCCCTACGATCTAGGTAATGGCATTGCCCAAACTTCTTGAGGCTTCAGTCAATTGCTTAGTTATCACAGAGAGGTCAGAGAAGGATATCACCGCCGAGAATCACCGACATGGGAGGCAAAACTGCAGTATCACATACTTTCATGTTATCTTTATGTAGACTCCTGCCTACTACTTCACAAGAGGGTCTTAGATTGTAGTTGTTGGAACTCCACTAAGTCCGTCATCCGGATCTCCAATAGTTCCGAGTATTTCCCCAAGGTTGTCAGGATAGTCAATGCGCTCGAGAGAGTCATCAGCTGCAGTAAAAAAATAGAAGGTTCCGTCGAGCTCGAACAATGTGTACGGCGATCCTGATTCAGCATCCAGGGCGAAGAGTGGCTTGATGTTACCACTCAGCCCGCGACTCTCTAGAACCTCGGAGACTTTGCCGCCTTCACCCCAATACTCGTCACCGCCCATTTCTTGGTAATTTTCTGTCCACTCTTCGGTCGGTGGGGGGTACTATGTGTGCTGAATTAGTTACAGCTCGATAGGTGGGATGCGTCGTTGTGACTGAAGTTACATACCTCGCACGTTGTCACAATCACGCCATCGACCACTTTGGTATTTGGATTCATGGTCAGAGTCGGAGTTCTAGGTTCAATTGAAATGGTTGGTTTGTAGAACGAAGGATAGCAGGCAGCCTGGAGTACAGCCAGAAGTTATATACATCTCTCCCCAGCGAATGCCACTGACGTCAAGTGTAAGACATGACATGACGTGGCAGTTGGGCCAGCAGCTGATCGGCGGCAATAACTCAACTTGCTTTGTTGTTAAGGCATTTCAGCTTGGCACTAGTAATGGAACTATACCATAACTGATCATCGCTGCGTATAAGCGCCAATTGACTCTCTGAAGCTAATTCTGTATCCTGCCCGTATGTCTTAATAGGCTAAAGAATGTTGATCGCTTGCTGAGATAAAGGAGGTATAGATCTTACTTACAATTTCACTATAGCTGTCGTCCTTCTGTTTGTTTTGCTAACCGGTATGTGTTTTATTAATTCCGATGCTATGTATACTTATGCAATGCTTAATGCTTTATATTATTATACATTCGCCAGTCGCTAGCTGCTTAGTCAGGCTTGTCCCCTCTCTGAAAAAGAGTGTAGGAACGTGTTACTTAATACAGCTACTACTTTTTATATCTCTATTATTTTCCAATTAACCTATATTATAAAATAAGGATTCCCAGTTTAGACTGTACTAAGGTTATACTATACTGTAATAATCTTAATTACGCTGTGTTTAGTATTAGTAATAATACCAAGGGATATTAGGTAAATAAACAGTTATATACATATCCCGAAAAGCTATAATTAAAGACTCTTTAGTAAACCGTAACATTATCAATAGACACTAATTATATAACTTATATATCGGTCTATCTTAAGGAGTATTAAAAAGTATCCTTACTCTTTTTCCTAGCCTGGAGAGGTGGATTTATCCTAAGCTCAACATTAGGTATAGGGTACCTTATGACCAAGTCGTGGTATAGAACCCTGCACTATAGAACTGTTTTAACATATTGCTATTATTCTCTAGACGTTCAGGAGCCGAAGTTGTTAATTATTAGCGGAAACGGTTGGTCCGTCCTTCCCTCCCGTCCCTAGTCCCTAGTCCCTGTGCGGTATCTATACTAGATAAGGAATGTCGGAAGTGACACCGGTTCAAGAAGGTTGCATGCCTGCCCAGAATGACCCCCAAACCCAGTAATGTTCCACGGTTGTGGGCCGTTAAAAACTTTGTTGGCTCGCTGAGGCTCCTGAAAGGTGCCAAGCAATGTGAAGCCGAGTACCGGCAAGCGAGTTTCAGAAGGTAAGTGGGCGGCCAATGGGGGAAGAGATATGCTTGTTTTGTATGGTATCGGTAATAATTAACCCGAATGCGACATCCGATCAGAGGAGAGAGAGTCTATTCGATGCGTTGGTTCCATGCATGGGCTTGGCAACGCCCGAGAATAAAGAGCCCTTACATTTGTAAATCTCCGTCGTCTTGGAAAAAAGGTCAACATGTCACTTAGAGTTCAATGACCAGATTTGCACATAATGGTGGTGGAATATCCCGACTCTTTGTCTGCTTGAAGTAGATTCAGACGCCTTGGGAACAAGGCCAAAACACAAATGAGATGACCAAGACTTTGTGGCGAAAGAGTCTGGCGGTAACCGTTATTTTGCAAATTATATCTCTTGTGGAAGAACACGACTTTAAGCCGCCAAGAACTCAATCGACATCAGTCTTGCTTAGACAGGTAGTACTGCATTATCTAGGAAATTTCTTTTTTCCAGCTGTGCCGTAGTGCATGCATGCCTGGAACAACTGCATGCAAAGATCCATGTAAATGACTGAGTCACAGATTGATGGTCTCGTCCAAACTAGTACCAGGATGTGAATCCAGCATCTGTCGTGTGTGGCAATACCCTGTAAACTGTGACAGAGTTCTTATCCGCCTTTAAGGTTAAATGCCAAAATGGGCTGTTCGTATGCAATACGATGCCTCAGTCAGTACGCGCATACCTTCCGGGGTTTCAAATAAAGACGCATCAGTCTCTGAGTCTTTTCTCGTTCTTCCTTCGAGCTGCTTATTCGAAGCTGTAGTTTCCATCAGACGCCCATGTCAGAGTACTACCAAGGGCCCAACAACTCGGCCAAGCTAAAAGCCGTGACGCTTACGTTACTGGCTAGTGCTACTATTTTAGTGATATGGAGAATATCCTGGCGACTCTCGAAAAGGGTAATCGGCCTACCGGATTACCTGCTGATACTTGGTCTGGTAAGATTTGCGCAACCCCATCTTAGGCGCGACTAACCTTTCAGTCCCTAAGCATATGTCTTGCTGGCTTCAACCTGGACCGTAAGTGTCGTGAGCTCGTTGGCGAAATATCTCTAACAAAGTGTCAGCGTACTTTCGATGGGGATATGGTTATCACAAAGATGATCTACCACCGGATATCCAGAAGGCTCTGACGCCTAAAATTGTACATCTTCGCGTCACCCCATCACTTCCAGTCCGCCACTAATAATTGCAGTGCTTCTGGCTCAACCAGATCTTTTTCAAGTCGACAGCGGGCGTGATCAAGCTTTCAATCTGTACCATCTATATGAACATCTTCAGCAAACCTGTTCTCTTGAGTACAAGAATTGCACGGTATGCCAATTTTGCACTGATGGGCGTCATCATCGCCTACTACACTGGCGGCACTCTGGTATCGACCTTTCAGTGCAACCCGATTCGTAAGGCCTGGCAAGGTGATCTCGACGGTACATGCATTGACAACACCAAATTTCGTGTCGCAAATGCCTACATCAACTCTTTTACGTCTGTCTTGCTGGTTTTGATACCATTTCCTGCTCTTTTGTCAACGGGGCATCGGAGCAAAGAAATATGGCAATTCCTCTTTCTCATTGCCTTGGGACTCGCGTACGTTGACGCTGCCAACGAACAAAAATCTTTGTATTAACACGCTGACGGCTTAGACATACGGCTTGTGCTGTGATTCGCGTTGTGATGATCTACGTGCCGAACGAAGGAGCTGCTACTGATCCTTACTGTATGTCCTTCCCCATCCTCATGCTTTCCGTTATGTTAACAACCTCAGGGTACAATACCACGCCCAATACTCTCGCCATGGCTGAGATATTCACGGCCGTCATTGTGTCTACTATCATGACAATGCGCCCTTGTTTCCAGGTTGTTTTTAGTGGGATAGCGACGACCGTCACGAGTACCTCACGCACACGAAGAACTAAAGTTGACAACTCAGGTGTTTTGGCATCAACCGCAAGCCAAATACGAAGGTCTGATCGTCAAGGCTTTAGTAAGATTGGGACAACCAAGACTGAGGTGTTAAACATCGAGTTGCAGAGCAGAGACCGCAGCACTGAAGAGTTATTTGTGCTTGGCCACCATCACAGTACGAAGCATGAAAATGTATAGAATCTTTGTATATATAAAGATCTTGCTATAGTACATCGGGGGCAAATAAAACTGTTGTACCTCACTCTGACTTGTGCCATTGTATTAAGTCACAATCGTTACACTACATAAGACTACAGAGGCCACTGAGATGCATAAATAAGATTGCTTTTTTTATTACATCCAGGGAGAAAAAAAGACACCGTCATCATCAGACGCAAGTAGTGCAAACGTGTAGTCCTGTAGGCTCGTCTCGTTATCTACCCGCTACAACCATGTTCACTACCCTGACTTCTTGTCAAATTTAGTATCCACACGGGTGCGATAGTGCCGCCTTGGCTTATTTGCGGCCAGTCTGATCCCACCAATAGTCTTTCGTTGGCTTTAAAATCCGCGTATAAGTGTAGGCATCTCGCACTTTCCACCTTGCCAAGATGAATTAACTGTGTCCACCGTTCCCTCTTCCGACGGGGCCCACGATCTCTGTCCAACGTCAAGCTAAATGCCACATCCCATTTGATCAAAGTGAAGGCCGTGCTTCCATAGGGACAGCGGGATAAGCTCTGAGCTACGCTGGTACTTACTCATTACTCAGCTCACGGTGGGGAAGTTCGGGCCCTGAAAGGCTTGTATCTCGCGACTTTAAGGCTCGGTAAAATAGAATTAACCTTCTGACGTCACTGTCGGGAACGTAATCACCATATAGTTAGTTGCCTATGAGTCTCGATGTATTTTATTATGGCTCCTTTTTGCTATTAGTTCTAAAGAACCGGGAATAAACTTTCTTAATGCTTACATGTATGCTCTGCAATCGCGCCCGATTAAAATCCTGTCATCATCGTCCGATTCTATCTTCCATCTCCGCCTCAATCTCGGGGAGCGTAGACTGCAGCGTCTGTGCCGCGCCCCTGCACCACGCGTACGCATGTTACACTCTGCCAAGGCCTATCCTAGTCATCCTTCGGGATTTTCGGTGGGTGGAACAAGGATTAGTCGCCGAGAGACATTTGTTCGTCCTCCCATCTCATTCCACCCTCTTTTATCGTTGCTTCTTTAACTCGAGGCTGAGCCGCAGTTCTTCAACATTGACAGGCTGAGTACAAGTGAAGGAACACAAAGGAATAATGCCTTTCCTACTGCACCTTTGCTGGTGTTTCATTGTACTCACCTGCTTAGTGTCTACTGTTGTTTGTCATGATGACTATAGAGACTTCCGCCACAGATGTCTAGCCTTTAGTCCAACAAGGCTCATCAACAATTCGACCTTGACGCGGCAAGAGTTTGTTTCTGCTGGTACAACGTTGCAGCTCTCAGACAATGTACCGAGTTGTAATCGCGCCTCCCAGGCTGTCACAGTCGACCTCTGTCGCATTGCTCTCCAAATTCCTACCTCGAAGCGGTCATCAATCAGCTTCGAGCTATGGTTGCCGAGTGACTGGCAGGGATCGAGATATCTGGCAACTGGTAATGGTGGAATTGATGGATGTGAGTAAATTCCCAGGCGACCAGCTCAGGGTAATAGCAAAGCTGAGACAAGACGTTTAGGCATCAAGTACGAGGATCTTGCGTATGGCACAACTAATGGTTTCGCTACCATGGGTACCAATAATGGACATAACGGTACGACGGGTATTACCATGCTGAACAACCCTGAAATTATCAAGGACTTCTCTTACAGAGCGTGAGTACTGTCGCCTTCCTCAGAACCATTAGCTAATCAGCAAAGTCTGCACACTGGCACTCGCTCCGCCAAGAAGCTGATGAAAGCTCTTTACGGCGAGAAACCAGCTCACAATTACTACCTGGGTTGCTCACTGGGCGGTCGCATGGGTATCAAGGCCGCAGAGAAGTACCCTAAAGACTACGATGGAATTGTCGCTGGATGCCCAGCTGTTGACTTCAACAATCTTCAAGGCCAGAGGGCTATATTCTACCCAATCACAGGATCTGCAGATTCACCTAACTACATACCCATTGACACCTGGAAGGGGCTGATTCATGACGAAGTTCTTCGACAGTGCGACAAGATTGACGGTGTTGAGGATGGAATTATCGAGGTCCCAGACAAGTGTTTCTTCAACCCGAAGACCTTACAATGCAGCCCCAGACGTCCCAAGAACTGCTTGAACGCGGCTCAAGTCGCGCAGCTGCAAAAGATCTACGCTCCTTATACTTATCCCAACGGCAAGCTCATCTTTCCTCGTATGAACCCTGGCAATGAACTCCAGGCCGTATCGAAACTCATTGCAGGCACTCCTTTCAGTTATTCTGAAGATTGGTTTCGATATGTCGTATATAACGACCCGAGCTGGGATGCTAGCACCTATAACACGAATGATGTGCGAAAGGCAGATGAGCTGAACCCCTTCGACATACGTACCTATCCTCAAGAGCTTCCCAAGTTCAAGAAACGCGGTGGAAAGCTGCTGAGCTATCATGGTGGCCAGGACAACCAAATCACACAGTTCAACACTCAGCGTTTCTGGAACCGCATGTACTCTGCAGATAACGGCCTGCAGGACTACTATCGCTATTTCCGCATGTCAGGCATGTTCCATTGTAACTCGGGTCCTGGCGCCTGGGCTGTTGGTCAGGGTGGTGGTGCCCCTGCTGCGGGTATCCCCTTTGATCCCCAACATAATGTATTGGCGGCCATAGTGGCTTGGGTTGAGAAGGGTCAGGCCCCTGCTAGCTTGACGGGTACAAAGTTCATCAACGACACTGCCACCAACGGAATCGACTTTCAGCGCAAACATTGTCTCTACCCTAAGACGCAGACATATATTGGCGGTAATCCTAAAAAGACATCCAGCTGGCAATGTCGATAGATCTAGGTAGTTTTAATACGACAGAGCTTGTGTTTATTTAACCAGTCTATGTTCACTGTCAAGAGCAGTGCCGTTGTTTTAATTTACTGTCTTCGAAATCAAACATGTTCTTCATATTGGAGCTTCCCTGTTCGTAATCTCTCAAATATCTACAAAAACTCCACTGCTGGTTCCCGTACAGGCGCATGGAATTTATCCCCACCAAATTCACGCGACTGGATCTGAACGTGGAAGTTAATTTTCGCCTCATCGTCAGTGTTGCCTTTCAAAACCTCCATTGTCTTGTTATCGATGGCAATGAATGAGTTCTCGTTCAGACGATCCTGGCAATTGCGGCATCCTGCAACATTCCATCGACTCAGCACAGCTTCGCGCCCAACTTCAACCTTTTCACCACTGGGCAATTCAACATGGGTGCGGATGACGAAGGAGCCAGCGTAGTCTGCACGACTGACATTGTGCACCCGCGCGATCTTGGCAATGGGCTCCGTGGGTGGCTCAAATCGGGCTGGATCATTGTCGAGCGAGCCACGGCCATAGCTGTATCCAAGTTTGTTGATGTCTGTCACGTCCTCCGATGTGTAGAATCCACCGCTAGGCTTCGTGAATGGATTCAATGGACTGTTTGTGTCCAGGGCTGTACCCTTGGGGAAGGTCGGGTCACCCAGGCTAATCGTGCCATCCTTACCAGCCTCGACTGTCAAACTACCGGTAGCTGTGCAATCATGGCGGAGCTGCCACTGCCAGAAGGTATAGTCAATAAAGGCGTGATGGAGGTAGAGAATGGGGTCAAAAGCAGCTGTCTCATTCTCGCCCATGTCACCGTTGGCGCCGAGAAATGGATCAGCGTTATAATTGCCTTTCTCGTAGAAACCGCCAAGCGCAAGGTGGATGGCATTATGCGGCTCCTCGAGAGCTACACCATAGTGTGGCTGGCCACCATTCTCAATAATATACTGGGCCATGGAGGCCTTGTTGGAGAAGACGGTGTAGTTTGGCGCCTTGAGGCAGATCTGAAAACGAGAATAGACCGAGTAAGTGTCGGGAATTGTGGTCTTAGGGTCGCCATCGGGCGTGATTTTGACCGTTCCGTGAGTCGCACACTCGTCCCAGAACGGCAGAGCCAGATCAGGGGCCTCTGGCAAAGCATTTCGGAGTGCATTCTCTAGGCGATACAGATAGGCTCTGTGCCAGGTTGGGAAGAGGACGGTCTGGTGCTGGCAGTATCCACCCCCACCAGTCCGGGTTTGTAGGATCCTCCTTGACGAAAGGCTCGCCGTGATAGCCAGCAATGACGAAGAAGGAGTCCGGATCGTTGGGAGGTAGGGTCTGAATCTTGCGGAAAGCCCTGACGAGGTTCTCCAGCTGGGTTCTGTCACCAGCGTCGTAAAGACTCACAAGTTCTTTAAGAGAGCGGCGAACGCGCATGATGGGCCATAGCAAGAAATATTGATATGCTAATGTTATTGGCTAGTGGATTGGTGATCTCGATATCTAGGTATGTAGTAGACAGTCTGATCTTTATAGTTGATAGCTCGCTCCACTCGGATTTCTTGCTCTGCAACACTACCATGGCTACTTGAGTTTTCATCGAGGACGACAAAGGTCACCTCGACCAATCCATGAGCAATGGCATGAACGTGGCAAGCTCAAGTGAGACACAGGTAACACATTCGTGCGGAGGTCACCAACCTGCGAATCGTTGATCCGGGGCATAGCGACGACAGCAGATTTGAAGCCGAAAACTGCGGAGTTATATCTCCTTCTGTCGTCTTGATTCTATATTCGCAAGGATCAGCTGTCTAAGCCTTCGCCAATTGGCAGATACCAGACATCGGCGCAGCTTGATAGCTGGAACAATTCCTCTAGAACCTTGCTACTGTATGCCTGCTGATAGAAATAGTGAGACAATTTGTGCTTGCTATGGAAAGGTGTCTCGATAGTGTATTACCTGGTAGACCTGAGAGATTCTAGATGCATCTGTTGACTAGAATATTGTTGAGGTGGCGCGAAAAGATGATAACTTGGGATGCAGTTAAAAGCCAATAGATAAGACACGATTCTGATGCATTCGATAGCTTGACGCGGCTCCACTTCTTTACCCCGCGTTTTGTGGGCTAATAACACATTTTTGGATGCTTCAGCCAGCCTCAATAGCTTAGTTGCCACATTGGTACGTCGTTCAGCCAGTCTTGTGTCTCCAGCTTCCATATTTGGCTGCAACTAGGTCAAACGGTAGCAATAGTCTTAATATGTATGCAACCGTTTTTGGCGATATTGACCAGGATTCCGCCACCTTAAGTGATGCTAGGTAACATCAGTAGCTGCATAAATCGCTGAGCCACTAGCCATAAACACTCATTGCCGCCGTTTGGATATGGCTGCATTAGCTTCTCTAGTCGAGTCCTGTTTCACTTGCGAATATGTAGTCACATGCCACGAATACAGTTTGTAGGTCTTAGAGGCCCGTAAAACACCATTGGTTATTTGTTCAATTCGGTTCTGGCCGATGAGACATGATACTAAGATTTTAGTGTCTTGGTATTCAGGACGCTATCGATAGTACGATCCGATAGCTGACCTTATTGTCATTTAGTTAGTGGCGATAGTTATGTCTCAGCATTGGTCCAGACCCTCAGCCGCAAATCGCTGGACTAATCAGATGTTGAGCTTCTCCTCAGATATCGACAGGGAGCGGTTGAAAATTAAAAACGTCCCAAAGTACAAAGCACCTATGTATATAAGAAGCATCACCCCTTGTTACCAAACATGCTTGTCATCATCTCTAGGACAGTTTTTCAGACTTATCTACTCCCCATATTTCTACTTCTCCCAACCACGGAAATCAGACACGCTGGATAAATTGCAGTGGTGCGGTACTGATTTCAGTTCCACAATGGCTTCTGAAGGTCTCTCGACGAAGGAGATCCTCCTTGATGCTGTTGAGCAAACAATCGGAGCCGATCTACTCAAGACCATCCAGCCTACTGACGTCTCCAACGTGGACCAAGATGTCAAAGGCCCCGCTATCACTCAGGCTCCGGTATGTAGCACCCAGCTGCCTGTCCCTCCGGTTTTCCAAGCCGCCATGGAACGTAACAATGGCTTGTGGGATATAGTTGTCGGGCTAAAGGAACACATACCTCGCTGGGCTCCTGGGTCAGTTATCAGGTGGACCGCCTGGCGAGCCGGATTCAAAAGCCAGGACGATGCCGACTACGCTGCTCAGCAGCTCAATGTTGCTGCAGAGAAATGGAATGAAGCTGACGTTGGTGTGACTTTCGAATGGGTACCGCTAGCTAAAGATGCTACCTTTGTTTTGACCAATGGTGGTGCCAATGGAACAACCCTCGCGAGAGCCTTCTTCCCCAATGGCGAGGATCTCAACTATGTTTTCGTGTACTCTTATGCATTTAGCCAAGAGTGGAAGCCACACAGTAAGCCCTTTCTGTAGCTTTGACATGTGTTCCCCAGGCTGACGATCTGCAGTGTGGAATGTCTTCATGCACGAGCTTGGGCATGTCATCGGTCTGCGTCATGAATTCGCTATCGGGGACGTTCGTGACGAGATGACTGCAGATAGAGAGGGCGAGAGGGCTGTTCGTATCGGTGCGCCTGATCCAATGTCTGTCATGAACTACCGCAACGAACCGCCTCAGCTCCAGCAGTCCGACATCGAGTCAACACGCAACTTCTATCGTATGACCGAAGACGCCAATGGCAAGAGCCCCGCGATTGGCATGACACAGATTATTGATTACACCCCTCTTTGAGCTGTTAGTGGAGAGTCGAGCAAGGAGTAGTAAGGAATAGTTCAATGATGCCATTCTCTTGAAATATCCTTTTACTTGGATGAAAGCTGCCTATCTCACAACATGTATATTGCCGGGTTTTAGCAGTCAATCTCTCACGTTTATGTATGCATTGAAGCATCGAATTACATTTCGCATTAAGCCCGGTCTTCGTCGCTAGCTACTGCTCCCCTTACGTATATCCTTCCTTTCCTTCCTCAGCTCTTTCGCCATAATCTCGTTATTTAGAACACTTACTCTCATTATACAAAGGAATTTCGTTGCTCTTGTGGTTTGACTGTGTGTGAGTTCCTTTCAAGTGAAGGGTTAGTTTAGTTATTTTCGTAAAGAGACGTCAACATAATGTACACCTTTGCTGAAGCACTTTAAATCCCAACTCATGATTCGGCAGCTTGTTGATAATGGGTGACATGACATAGACTGTAGGTAACTTGTGTAAAACGTTGCCCTGATCAGTTGGAGATACTCGCTGAGGGTTTATAATCTCTTCTTCGACTGTTTTGTGTTCTGCATGAAAACTGTTTGCCATATCTATTATCCGCATTACTGAACTCCATCTGGTTCGAACTGCTGCCAAAGAAGACCTGTCATAACATATGCCGCCACGAAGCCATCCAGTACACTCAGGCCATTTCACAGTGACTGAGTTATATGAGAATACCCGGAAAGAAAAAAAAGGATATGTCTTGGAAGTAATGACAGGATCGGGATTGTAACGGAGGACTAACCTCCAGTCCAGTTAACCCGAGCCGTCAGTAGCGTAGGATACTTTGCGTGAAACTCATAGGCTTTGTAGCCAGGATGGGTCAGTAGCCTGCAGTCGAGATTGTTATAGATTCCAGCCAGAATGAGCTTAGCCTTTCGACCACCTATCTACACTTCTGGTATTTCTAGTATACTGAAAGACTTTAGTCATGAGTAACATTATTAGATATTAATAATTCTTACATAAACCCATTATAGCTAAGATGGAACACTTATATGGCTCGCCTTGATAAGCCTGAAAGATCCTTGGTCCCTATTGGACTGTTACTTATTAATGTGAACCTGTTCCAGAAGCATGCTGTTGCAGCGGACATGACCAGCATTCGCCTTGAGCCCATCCGGGTATCGCCAGATATAGATAACAGTTACCAGCCACATTAACAAAGTATCGAATATGTACAACGTCCATTCATGAGAAAGAGAGTATCCAGTGTAGCCTTGAGCATACTCGATGATCCTAAAGATAGATCGGATCATAATGAGAAGACTGACAAAGTAAAGCATATAAAGAGTTGACTCCCAGGGCACAATGGTTCCGATCGACTCGGCCGTTGGTTCTCGGATCATACGTCGATGAAAGACCACGGACACAGTGCAGAATAGACCAAAGATGACGATCTGAACCGCAAGGCCGAGTACGACAATTCTTTAAGCCCACTTACTTAGATTTGCGTTTTGGATAACCGACATACCCGCGCCGCCGCCTTGGATCATAAAGGATAATACATCTCCAAGTACAAAAGTCCTTGTCAACTTTGTTGGCTTAAGAAGAGAGTGTTTGTCGGCGTTGAGTCCTCTGATGATTCGACCAAGAACCATGTAAATCGAGGCAGCAAAGAGGGCGGGGGCAACGAGGATGAACATGTTCTGAACGGCATACGGCATGATTTTGCCGGTTCTGCTATAAGCACCCGCGCGGACGCCATACCCGACCATCTCGACTACGGCGCGAAGGTTAGAAGACATAGCAAAATAGAAGGGAGGTGGTAATAACTTACAGAAGCAACCGATAGCAAACACGATGCAAAAATAGGTACATGTCTTCCAAATCTTCCAGACTATGCAGAGCAAAGAAGCCATGAAGAGCACCAAGAATATGGCTGCCGCGGGTACGCTGGGGCTGTAGCGCCAGAGGTAGGCGCCGCCTTTGGTAGGTTCGACTCCAGGGACTGGCTCGAAAAGACCGTCGGTGGACATTTTGCTGTCTGGTAACGAAGTAGGTATAGAAGTGGCGTGTAACTTGGTCAGTACTATGGCGGTTTAAAGTTAATGAATAGATGGAAATCTGCAGATGTGATAATGGGATTTTAAACGGTCTATGGGGATGGTTAGAAATTTGAAGGCCTTGCAATATTTATAAAGCATTCAATGCCACTCGCAAGAAATAAATAAATCATTCTCGGGTATGTATACGCGTCCTTGGGTTAGTTTTCCATCCATAATGCGATCTATTTCTGAAATTGACAATTCAGGGTCAATATCTTACATGGTCGAGCGGAGCCTAAGCACCCAATCAAATACTTCTGTAAACGAGGAACAAATCATTGATCTGAGCATACTGTCAAAGGCCAATCAAAAGCATCTCTATACGGTTGGATACGGGGATAGTGTGCATCAGTGGATACCGCTAATGATATCTCCGGAGGCTAAAACATGGCCTCGCCGATGCACGGTCAAATCTGATTCAGTCTTCACGTGCTATGCTCCACCATAACTACGTTAGAATACGAGTATCCCCCTTCTTTACAGAACTAGACTTGCTTTGCCTGTTCACATCCTCCCGACTTTCACAGTCGATTGACTCTCTGGAATCGTTGCTTGCTATGGCCCGCCCCAAGTCCAACAAGTCTTCCACAGCCAGTGACAAGCCCCTCAAACAACGTCGGTCGCACCGCAAATCTCAAAATGGCTGTGGCGCCTGCAAGCAACGACACATGAAGTGTGATGAATCTCGACCGATTTGCCTGAACTGCAAGATTTCCAACCGTTTCTCCAATGCATCTACATCAACACTGGTCAGAAACCTTCCCCGCCGCAAATAACGTCAACCGCGGATACGCCATCTCCTTTCCATCTCTCTTCTCATCTTTCTCCCACAGGCCCGACGTCAATATCGCTTAGCCCTGCTGAATCTGTTAGTTCTACTTTGACGACACTCAGAGACGCCCCAGCCAGAGGCGACTTGTTCGATCTCAGCCACTTTGCCCTTTATCATCATCTTTTAACCAATCGTCACACCATCACATCAATTGATCCCTCCAATGAGAGCGTCATCTCTCACACATTGGATTATGCACTTAAAGCTCCTTATTTGATGAACCAGGTGCTTGCCCTCTCTGCGCTCCATCTGAGCAATCCCCCTTCGCTGCAACAACCATATTATCAGCTTGCCACCAGTCTCCAGACAAGGGCGTTGGCCTTGTTCAATGAGGAGAAGCAAGAGGTCTCAGAAGAGTCATGCGTGCCCATGTTTCTCTTCTCGTCGATGGTTGGATTGCATGTCCTCTGCGATACCCTTCAAGGTCCAAGAGAGAGTTTCGGCGCTGTTCTCGACCGCTTCGTCACCTATCTGTCCATTCACCGTGGCGTTCGTGCTGTGACGAAACATTCATGGGATACAATCAAGACTTCAGGACTTGGGCCTGTACTACAGCAGGTCGAAGACGCGTTCCCAGCACTAGATAACAATATAGAAGCGACAACCATCCTCCACGAGATGGTAGACGCAAACGCCTCCCTGTCATCGGCCACCAAATACCACGACGCCGTATCTACGCTGCAGCGGTCCTTTTGTCTCCATGCAGCACTGAGTCAGCCAAACAGACAGCGATTCGATGCCGCGATAGCATTTTGTCTCGATGTTGATGACGAATATTTCGAATTGCTCAAGAAGCGACAGCCAGAAGCGCTGGTGATCCTTGCATTCTTTGCGGTCTTGCTGCATTGGAATCGATCCACGTGGATAATCGGTGATGGCGGACAGTATCTAATTCAGTCCATTACATCTCATCTCGGGCTTCATTGGGCAGAATGGTTACAGTGGCCTAACTCAATGCTTCAGGACAGCAATAGTAGTATTAGTAATTGATCCATCTAGAACAACAATAAATATTTGCAATTCTTGTCATTGTATACACATGCTAGGTAATACATTCTTTTTCCGTTCTATGGTACTGTCCCCTATCCTCTGCCCATATAAACCGCTAATCGATGCAGGGTCCAATACTTGACTCGGTGTGCTCAGCATGACGTACAATGGGTGTAGTCGTCATCAGCCACACGCCAATTCCAAAAGGTCAAAACTCCACATTCCATGGTCTTCACCCCACGAAGACATACAGATACGAGTATTACCCCCTCGGTAAAACATTTTCTGCCCCCACTATTACAAGACATTTTCTTATCTAGACCCTGTACCGTTAGGTGATGGAAGCTTCTGATGTGTTGCCGATTACGCGTGTAGAGAATGTGGAGTTATGACCGTATCATTGCATGAGAAACAACCATTGGCATTACAAGTGCCACAATTAGGCTAGTGCATCCTTATGGGGACTGCGATATTAATAGATATAAGAAGGCCTTAGTGTAGGCCACAAGAGTAAACAAATAGCAGGAAACGAGATGGTCCCATATCTACAAGTTATATTTTACCACTTGGCCCTATATACCAACCAAAGAACCATGTCTCTCTCTTGCGCTGCTAATGCTATTAGTCAGCCAATCATCTTCGGAGGAAAGGTTAATCGATTTTGCCGTTAACTTGGTCGAAAATTATAATTTTGAGGCAAAGTTATTCCTTTACTATGGCCACCCAACAACCGCCGCGGAGGATGTCAACTTTTGCAACGTCACCGTCACCTACACTCACCCTGGCCAGAACGATACTGTCCGCGTTGAAACATGGCTTCCTATGGACAACTTCAACGGTCGACTTCAGTCCGTCGGGGGAGGAGGCTGGGTCGCTGGACGATATCCGCCTAGCTATGCTGCCATGAGCGGAGCAATTAGTGAGGGCTATGCCGCCTCTACGACTGATGCTGGGCTACAGCTACAATCGGACTATGGTCCTGATAGCTGGGCCCTGACCAGCGAGGGGAACCCCAACCTCTCCCTACTCCAGAACTTCGCTTCTATCTCTCTAGGCGATCAAGTATGTTCTTACCATATCTTTGTAACCTGTTTATGCTAACAAGACTGGGCAAACATTGCTAAAGGGTTGGTCGAAAGCTTCTACAGGAAAGCACCGAAGTATTCATACTGGAATGGCTGTTCTCAGGGCGGAAGACAGGGTATGATGCTTGCATAGCAGTATCCAGAAGCTTATGATGGCATACATGCGTGTGCACCGGCAATCAACTGGAATCAGCTCTTCATGTCGACCCTTTGGCCTCAGCTGATCATGCAGGAGCTAAATTACTTTCCGTACCCCTGCGAGATGAATGCTATCTTAGCGGAGGCCATAGAGGCCTGTGATGCACTTGATGGTAGTATTGATGGAATCATCTCCAACGTGGACGCCTGCGATTTTGACCCAATGGACGTCGTCGGCAAATCTATCAACTGCTCCGATACTGCGAACATAATTAGTATCACCGAGGAGGCTGCCAAGATAGCCAAATCTACCTGGTCAGGTCCTACTGCTGCTGGTGGCAAGTTCATATGGTACAGCCCCAATACGGGAGCTCAGCTCAACGGACAGTCGCTCCAGCTTACAAGCGATATTGGACTTACAATGACCACGTGCACCAACGAGACTTGTCAAGGAGCTCCAGTGGGACTTGGAGAGGTTTGGATCAAGTACTGGATAGAAGCCAACCTGGACTTGTCGTGCAAGAATATGAGCCGAGAAGCATTCGATCTTTATGCCCATGAAGCTATTCAGCGGTATGAGTCAGTAATTGAAACCAACGATCCTGACCTGATAGCCGGGCTATCATGGAACGGTAAGTCTGATTTCTTACTCACGCTTGTCACCCAAGCTAATAAGTTAAAGCAAAATCAGATCATTCCAGTTAACGGCATAAGGCACTAATTTAAAAAGGTAAAGGAGATGATCCCTGAAGTCGTAAGCTTTTACCGCATAATATGATGATACGATTTTGAACGGCTTATCAGGGGTTTAGCCTCTTTCAGGCTTAAGTTAATAAGTATCCTATTTCTCCTTAAATCTCAACTACAAGACGTCCGTATTGTCCAGTTGTGTTCTTCCCGCGGACTACGTATGATAGATACATAATAGTGCCAGGCAATAGCAGAATTTCTCCCAGTGCGTTCCCCAAAAGGTATTCACAGAGTGTACTGTCAACACTAAACCGCAGCATGTTGTATGCTGCACTGGCGCCAGAAGAAGCAAAGTTGCTACTTGCCGGCGTTGTAGTTGTGTTCCCTTCTGCCGGTTGTGGAGTGGAGGTTAATCTTGCTGTTTGCTGTTGCTGAAGTGAGGGTGCCGAATTACAGTAAAGGGAAAACTCAACCTTCGTATCTATAACCCCTTTCGGCCAGACGATTTTGACAGGATCTGTAGCACTGTTGGTAATTGATTTAACCACGCTGACATTGCCGATGGACAGATCTCGAGACACAGCCTCAGGTGACAGGCACCAAGGTTTAGAAGAGACAATGTAGCCATCGGCTACTCCTGGCTCGGTGGCGCGAATGACATAGTAGCCAGCAAGCATTGGCTTACCAGGGATACTCCTCGATGCCACTGATGTTGTCGCCGTCTTATCGCTGGTATGAATGCGGACCACGGCGCGCCGACCATGGCAGAAGCTAACTGTCAGATCTGTATCGTGGAAGACCTGCTGCACTGGTAAAGTATTGTCATTGCTTTGCCTTAGCTGCTGATCTTCTCTGCACCAGCTGAACTTAGTCCCCGTAGAAACAAAGGATCCCGCTGAGCGATTGATGACCAAGCTAAGCGTATGTGTCTGAGTGTCGTAGACGGATTCATCCGAAATAAGAATCTCGGCAGGCGAGTAAGTCATGGATTTCTGTGCGACAAGCCGAACGACTGGAGTTACTAAAGGAACTGATGCTTCAGGCACTGTTATCGAAACTGTCACCTCTAAATCTTGTATGTCTTCGCTGTTGGCGGGCTCGAGGAGCGTTGTCACTAAACCACCAACCAAGCAGAAAACTGGGGCCGCTGCGAGTGGGATATTGTCATTATTTTCTGCCGCAGTCAGCCGAACAGCATACTGGTGACTGGGAAGAATCGGGTTCGGCTGCCAGGAGGCTCTAATGGCTCGCCCAGCTAGTGAAATCTGAAGCCCCAGTGGAGGAGCCATGATCGGCCATTTCTGCGCCGCAACAGCAGAGGGGGAGTCTTTCCAGCCAGTACCGTCTGGCGCTCGCTGGTAGGCATGAGCTGTCAAGAACATGGTGTCGCGTCCTCTTACGTCGAGTTCATAAGCATGAAGTTCTCCGACGGGCACCCGTATATCCTCGGGTCCCCGGTGTGGACAACTGTACGAGGACTTCCAGAGGATCACGTTTGCTGATTCTTTTGATGGCAGGATGGCGGCTGTTGCTGTCGTATTATCCCCCGATTCAATAAGATTAGTGGCAGCTTCCTTTGCCTCGACAGGTTCGCTCAGTGAAGGTATTGCAGGTGGCTGTAAAGGTGCGGCCGACAAAGCGGGTGTTGCCAGCAGGCTGAGCTCCCAGTCACCTGCGAACTGATCACTCGGAGGCACGGTGATGACGACACACTGTTGATCATTATCTTCCTCAGTCTTGTCGTTTTCGACCTTTAGCTGCAGTCCGTATGGCTGCTCAAGCCACGGAGTATGTTCTGCCATAATCCGAGCCCATTCGCCTACAAATGACTCTTCTGGCTTGTCGCCCATGTCAACTCGCATGCGGACAGCAATATAAACTTTCTCCGCTGACCGGAAGAGGTCGCCCCTGGTGAGCGGTAATTGACGGCGGCTGCCATGGAACAAAGCCACTAGGTTGTGATCATTCATGTCTTTATCATCAGTGGCCGTTGTCGCAAAGACCTCACAGCTTATGTTATGATAGTCATCCTGAGGTACATGCTTAGATGATGGGAGTGCATCGGACGGGATGTCGACGACCACAACGGCCTCATTGTTTCCCTCTGCGCCCTCAAGAAATGTAGCGGTGAGCTTCTCTTGCACTAGAGCCATTCGGCTTTGAATACCCAGCTTGGCTTTGCTCCTACTATCCTTGGACTCTGAAAGAAGTTTGGCAGAGTCGTCGTATCTGTCGGCGGCGATTTTTGGAAGTTCTGGAATGTCGCTCTTGCGCATCTTGGCCCCCAGACCGTCTTTAAGACCTTCCACTGGGATGTTTTCGAGTTCGTCAGAGTGCTTGAGGTACAACGTAATGAGATCGATCAGACCCATAGCGGAATAGTCTGCGGGGACACCCGAAAGGTCTGGTTTCGCCGGCTGTGGTGGTTTTGATGGCTCCTTGACACCACCAGTCTGACGGCCTCCACTGTCATCGCTGCCGCCGCCACTGCCGCCTGGCTGTGACCCTGACTTATCTCCTGCACGATTCAGGTAGTAACGGTCAACCAAGACATACCCTGTGTACCCGACAATAGCAATGCCTACCGCCCACCAAAACGCGCTCGAACTTCCAAGGGTGCTACCAAGTCTGACCAGCCACGATCCCGCTTTCGCCAATCCGCTTCCCTCACCAAGCTTCACAGCTGCACGTCCGAGCCACTTAAGGAGTGACGGCAGACCGACGAGCGGTATGGTCCAGGTTGGGATTTCGAATGGCGGATTCGGCTTGGGCTCCTCGGGCTTGGGATACTTTTCGTACTCCTTCTTCTTCTCCCGTAGTTTCTTGTCTATGTCATCTCCAGTTTTCTTGAACCGATCTTTGACCTCTTTGTAGAAGTTTGGGGCTTCTTTGGGTTTGCGACAGAGCAGCGCGACGAGCACCTCAAGTGCCAGCTTTTCCACAGCTGTTTTGAATAGAATCTTGCCCAGGAGAACTTTGTCGCCAAGGATCTTGCGGCCTATCTCAGCCAGGTTTTCGGTACTTGAGATTTGCTTCCAAATAAATTCAAGGAAACCTGGAATCGTGGGCTTGAACTCATCAAAGGCAATAGCGAACTTGAAATCCTGCAAGTGCACAGTGCCAGCGTGGAAGTTGTCCACCAGAGTGATGTCCAGATCCCATGTGACCATGAAATAAAACTTGCCAGGCTTCGTTGGCGCCGGGGTCATTGGAGGATCGTTGGAAGCAGTAGTCCCAGCTTGCACGATGGCCCCCTTTTCTTCTTTCGTCTTAGGCATGGCGGACTGGTCCATAGGTGGGAGACTGACACCAAACGTGAACTGCATCTGCATGAGTGTATTGAGAAACAGCTTGATGAGCTCTTCACAATCGTCCTTCTTACTGCCTAACTCAAGAGCCTTATCCATGTTGACAGTTTGAGCCTCCTCGGCATTGAAATCGAAGCCGCCGGCCGAAGCAGCCAGGAGATGTTTCAGAGTGGGGGGCCAATACGCTGGACGTCTCATCTGCCAGTTCGAAAAGCTCCACTTGCCATCATGGTAGCCAAATTTGAGCTTTGGATCTTTCCACCCCAGTAGATTACCATCGAAACTGGCCTCGCCGTCGAATCCACGTTTTTGTTTCTCACTTGATGGGGCAGAGGTATACTTGATGGATAAGTAGAATCCAGGCTTATCGAGAAAGGTCATACCGCTCTCAATGCCGTAAGAGACGGTTTTGTTGCCGCCAGTAGTGTCGAGACTTACAGTTATCCCTTCGATATTGTGACTCTTGTTCTCTGTTAGCTGTAGCAGATTTCCGATGTAGACGACTTCGCGAGAAGTGCCTTTGAGCACGACACCTTTTTGAGAATCGTCGATCGATATAGATACCATGATCGGGTGATCGAATACACTCAAATACGCAGTAACGCAGAAACCTGGGGGGAAGCTGCGTGTTTCTTGATCCATAGGCGCATCCTGTGACTTTCCCTGGGCTTTGCTATAACTCAAGTACGCTTCTGTCAGGACAATGTCATCATGTGTTTCGGTGGGCCATGATGTTGTTTTATTGTTATTACCCTGTGGAGTAGTTTCCAATACGTCTTTGAAGATTTGCGAAAGAGTTGTTGTTCCCGACTTTGGCTTTGCTAGAGTTGGAATTTCAGATTGTTGAGTATTTGATGGCGGGGCGACGACAGGTTCAGTCGGCATTGCTCCATAACCAACAACAACGAGAACTGGCTTTCCTTGCTCGAAGTGAATCAGCGCACCAAGACGGCGTTGTTGACTCGGCGTTGCATCCGAAGTCAATCCTCCTCCAAGACGAGCAGCGCCCGTGATTGTACAGGCTCGCACGATTTTACCGTCCTGTTGCTTAACTGATGAACCTTGGATCATAAGAGACTCCAGCCGGACGTTAAACATTTTGCCAAATGGATTATCGATTGACTGACCACCTGGAACTACCTCTCCCCGCGCCGAAAATCTGGTAGACGATTTATCCATAAACAGTGACACCGAGAAGTCAAGTGCTTTTGGCTTTCCCTCTTCAGACCCAGCACTCAAATCATCAAGTCGGAATCGAAGTGAAGCAAAAGGAATGTCCAATGTTCTTGTCTTCGGGGTATATGTCCCTGAACCATTCAAGGTGACAAGCCCAGCAAATATATGCAAGTTTGAAACGCTGACGCCGTAGATGGAGCCCTTGCTGTCTTTATCCTTGCTGATATGTGCCCATAACTGGGCACTTGCTTGTTCCAATGGTGGAAAAGACTTGTCTTGGTTTGAAGGCACAGGTTGTTGCAGCTGTGGTACTTCGTGCAGATCGACACTGATTACCGAGTTCATGGTCTTTGTCTTGTCCCTTACAGAGCCCAGCCTCAGATCGGCAAAGAACCAAGCGCCAGGCTCCATCTCGGCTTCTGGGAGATTCTTTGACAAGCTTATGGCATCGGACGCAAGTGCAGAGAACTGAATGCCAGCATGGCTCCGACTATCATCAGTCCCAGGTGGTTGACTTGTTACAGGATGCGAGCTTGTGGGTGCTTCTGGAGTCGATGGTTCCTTTGCCGGTTCAACTTGGATTGGTACATCATGAAGTGGCAAATGTTCCTTCTCTCCCTCAACTATTGCTTCCTCTAGCGCTTTCCTAATTTTGAGGAGGCTAGTCTTGTAGCTGATAACCACGACACTGAGCTTCGAAATGTCGAATTGGGAGTCAACATCCTCGTTTAGATTCGACCATAGCTGGCCAATGTTGCGAGCTTCAAGCATGAACAAGTACTGTCTTGGACCAAGTTTCTCAGTTTCGGCCTTATCAGTAGATTTCTCCTGACCAGAGAGTTGGTCCAATGTTGGCTTCGCGCCGACGGCGTTATCTTGTCGTTGATGGTGAGCCCAAAAAACAGCGGACCCGTGGCCCTGGACTGTAGCAGCGACGAGGAGCTCTTTCTTCGTGATGTCAGCAAGTATGGTTAGAGGCCTGTCGTCGCTGACAACAATCGAATCACTCCAAGAGGGCACAATGCTATCCCAAGCAGGCGTCTGAGGATTGTCTTGGTCGATAGGGCTAGGGATAGAGCTGGCCTCACCAGGAACTGGACTCTGTTGCACTGTATCTGTTGACTTGGGCTCCTTGGTCGCAACTAGGTTAGCGATTGTCGAAAAAAGAACTCCAGCCTTCTGCCCGCTGGACGCACTGCTTTCTCGTTTGAGAGTGGCATAGAAAACGGCGTTGCGCTCCGGTCCAATGGAAACGCGAGCATCAGCACTAGCAAATGCACCAAAGATAAGATGTCCCGCAAGATAGGCTTCGTACGTCGGCTTCTGCACAACCTGTCCTACAAAGCCACCTTCAGTGTAGCGGAAGAAGGCTGCGATGCTTTGAAGCTCAAGCTTGACTCCGCAGACAGTCGCAGGCCAGGAGCCCTCTCCCGCGGCCCAGACCTCAACTTTCTTAGTCGGTTCCAGACGTACACGAACGCCGACAGATTTCGGTTTAGGAACAACGCGAGGCATGTCAGAATGGTATGCGATTTTCGAGGGAGACATGGACGCGGACTTGGCGATGGTAGCAAAATCGAGCTCTTCCTTCGCGTCTGCGTCATCGCCACCGTTGGCAACAGCAGGAGGATGGATTTCACCAAATGGTAAGTGAGCAGCAAATACCTTCTCGCCTACACGAGCATCGTAGATATAAGAGAGGTTAACTAGGTCATTGCCAATTCGAATCTGGCCGTGCAGTGTGCCACTCAATCCAATATTGGGGCGCGAGTCGTACTGGACGTCCAAATAGACATTTTCAATGCATACCTTCGGGTCTTCTAAAGACACTACAAGTATTGGATCAGTCAGGTGCGCAGCCACGTGGAATCTTTTCAGTCCCAACTTCTTGGCGTTAGGGGTTGGTTCGCTCGGAACGCTCGAATCTCCTCTAGCCTTACTGTTATCTTTGTCGTCTTCCTCCATAGGTTTCAGTTCAACGATGGGGTCAGCGTCAGATATCTCCCCTTCCAGAGCGTCGATAGATAGATCAAACACTCGTGGCAGAATCTTGGTACTTGGCTGGGGGAACTTGAGTGAGGACTCGCCAAAGTCCAGAAGCGAAAGAACATTTCCAAGGGTAATTGAGTTGGCCTGCGTTGGAAAGATGCCAAAGCTGAGTGTCTTTGTTTCTTGACCCTTAGACGCCCAGAGACGAATGGTAGCACGAACGGCACCCTTCCTGATGATTGCTACCACAAATAGATTGGATTGTAAGCCTTTTGCCTTGGCTTTCTTCACCAATGACCCGGGTCTTTGGTCCGTAGGAGCAGACACAAGTGCATTGTCTGACTTGGGATGGACATCATCTGGGCGCTCCGTAGAGAGTTTGTTTGACGCAGAGTAAATGATGGCCACTTTCTCCAGTACAAGGGACTGGACATGAAGTTGAGTGGTCTGATTGCTGACAGTGACCTTCAAGCGACGAAGGGCAAGGTTGGACCCATTGAGACCATTCTTTGCAACATCATTGTCGACTTTGTCGAATATCACGAGCGACTCTTCCAGACAAAGTTGGCCGATAAATGGGAGTAGACTTGCCATGTTTGCCGCCATATCCCGAGGAAGACAGGCATTAAGGAGCCGACTAACTGGAACCATGTTGTTGGCCGTCAATGCCGCCCCGATGCTAGTATTCTTGGGTAGGCGCTGGTACCAAATCTCAGCAGACAAGTCGCCATCCAAGAGGTTCGCACTAGCTGCAAGGAGAAAGCTACTTGGATCATCGCCGGACGAGGATGCTTCATAGTCGATAGTGACTCTGAGGTCGTGCATCTCAAGTGGACCCATAGTGATGAGCGGATGGGCCAAAGTAGTCGAAAACGATATGATTGACAAGTCATCAAATTTCTCCATGGGCTGAGTGACAAGACTCAGAAACGTCAGCTCGGTTCGGGCCAGCTGGCCGAGAACCGGGAGATGGTCGAGACTAGGAAGACCAAAGGCATGGGTCATATCGGCGAGAGATACCCCCCTTTCCCCGATCGTGCTCTCAACATCGACAGTGAGCAAGCCAACCTGCGTTGGAGTAGGTGCCTGCAGGCTCATGTTGACGTATTTGACTTCATCCGGCTCATTTGGGTCTTGAGACCTATTCCGCACAATAACAGTACCGCTCAAAAAGCATTCTACTTCTCTGCTAAACTTCCTCAGGGTTACATCAACGCCGCTGAGGGTGAGTATGTCCTTAATCAGGGTGACATTTGGCATTCCAACATGAAGACTCCAGTCGGTGAAGCTTAGCTCGCCACTGCCACCCTGTCGGCTCACGCCCAGGCTCACGCCGTAGACGTAGACCGCATCCAGCACTTCCGGGATAAAGGGCACACCCTCTTTTATGCCCTCAAAGATTTTGGTCTCAGACAAGCCCGTTGCAGACAAAAACTGCTGGAGCGAGAGGCCGTGCTCTGAAGCAGAGATATCCAAGCGAAAGTCGTAATCGTTATTGGCAACTAAAGGGACGGCTGAGAGGGAGACATCAATAAAAAGAGGATCCTCCTTCTCCATCTTCTCTTGGTTGGTCTTTTTACCGACCTTGACCTCAAGCTTGAAACCAACATCCACCGCTACACGTCTGTTGCTCTCAAGCGGGTCGAAGATTGAGACATCTACTCTTGCATCTTGGACACAGTCTACCCATGCGGTTGGCAACCAATCCTTCCACCCAGAAAATTCCGATGACTCAATCGCAAAAAAGACGCGATGCAGCTCACACTTGCTCAGACGTTGGACTGATGACTGCCGCAATACAAACCCTATAGAACCAGCCTTGATCTTCGCCTGATCGGCATTAGGTTTAGTAGCGTCTGAGGAAGAGGTCAAAGGCAGCATCACGTCCTTGAAGATACCATCCATACTCTTGCCGAGCACAACGGCAATGTCAGCAAGGGACGATGCTCGGTGCAGACAAAAGTAAGTGTATGTGTCTGCAGTGCTGCTAGATAGTGATAAATCCACAGCCATTAGCGCTTCGACTACCTTGGCCTTGTTGGGTGGCTCATTTTCAGAGCCCTTGGCCTCCATATATGACAAGCCGACAACCGCGTACATAGCAATATGCTCGCTGTCAAGACGTGCATCGCTCACCACGATTTGCACGTCTTCAAGCCTTAGAGAGATGGGGCCGAAAGAGACTTGGCGCTTCTTGGTGGCATTCTTCTTGTCCAAATCAAAAGCAATGACTGCACTCTGTGGTACCATTTGATTGGTAGCACTACTTGTCGCGCGGCCAGTCGACCGGGTCCAATCCGGTTTACCGCTCATCAATAGCTCGCTGAGGGATGCGAGGACAAGGGGCAATCGGTCATATAAGCTTTTCACGGCGCCGCGGTCGCTGGCCAGAACGAGAGCCAGAGCGTCGAGAACGGTCATGGTCCGTATAGTGTCATTAGCCACGCCTATCTCATGGATGATCTTGTCGAGACGCGAGATCGTGTCAGCAGGACGAATGACTTTCGTGATATGGACCTGTGTCACGCTGCGTGATGCTTCTCCGTAGTAGTCGTCGTCACTACCATCATCATCATCGGGGGTGCTACTAACGGACTCCGGCTTTTGGGCACACGTGAGAAGTAAGCGGAGAATGATGGGGCCCCCTACAGGACTCTCAATGAGTATCCGAGCATCCGTAATAGTTAAAACGCCACTGCCCTCACTTGGTGAGATCTCTCCTCTTCTTCCTATATTGACTGACAGCGAAGCACCACTGCTTGGTTTGAGAATCAGCACAGCCATGCTGGAGACAATTCTCTGAGGCCCGCTGCTGTCTCCACTGTCGCCATTTGAGGTGAATGCTACTGCTGAGTTGGCAGTATCAACTGGCCATCCTAGTATTTCCTTTTCGTGCGGCTGCTTCATGTTGAATCCGTCAATATTGCCGTCGCCGACAAGCGCTACCAAAGCTTCCCGGGCATTCTTAACATCCTCAGGCGTGAGTTGACTTGCGGATAAAAATGCTTTCATGTTCCCCTGAAGTTTCCCTCCTATCGATGGGGTATTACTGCCATCATTGTTTTGGGTAGTTGTATGTGCGTTACCAGCATCGCGACCTTGAACAGGAAGAGGAGACATAGCGGTGCTAGTTAATTCGCGAGTCAAAGCAGTGTCAAGACTGCGCGGCATCGCCTCTGTTTCTCCCCCAACCGCCTCAATTGCTCCCTCGTTACGGAGCGACTCAGGGTCAGTATTGAGATTTGCAACGGCCGACTCATTAGCTTCTGCTTTTGGCGCTGGTGCCTCTTCTTCTGCTACTTCTATGCCTTCTTCTTCGTCGGTAGCCGACTCGCTACGTTGCACGTTTAGGGCCCCCAACCTGGGAACAAGAGATGTGGCTTCAGGAGCAACCACGTGAGCCATGAAATTGTCGGCTACCACATTGCTGAGAGATTTGCTGCTCATGATTTGTAAGGGCTGTGGTGCTTGGCGTATGGGCTTGAAGGAGAAATGAACCACATCCTTTCGAAGTCTGTCATTGTTAATAAATGCATCGTCAATTTCGCAAGTCTTGGAGGCTTCGTTGTACACAAAGCTCCTCCGAACATATTCCGTTGCAGCTTGTGCTTGGCCATGCGGCTGAACAGCCGGTTCTTCCTCAACGTCCCATGAAAGAGCAAATTGGCCTACCACAGACGGTATGGCAGTCACGAATCCCTTCATTTGGAAGCCATTTTGAGGGTTACTGAGGACAACAACGTTCCGCTGGGCCATACCTTCCACCATCCATCCCTCACGAACAACCAACGCCTGCACAGGTTTATTCTGGGTTAGCTGAGGGTCGTTGTCACCCTTCAGCTCGAGATAATGAGTGGCCAATGAATCAGTAGCCAATGAACCAGTACTTGTTGACACTTCAAAGTACATCACTAGGCTTCGCGAGATGAAAGCCCACTGCTTCAAGCTTTCCATCTTATCGTGTCGTTCCTTGGCCCACTGAGCAAATTCCTCATTAGAGACAACGCGATCGCCTTCAGCAAGCCTTTTCCCTTCATTGTCGGTGCCAATCACAAGAAGAGCCCGGGTTGTGTTGTCCAAGTCGTGTATGTTCTCAGCAAAAGGAAGATCGACATTCAGAGTATCGGTTGCGGTTCTTTTCAAGCGGATGGTTTCTTTATCATCGCGCTCGCAGTGAGTCATGTCCGGGTTGGCTGTCAAACTGACCATGGTCTGCAGAGTGGCGGGGTATCGTACATGCAAATACTTTTCGAGTATCTCGGTGGAGCGAATACCGCGAGCACGGCACAAGCTGTCCAAAGCAACATGAGGAAACGAGTGGGGGCTGGTCAGGTACAAAGTAGCCATGCGGCCTTGTTCCTTTAGTGCCAGGGCCAGTCCTAACAGGGTCTCGGCCCTTGGGTGTCCGTGGCGGCCCCCGTGAGCACTAACAGTGTAGGCGTCAGCCTTGAAGCTCACGAAGAAGGCCTTGACCTGAGCAACTGCCCGGACATGATCAAGCGTAAAATGGGCGATGCTATCACGTTCCCCCACGCTCGTCTGCACCCATCTTTGCCACCACGCGAGCCTCTTAGACTTGACAATTCTTTCTTGTAGTATCGGCTCCTCCTTAACAAACGCCAGACCCGGGAAGAGATTGAATTTTCGTTTCCGAGTTTTCTTCTCGCTAGGCATTGGACTTGATGATGGTGGAAGTAGATTCAACCCTTGGTCTATCGGCAGGTCGCGGAGGCTGCCACCAGCGTTCTGGAGATTGCTCTGTATGCCTCCGGACATACTTTTGGTCTGGTCTGGGAGTTTGACTTTGACGGGCGATGAACGGCTGCGTGTCGTTTTTTCTTTATTCATGTTCTTTCGCATCGCTTCTCGACGATCCGCGCTGACCGACACTTCGTAATCTATCTCAAAAAAGAGGCGCCGATGTTCCTCATGCTTTGTGCCGTCCTCATCTGCCCTCTGGCCAAGATCATCAACAGCGAGCGTAACTTGCACCCAGATTTCTTTCAACTTTGTCCTTGTCAACTTTCCGGGAAGTGCAATCAGGGTATCCTTCTGCCCCTTTGCAATGATACGCCTGTTCCCTAGGATAGTCTGGTGACGATTGACGAGCACATCGCGAAGCTTCGTCAGGTCTTGCCAATCCTCCCCTGTTATATCCCGCAACTTCTCTGAGATAGTATTCTTCAGCCATTTGAAAGCTTCAGGATGGGCGTCGACGATGTCTCTGTAACCAGAGATAAGGTCGTGCTGCGGGTTCATGTTGGCTAAAAGGGTGAACAAGACCATTGTCTCATTCAACGAATAGGCATCGGCCAAACTCTTTCTGTCGCCACCAAGAGTACCAAGTTGATTGTCTAGCTGACTTCCATGGTGTTGTATCTTGTAGATAGAAAAGTGCCGACCACGTACGTAGGAGTGGATGATGTCAGCGGTATTGTCTCCTGTCATGTAAATGCCTCCGTCAGGTTTCTGCTGCTGCTGCTGCTGCTGTGAGTGCCAATCTCCAGGCAGATGCATGAGCAAACTGGCATAATTGATGTTATCGTACTTCTTCTTCAGTTCCGAAGGATCAGTCTCTGGTGTTATGACGCCTTCTTCCTCATCACCATCCTCGCCTTCATATTCAGCGACGTCGTCTGTGGACTGGCCCAGCTTTACAGCGAAGTCTGCGGCATATTTTTCAATTGACTGTAGGTAGTCTTGCTTGAACTGATTAATGGTCATCGCAGGGACAGCACCGGCCCGTCGGGACAGACAAATAACAGTCGGTTTGTGCCTCGCTTCCTTTTTCAGAATAGTGAGGTCTTCTCCTTTCTCACGCTGCGAGACGTTCAGTTCGTGCTGCTCCTTTCCATAGTCGCTCTCCACAGGCGGGTATTCAATTGTGCCGTACACGCCAGCATTCTGGCTTGTGCGACTCCAAGTATCCAATGGCCGCATCTTGGGGCCCCCTCCGATCAAGTCATTGAAAAGGCTTTGGATATGATACGATGAGCCTTCCGAGTCCTTTTTTTTGGGTTTTCTCTTATCACCAGGGGCATGTTCAGTCATGGCAGGCATAATAAGCCCTGAGTCAATATCCACTAGGTCTTGATCTCCGCCATTGGTGGCTTGACCACGATAGTTTTCGTATAGCAGGTCGTATAAGCCCTGGCAATGGTCTGCGTGCTGATGAGTGTTGACCAGGGCGCTGAGTCGGATGCGGCTCGTATGCACATGGCCGAGATGATGTTCAGAGTACCACAGATGCTTCGCCGCTGAAAGAAAGTACTTCCAATAGGGCGCGGTTCCGTTAACCCGGGCAGACGAGTTACTGTCGTCCTCTGCATCTTCTACAGCCGTCTTCTGTCCCTCTTTTTGATCTATCCACGGTGTACCAGCATTATCTCGTGGCCCGCCATCCACTGCCATGAGCTTTCGCTCGTTCCCAGGACCGGAATACTCCACATACATGGCATCGCCATACCCAGCGTACACCAGATGCAGGATTGGAAGTCGTTGTGCTCGGTCGCCCATGTTTTCAGCAGTTCTTGTGCTACAAAAGGATGAAGGATAACGAAAAAAGCTAAATGGCAACGAGACGGAACCTTCGAGAGCAGTAAAGATAAACAATTTATTACAGAATTCAATTTTTAAACCAAAACAAAAAAAAGCGAAAAAGAAGATCAATACTCTGTACTGGCAAGTAAGTTATAAAGTGAGGCGTAGTCAAAGTGTACAGTGTACTGCTCGGTAAGCGTGTCAAAGAGATCAATGCAATGGCAGTAACTGTCAAATCGCCTAGATAGAAAGGAAGTTTAAAATAACAGACATTGAGCTCCAGATGATTATTTATGTGTGCTAACAGGTTCCAGGGCGCTTAGTCCTGCATTCTGTTTGGCCTGTAAAGTAAACACCTATCTCAGAGGTCGTGGTGGATTGTTTGTGGCGTAACTTAGTTGAATAAAATCCCAGGCTCTTTTACTGCATGCAGAACGGCAGCCCGACTTGTAGGCAGTTGTTACGAAGATATCACAATATCCCTGAACATGAATGGCATGTGATGAGCACGGGGTCGCATTTGTAGTGTTCCGATTGGCTGAAGTCCGCATGATAGCTGAACTATTGGAATTGCTTGTTACCATCTTGGTTAGACCAGGCGGGACAGCCAGGTCAGACCTTGCTTACAGGGGAATTTAAGGTACAGTACGGAGTACGCAGTAAGGTTTATTTATTTCTGACCTAGCAACCCGAGCCAACAAGTTGAAGCACGATCAGATCATTACAGTCAAGGGCACAAGGCACAGGTGAAGCAGATCATCCCTGACGCCGCAAGCTCTTACCGTATGTTCGAAGTCTCTGGACTTCTGCACTGCCCAGGCAGCAAGGGAGGACAGCCGACAAACACGTTTGATGCATTCCGAGCATGGGTTGAGAACAGGACCATACTAACAGAACTCCCTCATTCTTTTAAGGACGCAAATGGTTATGAGCAACATCATCTTTTCTGCCCTTGCCCTAAAATAGCGTCATTGAAGATAGATAACAGCAACAAGGCCGTATGAAGTCTACTGACTTTGCTTGCGTCTGAGTTTGTATTAATCTTAGGTAGTTTATCTACTTAAGTGGCCTTGTTAGCGACGCAGTAGATATTTGCCAGAGAAGAAGGGATTGCAGTCTTGTTCTGGGAGGTGTCGTCTACTGGTATGTTGCTTATTGTAAAGGGAGCTTAGTTACGGGTAATTAGAGCACACTAAGCCCGGATTATAATAGACGCTTCCCGGAGATCCAACCCAGAGACCCAAAGAAGCCCCACTCTTGGTAATCGTGTGCCATCGCCTTCCCTTATCATCATGGAAATCGTCAGCGAGCCATTGACTCAGACCTAGTGATACTCATTTGCGTATTATCCTTACACAAAAAATGTCGCGAAGCTTACAAGCGTGTTATGGCTGGTATGGCTCTCTGTGTTCTACCTCACATTTCTAAGAGATACTAAACCGAAGATGATAGCCGAAGGGCAAAAGTTAAATGCGATGGTGCAAGGCCGCAATGTATGGTATGCTCGCGCATACAAAGACATTGTCGTTGGCCGGAGACTCTCGCCCCCGGTGGCTATAGGGCTATACGTTTTGAAAACACTTCGCCAGTGACCGCAGGGCATGCCAGGGAGTCACTTGTGCCAGAGATTACACAAACTGGCACTAAATTTATGCCAAGTAGAATAACACCTCTGCTGAAGCAACGCCTCCTTCAGGCCTTCTCCCATACTCATCAAGGTGTGGAGCTTTGTGGCTGCATTCCGCTGGATACATTTGCAGACGATAACATTGACGGAGAAGATCAGTTCCTGCTCGAAGCGGTGCTTGCCCTGTCTGCTCTCCATGTTACAGATTCTGAGGTGATACGCACTCGCAATTCAAAACCGCCAAAGCTGTCATGCGGCATTATCGACATTTGGCACAAGCATCGTCTCGGGACTACTCTGATCGACCTACCAGTAAGTTTTGCATATGCTGCTCCAATAGCATAAGATGGGATATATTACTCACAGATATCAAGTCACGACTATACGAGCGAATTTGGTCTTGGGCCTCTGTGAGCTGCTAACAATGGCTGGTTCCAAGGCGTGGCTCCACATTGGGCTTGCAATTCGCTTCGCCCAAACTCTGCGTATGCGTTCGGAGCATAACCGACGTTTGAGCCCGTATCAGCGAGAGATTCGTAGGCGCACATTCCGGGCATGTATAACGCTTGACCGCATTGTTGCCTACTCTACGTTCCGAACACAAACGATAGCCCTGGATTTGGTTGAGCTGCATCTCCCCTGCAGCGAAGCGGCTTTTGTATTCGGACGTGAGACCCCAGGGCGGCGGATTGAGGAGCTTGGACGCGAGCTTCAAGATAATTCTGGCTCGTTAGCCTTGGCCTATCTTGTCAAAACTGTTCTCCTTTGGTCACCCATAGCTCAAAGTTTTGTTGAGCATGGCCGAAGGCTCCTATCGGGGAAACACAGCGCAGAGGCTTGGGAGAGGTATTGGCAATCTGATGCAGCCATTACCAGTTGGCTTAATAGTCTCCCGAGCGGTATGAAATGGTCCGAGAACAACCTCAGAGCCCACAAGTCCCTCGGACAATCTTGCCATTACGTTAGCATGCATTGCTGATCCAACGTGCAATGTTTATTGTGCACCACGAGTTTTTGGTGTATGAAGAAGATCAAATCTCACTGCCAGATATTCTTTCAGTTCACATTACGACCGCAAGCGGCTCGACAGTCAATGAGCAAAGTCTTACCAGCACACAGGCTTGCGTTGATGGGGCAATGCAAATTGTGAACATGCTACGAACCATTGAGCGAGTTGCAAAGGAGATACCTCCAAACCTTTTTGCAGGTACAGCCATATCAACGTCAGCCAGTCTCTTGCTCTGGGTCTGCTATTGTAGCCCTGATGTCGTGTTTCCACCAGGATCCCGGATTCAAGAGCCCGATATGGCCAGACAGGATGCCAATTATCTGCTACCGGTTTTAGACACTTGGGCCGGCACTTGGCCTCGGGCTCGAGCATGGGCCAACTCCATTCGACTGTTGGATGAGTTCTACCGGTCAAGGCGTGGTGGCCGAGGACTCCCTCGAGCAGCTCCACCCGACGAGACCATGCTGCAAAATGAAAAGAGTGAGCCTGACTCTGGCGCTGGCTCATCAATACACTTGCGCGATGGGGATGGACTTCCTGATGTCAACACGATCCCTAGGGAAACATATTACAAGGTCAGGATGATCACTGGCTTGATTCTTGAACAGCCTGAAATATGCAGATCTATCCTGCAAATGCGGGACGACGAGCCTTCCACAGAACAGTCGGAGCAGGATCCAGTCTCTTGGCAAGCCGACTTTGACTTTGCATGGATGGAAGACACAGAGCTTATGGCGGAGCATTCCGTCCTGACAGATTATGCTATGTACCTTGATATTTGAACACCAGCCAGTCTGATGTAAACACCAACTAATCCAAATACTATCCTAGGAGATACATGAACATCTGAATTCCTCTTTAGTAGACATATCTAAAGTTCCTGATCTGGGTATCCGTCTTGTCATCCATGGCCATAGCTTCAGACAGTGCTTCACGAGAAACAGGATCGGCGTCGGCCATGTCCATCGTGGCCTCCTCGAGATCGCGATTCTTGTTGACCCAGATAAAGTAACGACGGAAAGTATAGGAAAGCACGAAGCAAGCTGATAGGGACACCATCATAGCAGCAAATCCGCTGTCATACCTGGGGGCCTCGCGCGCAAAGAACAGCTGTGGGCCAATGATGTTTCCAGCGCAGTAGGCAATGAAGACCTTGAATCAGAGCGGATTAGATCAAATGACAACCAAGGAGGGAGAGGTAATCTTACCAGAGCATTAACAGTCGTCTTCTTGGTGAAGCCACCAACGTTGCCTGACATCAGCGACATGACGAGGGGGAAACACCCAGAGTAGCCGCCCATCAAGCAAGTGCCAGCATAGCGTCCCCATCTGTCATGTTCTGGCAGTTCACGGACAAGGGCAGCTCCAACGAGAGCCAGGGCAAAGCACATCATCATCCAGTAAGTACGTGTGCCCTCCCAGATCCTGCTACCGACGGTGCAGACGATGACAAGAATCAGTTGCAACCCATAAGGCGCCATCTGCAAGAGGAGAGTCTGGAAAGTGCTAAAGCCAATACCTTGCAGTATAATGGACCTGAACTGCCAAGATGTTAGAAGGGTAATATCACAAGGGAAGCTAGCTGTCTGTCTTACTGAAGTAATGCCGCCGTTGGGTATGTTGAGTCCAATTTGCAGGAAAAACAGGAACCATGTCTTAGGGTCAGTCAGATCTTCCTTGAACTGATCCCACTTGAGCTCATTACTCTTGATACCAGTCAGATTATCCTTTACCCTGATCACAGCTTTCTCCCGATCCTCTTTGCTCAGAAGCTAGGCAGTAGTTGGCGCGTCGGGAAGAAGAAAGATGTTGGCAATTCCCCAAAGAACAGTAGCTGCGCCTAGGAAGAGGAAGGTTCCCTGGACGAGAGGTCAGTCAAAGAGCACTTGTTAAGCCAGCTAAGGCAATCACATACTTTCCACGGCGCAATGATGCGGATGTGGCCAATGCCGAAGTTTAGAAGACCTCCTAATGCTCCAGCCGTGGTGTTGCCTAGGAACCAAGCCGCGTGACATAGTGGCTGTTCTTTGCGCTTATAGAACATGGAGATCATAATAGTAAGACCAGGAGCGATGGCAGATTCCGCTACACCGAGGAAGAATCGAGTGGCCAGAAGACCAGCAGCATTGTGACAGGCAGCAGTGACCATAAGGACAGCACCCCAGATCAAGCTAAGAGCGGTATAGTATTAGTACAAGCGCATCAATGCGGCAAGGCAGGGGTCTACAGGGGTTTGCTCACATAGAAAGGGTAATAGACTTGCCCACTTTCCACTTGACCATCATTAAGCCCGCTGGGTACGAAGCGATCAGGTAGCCGAAGTAGCAGATACTGCTGGCCCAAGAGTATTTATTGCCTGTGAGCTTCAGGTCCGTACGGAGGCCGAGAATCGCGGTCGACGCAAGGGCGGATTTATCAAGGTACTGGAAAGCGTAGGAAAGGGCCATTACAGGCAGTAGCCTATAGTTCGTGTCAGATAACAGCGTGTAACAGTGGATAGATATATCGTGGAATACCATCGTTCAAGAGTTCTGCGAATGCGTAGGTCGTCCTCGGGACTGATCCTTTCGATGACACTGCCGGTATCCTCTGAGCCTGCATACTGCTTCTTTCCGTCCTGGTCCATTGCCGTGCGCAGTCTTCTGACTTGAGATTAGAGTAAAGAGATGATGAGGTGATGATAGAAGTATGTAGATCCAAGCATCCTGATTTATATTTGCAGAAGGTTTTACGCATCTTTATATTCCACAATCCTTATCATGCAGGAAACCCACTTGCAGCAAATCTGGGGTAAAGCCTGATGCGGAGTTAACGGGACCACGGAGACTAGCCATCTTTGGCAGCAAATTGGCGCTCTTCGTAACGGAAACTAACTTCAACAAGTAATAAACTTCCGTCTCTGGCATTCGGTGTTACCGACTCACCCCGTGTATTCGATCTTATAAGAATGATTAGTTCATACCCTTATCTAGAGATATTTTAGTCGGAAGGACTTTTCTTCTTCCTTATCCTATCTCAAGTGTATATTTCTCTCAACCACCCTTCTCACCTGTCCATAACCAAGTACCATAAGTCACTCTGTATTAGTCACAATGATCGAGCTTCACTGTTCAGGTACGCACTATGAGGTACGTGCATACCAAGACATCAGACACAAATTAATGGGGAGACTAATATACCTCAATAGATTGGCTACAAGCATGGTAGCGAGACAAAAGAGCTCGTGCACGGCAGTCTCGAGTTCTATACTGAATTTTTCATCAAATATTCCAAAATGAGCTGGGCCAAAGCGGAAAAGGCGGCAGCGCCATTTCTGCCTTATCTCGAGGAGCATGTACCGCATTTGGTAGAAGAAATGAGAGGTACGTATATACAAACAATACCAAGGTTCAAGAAGTGCATCCTGAATCTAACGACAAGCAGGTATTGCTGATGGGGCTGGTGTTACGTTCGACGCGATTCTCGCGCTCAATGCTCGATCTGAAATAGCCATGGGCATGATGGACGATGGCTGCACTTCTCTGTCATGGAAATCTGGCGACTTTGCGATTGGAGCCCAGAATTGGGATGTAAGTACTCTTACCTGCACTCATATACACCTTGACAAAAGCTGATATTTCGAATTGATGTAGTGGGAAGAGCCACAAAATGCCCGCCTGGTGCTTATGCACATCAAGCCTGCAAAGGATGGACTTATCCAGAGACCAAGCATCTGTCTTGCCACGGAAGCAGGAATACTCAGCAAGAGTGGTCTCAACTCGGCCGGCGTTGCGGTCTTGGTCAACGCAATCATGGCAAGGGGCGTCAACTACAAGGCACTGCCTTTCCACGTGGCCATTCGCGCAGCCCTAGACTGTGAGACACGCCTCAAGGCCGTGGCTCGTATCCGCTCCCTAGGACTCGGAACCTCGGCGCACCTCATGTTTGCTGACAAGACTGGGGGCACGTCGCTGGAGTTCAGTCACATGGACGTCGTTCAGATGGAGATGGTTGGTGGAAAGATTGTGCACACGAACCACTTCTTGCAGGAGCATGACGAATCTGTCATTGACAGGGTCATCTTCCCTGACTCGATCAGCCGCCAGGAGCGTATTACGCAGCTCTTGGATGAGGGCTCAGACCGCGTCAAGGCGGGACAATCACCCATGTCTTGTGTAGAGGAGATGCTCGAGGACGAACAAAATTTCCCGACGGGGATCAATAGGAAGTCAAGCCCGATCAGGATGAGTGAGACACTGTACAGCTTCGTCGCCGACTTGAACACCAAAACAGTGAGCTTCAGACTCGGTCGGCCAAACGAGCCCGAAGGGGCCTGGATCTTAAAGCCCGCAGAGCTTTAGAGAGCGGCTCAGAGAAATTCTCGATTTTATAGAATCGATCTTATACCTAGACATTTGTGTAGGGCAATCAAGTATATTATTTACACTGAAGCTTGTTATGTTCAGTTACTGCAAGACAAAAAGATATTAATTGTAAATTATATAATACTTTAGCAAAAGAGACGAGAAATACAACACTTAATCCATTTACAGTATCTATGCAGTGTATTCCTAGTACATTTCGTAGCGTTCGGTTTACCTGAGCCTCGGATATTCTGACCGACGCTATATGTAACACTTTGCAGCACCAGAGCCGTCATGTCTAAACTGAAATACAAAGCCCTTACCTTAGTTGATAAATATTAAACAAGCTTTTCTATCTAATCTAATGGGTGTTAAATCAAGCTTGATTATGTATTGTTATTAGGTCTGATATGTAAAAATATTAATCAGTCATCTGGCGGCATATCGCGAGAAAGACTCGCCGTAATGTGATCAACAACTCTGAATTTGACACTATTCACCAACTCATCTTCATCAATCCGCAGCTTCATGGCATTAATCTCGCTTGTCAATTCGCCCATGTCCTGCCAGACTTCTGAGAAGGCAACGTCCGTATGCTCCTCCAACTCTCTAACCCTCTCACTCGTCAGTCCCGCCAATGACCCGAATTCCTCTTCCAAGTCTTGACGCTTCCTCTCAGACGCTATCAACCGCTCGCGCAGGTCATTGATCTCCTGCTTGAGATCTCTGTTCTCATCCCTAAGCGCACACAGCTCTTCACTATGACGCGTCTGTATCATCTCAAGCTTGGCCCAGATCAGCGCGATGTCTTCGTCTCGTTCTTCACGATCATCTTTTCGCGGTCGCTTTCGGTCATAGATTGGAGCGGGAGGCGGTGGAGGTTCGGTCTCCTCGTAGGATGGCGGGGGCAATTGTGTAGGGGATGGGAGGGTGACAATCTTGCCTCCCGTGCAGCGAAACATGGTATTCAAGTCATCTTGAATGAAGAGGGATAGGCCGTCGCTGACGGCTTGCCGGATCTTTTGGAGATGAGCCTTTGAAGTTGCTGAGTTTCTGATGTAGATAGAAAACACGGTGACATTTGCAAGTTCGCGAAGAGCGTCAAGGACGGTACCCGATTGAGTCCGTAGGGGGGATAGTGGCTCTTCAGCCTCAACAGAGACGATGAGTTTGGGGTTCTGGTTTAAGCGGAAGTCGAGGAGGAGGGTACTCGAGTGGAACTTGTCGCGTACTTCATCGGGAACTGAAGGGGCTTCGATGAAGTCGAAGGAGGATATAGACGGCGGGAGGACTCTGATGATTAGGAACGTGCCAGTCTTGATGCCCTTGAGTCTGATGGGAATGTTGATGTCGAACAAGGTTTCTTGACTGTCGAAACGAGTCGTGATGGTGATGTCTCTGATCTGAGGGTCCGGGCCGACTAGAAAACGCGTCGCATCGTTCCATCGCCACGTAACAACGGCCGGCGTCGTACTGTTCACATCGAGGCTCGATAATGTCGCCATGTCCGATCCTACCGGTTAGCAACAATCCAGGAACAGCACTCACCTACGCAATCACCCCCAGAATCAGCGTTATCTGACAAGAAACTCGCCCCGTCTCCAGAACTGAGCTGCAAGCCGGAGCAAGTTCCCTTTACGGTCCGTAGAGAACCAACAGATATCCACCAAGAGAACGGTCAGCTTCTCACAAGCCGGGCAACTGTTCGAGCTCCAGAACTTGAGCTGCAAGACATCAAACAGTCCCCTCCACAGGCCCCGATTGTTCCAGCAAAGGAGGAGCGCGCGCCTCGTTTGATGGGTACAATACGGAATTTTATACGGTCTGCAGCGCGAGTTCACTTACTTTCTCTTGGACGCGTTTCGATAGGAAGGTGTGTCGGAATTGGAGGGTTCGTGGATGATAGAGAAAAATCTAAATGATTGAGAGCTTCTCAAGGAGGAAAAGGCGTTGGTTTTGAGGGGCCTCGATTGTCGAGGGTGAAGCTGTGATGATGGGTCATTGTGAGGACTCGGCGAGTGCGTGAATGCGAACAACAGGCAGATTGAGATGGTGAGGATAAATGAGGGGACGGGAAACTAGTTAATCCGCGACATATTATGGGGCTGGGTAGTATCGAGCCAATCAGTCCATCAATCGCGTGACAGATCACATGACGTGAAAAGGAAGCCGCTTTTCCTCTTCCGTGAAAGCAAGCAAACCCTCGCCTAAATTTAACGTGACCACCATTTGTCACATCTCGTTTAGGGTATATAACACGCGACTTGAATTATCGTGCTGGAGCTGAAAGCCGCCTTTAGCTCTTGGAATTAGCCTGCTTCATGCTAATAGCAGTATTTACTCTTATCAGATACATGAACATGCTAGCAAGCCATAGCGACAGAAGTAATGCATACCGACTGTTTCTCAAGACAAGACACCTAATAGCTACAGCTTCCGTAACCCACTCACTCTCGTTTTGGGATGAAATCGGCATTTATGTCAAGTTATGTCTTTATGATGTTACTCGATATAGGAACTAAGAAGCTTAATTCTTGTCCTTTATTTATTCCGCCAGAAGAACGAAAATGGTCCTTGCATCCAAGAAAATATTCAGTTGCACCATATTCTTAGACCAGTCTGGTCGTTGGCAACAGTCCAGACGTGTTTCTCTCAAATCTTCAGCGATAACTGCTGTGCCCACTACCTGCAACTTCCACTGGTCCTCCTGATCATATGCTCTAACTATGATGGCTCTTCGCGGCCACTTGAGCCAGCAAATGAGATCCCCAACGCGTATATCACTAGATGAGAGACCCAATTTCCGTGGTGCCTGATCTCGAGCAGACATTTGAAATAGACGTGAATTATTGGCAGAAGACGGTACTGCGGAGGAAGATTCCTTCTCAATCAGACCATGAGACTTGCTTTGCAATCCTCTAATCCAGTATGATGTGATACCGGTATATCGGCGGTTGTGTTGCAAAAAGCTGCTATTACTCACCTGCCATTTTATAATGCTCCTGCAGTCGAAGCATTTCTTCGACAGGCTGATATCATCAAGTTCCATGATGGCACGAATCATCGTATCGCTCTCTCTGTGGGCGTTGCCAAGATCGTTCCTATAGTTCGCTTGAACTTGTTCTATCCACATATCCACCGCTTGAAGATTTCTAACGATTTCGAGAGGACGTGGACCGACACATATGACAGACCCTAGCACCGCACCTTGAAGCGCAAATGCTTTTTCGTGGTTCGTTTCTGTGATGATTGTGTCGTCTCCAACTATCGGTGCGTAGGGTCGTAGAATTTGCTGCAAAGGGTCGCATTCCGCCCCCATGAGTAGAAACTTGACGAGGTGTCCGATGGATATAATATCCCCATTAAATAGGCTATGGCGATTCATGAATTCCATCACGTCGGTCCAAATCTCAAAAACCGACTTGTCATAATCGATAGAAAAGCCGCGAGCATCTGACGCCATTCCTACAAGGCCATATACCTTATCTTTTCTGTCTTGACAGTCTGCTTCTTTATGATCCTGTAGTAGCTGAAGCAAGGTATTCGACCCAGAATATTTCTCCTCTCGATGCCGGTCCAGCCTTATAGGACCTTTGGATCCAAAGTTGTGCATGGTGATGAACTGTGTAAACTGCTTCCATTCTACCGCCGAGTTCCCAAAGCCTACTTTGATCTTCTGAGCTTGCCCAATCTCCTGGATTATCCACACGCGATTCCAATAGCCGTCGCTGTACAACTTCTCTGCGAAGTTGCGCTCAGCAGAGTTGGTTTGTGTCGAATCTGTTGGCAGTTCCGAGTCTAGTTGTTCATTCACAGGCTTATTATGACCAAGCTTTTGCAAGTCAGGCAAAGCTGCTTCGTATTCCGCATATCTTTTCCCCAGCCATACGGCAACTGTCTGAGCTCTGAAGTAGATATGGTGCATCATGCGAACCTGTCTGTTACGCTCAGGAATGTCTTTCTGGTTAATGCATATTGCGTCAATCCAGTAATCAATGTCAGGCGCGTGTTTCCGGAGGTAGTGCAAAGCGTCCCAAAGGTTCTGCCGGACGCTGAAGCTGACGCCATTGAGGGTAATAGTCTGAACAGCTGGACCATCTCCCCACATGTATGAGAGCGCGTCAAACTTGGGCCTGTCACCGAATGTGACTTCGAACAAGGTGCCGGTGATGGGATCACCATCCTTAGCTGCTTCGATCCGCAACAGCCTCGTGCAATCTCGACTTTGGTCCAAAGGCTGATGCAGACGCCAGGATTTATCCAGGTCTTGTGAACCATTTGTACTGTCCTTTAGTTCGCGCGTGACCATAATGCTATTCTTCATTGTTAAGGAGATGAACTTGAACAATGTAAATTTGTTGCTGGAGGGCGGGGTAATTGACTCATGATGTGAGGCAGTGCATGCGGTTATTTCACCAGCGATGACATCCATGTTGTTTCAACCGTTGGACCAATCAGAAAGTAATATCGCCAACCATTAGCTGCATAAAGTATGAACTTCTTAGGAGGAAGTGGCTTGGGGGAATATCAGCTTATCACCGAGAATGAAAATATTCCAAAAAGTAAGGAATTTGGCTCGATATCAGACTATGTGAAACTAGAGCTATACACTAAAAGGTAAAGGTAATAGTAATTCAACCATCTTCTGTTCTCCGCTACTCTTGCTTACTATACTCTCTGAAATGCAACATGGACACCATTGGCATTGCCACAGCCAAGTGCAATCTCCTCAGTCCAAGGCTTTGGGTCCATCGATTGAATCGATATGAACTCTTGAGCAAAACGCATTATGACTAGCAGAGATTCAGTAATGGCATATTGTTGACCGAGGCAAATGCGTGGCCCCCCATTGAAAGGCAGGAAGAACTGATTATAGTTAGTACTATGCCAATCTCTTGCAAAGCCATACACCACATATTTAACTTACCCACGAAGGTCTAAGAGTTTCCCATCTCTCGGGACGAAATTTTTCAGCGTCTTGGCCATACAGATCTTTGCGTCGATGCATGGCGTAGACCGTGAAATTCACCATGGAGCCTTTCGGAACATGGATGGGTTGATCACCATTTGGGCCACCACCATGAGGAAGAACTGTATCCCGATATGCCATACGCCCATTACTAGGCACAGGAGGATGGAGACGTAATGCTAAATAGACGTCAGCGAGGGCCTTGAATGAAGAATAATACTAACATTCATTAATGCAGTATTTGACATATGTGAGATGACGAAGCTGCTCGTATGTTGGTTCATTTGTGTCCATACGCTTAACTTCATCTCGAATCTTGGTCCAGATATCCGGTCTACGTGCAAGGACAAAGAACAGATTTCCCAACATATTCGAGGTGGTATCTCTTGCAGCTATCAAGACGCTCAATAATTCTGCGCGTATCTTTTCCTTTGATATGCCCGAACTAGCAAGCTGCCTCAGCAGACTGTCATGTCGACTTTTGGCTTCATTCTCTTTCGAAACTTCTGCCGCCAAATCTGAAATACGAAGAGCCATAGCTTGATTGACATAATGCTCGACATAGGACCGACACACCTGATAGGCATCGTGAGCCTTGCTTCGAGAGCCTTGGAAGCGGCGGAACGGGCCCAATCTTGCCTGGTAGGCCACGTCCTTGAGAGTCAAATCAAAGGCTTTGGTAAACTCTTGACTTGCTTTGGTAGGGTTACAAAGTGTATCGGTTGACTCGCCGAAGAGGAACTCAGTGCCAGTGTCCATGGTGAAGTCAAAGAGAAGTTCCTGCAGATTGAAGGCTGTGTTGATGGGTATCTTTGACACAAGGTCTGTGACATGTCGGTTTGTCAATTCAAGGTCGGCTACTTGATCACGGGCAAAGGTTGGACGCATCAAAGCCCGCGAGTGCACCCATTCCTCCCCGTCAGAAACAAACATGCCACCGCCCGTGACGGGATTGAACAATGGAGCTCTGAAAGCAAGTCCATAATCTTTGAACTTGAGAGCAAGAACTGTCTTGATATTTTCCGGGTCAATTGTAAATATCGTCTGCTGAGAACCACGCTCAACTAGGAATGTGATACCGACAGTCTTGTAAAGGTCGTTGGCAAAGGTTTCCAACAGTCGCTTTTCTTTGAACACCCTCATCAGCTTCAAAATGAAGTCAATGCCAAAGAATGGATCCCACAATGGGAGTTGGCAAGTCACAGGAGCACAACCGTGCTTTTCGCGGAACTTGCGCCTTGCTCGCTTTGTGGTGATACGAGCTCCTATGATACGGAGAATTTGGATTGTTAAGAGACTGATAACAATTTTCCATTTGTGCGAGAGAGTTTCGTCAATTGCTTTCCATGGAACTATAGCCATGATTTTTGCTTATGATTTTTATTGTAAAATTGTTGCTGTTCTGTTCTGTGGAAGTACTAGATGAAGAGATTTGGCTCTCAAGTAGCCATACTGAAATGGAATACTCATTTTATCCAACGTTATCCCATTGTTGCGTAACAGTCGCAGTTCGGAGGAATAGCTTCCGTGTGAGTGCTACGGAAAATAAAAATATCTGGATGCATGAGATAATGCATAGTGACGCAAATGGGTTACAGTTACATTCGGTCTAATCTCTAGACTCGGCCGGACGCGGAGACAGCCCGTGGCCCGGCCAAAGGCCCGACCCGTCATCCCTGTATCTTACGTGTACCTGGACAACGAGCTTTTGAAACAAAAGGGCCTCGCTTAAAAGGTCATCCTTCTAGGCGTGGTTCTATCCGCCCAAGCATCATATCTTGTCAGCCCGCCCCTTCCCTTCATCCGTGAGCTTATCCTTCTGTTACCTGCCGTTTGTGTTGACGATGTGTTGCAATATGGTCGGCATAGCTTTACTTGGAGCCGGGATCTTTGCGAGAGAACGTATGTTGATCCCTCTCAAGCTGGTTATCAATGGCAAGGTTGCATTGCAGAGGAGCTTTTGAGTCAATGTTGCGCTGACATGCTACAGAACACTTGCCGGCTATTGAGGCCGTTGGACACCTCAATCTCAAAGCCGTTTACTCACGATCTCAGGAAGCGGCAATATCGCTTGCGAAACAAGCCCGGGATAAGGTTGACATCTACTTCGATAACCCACCCACAAGTGGAAGGTCACTCGACGATCTCCTCGCAAGGTCTGACATAGCTGCAGTGTCAGCATGTGCTACCATTCTAGTCCAGCCCCAACTTATCAGAAGAGCTCTGGGAGCCGGAAAGCATGTGCTGAGTGAGAAGCCGATAGCACAGGACACTGAAACTGCTATGGATCTTGTCCAATGGTACAATTCTCAGTCCAGTCCTCCCATATGGGCCGTTGCTGAAAATTTCCGGTTCAATGAGAGCCTGAGGTATGCCGAGATGAAGACCCGAGAAATGGGGGGAGAGCTTTTATCATTCCGCCTGAGCTACTATGGATTAGTCAAAAAGGAAAATAAATACTTCAAGACAGAATGTACGTGATAGGTACTGTGCTTAGCCTTGACCCAAATACTGATACTTTACAGGGCGCAAGGCTCCGGAATTCCAAGGCGGATTCCTTCTTGATAGCGGAATTCACTTTATTGCCAGCCTTCGCCTTCTTCTCGGTGCCATTGGGCAAGAGGCTAAGGAGGTTCTGGGCTTATCCAGTCTGCTTGAGGAGCATCTTCATCCTGTTGATACCATTCACGCTATCGTCACCACCACTGGTTCTCGACACGGAACAGTTTGCATATCCTTTGGGGTAGAACACAAATCAACTCTAGAGATCGAAATTATCAGTACTCAAGGGGTCATTGTTTGGACACCCGTGAGTGTCAAGTCAATCATCAAATCAGATTCTGGGGAGTCAATGAATGAGACAAAAGAATTCATCTACAACAATGGTGTCAAGTCAGAATTTGAGGCCTTCGGTCAAGCCATATTGGGAGGTTGCTCAGACACGCGTCAGAGGCCCTTGGAAGCCCTTAATGATCTTGCTTTTTTACAGGGTCTGTTGGAATCTGCAGGATGTAATGGCTTGATGAAGGTTGTCAATCAAAGTGAGGATCAGGTCACACATTCCTAGCAAGCTCTCTAAGGTCAGGCAGACCAACGCAAACTCACAGGTGTATAGCAAGTGTTAGTTCGTTTTAGTTATCGCACAGATACAGTCTTCTACTCTTGAACTTACAGCGAATGAGAAATTGAGCATTATTATACCAAGTGATATTGAGGGATCTCAATTACTATGCCTTATTGTGGGTCTAAACTAGGAGATTTTTAGTGATAGGCTTCTCTTGCTGCCAGCTTTCGAATGTATTATGGGCTAAATTTGATACTATTCTGGTCTCTCAGGCTTAGTAGGAGCCTTACGTGGCTGTCTTTCAACGAGGAGGACCAGTGATAGAATGGATGCGATAGAGAAGTAAAGCATTACCCTCATCTGCTCCGAGTAGGCATCTGCATATAGAACTCTTGTCCGAGATTGTGTCTCGGGGGAGAGCATTCCAATATTCTCTGAGGATAGCAGTATTCCTGCGACTTGCTCTGCTGTCAAGAACTTGACAGCTTCCCTCTTGATATGGTTAATGAGCAAAGCAGAACAGACGGCGAGCCCAATTGTGCCTCCCAACACTCTGATCTGTGTCACGGATCCCATTGTGACAGCTAGGGTTATGTCAGTCGGGAAACATCAATGGCCCAGCATGGGAATCGGAAGGTCATACCTAGATCTTTCTCAGTGACGACTAGCGGCACCATCATCAGGATTGTGCTGAGGTTGAACCCGAAACCAAGGCCCATGATAGCCTCGTAGCCATATTGGGCCGAGGCAATAGAGGTTGATGATTTTAAGGAGCTATATAGGCCAACTCCTATTGTCTGCAGTGAACCTCCGAGGAGGAGTGTGTAGAGAGGAGGCACTCTCAGCTTAGACACCAATATCCCATTGACAGCAGTCGCCAACGGAGACAGGAGAAGTAGAGGCAGTGTGCGAATACCAGCATTGATAGCTGACGTCATGTTGACTGTTTGGAATCTTTGCGGTATGTTGATAAGAGCAGCCATAAACGGGAAACCTGTAAAGAATCCGTTTCTTGACAAAAGCCGAATTAGTCGACCGAAAGCTTGGGATTGACTGACTGCAGACTTACAAAAGTAGTCCCATAACAAACCTGTTGTGCACCAGGCTCCACGGGAACATGGGCTCACGGACACCACGTTTCTTGGAAAGCAATCGCTCCCAAGCAACAAAGGCAATCCACAAGACGCCAGAGAGTACAAAGGTTGATACAATAGCACCACTACCCCACGGATAGGCCACACCACCTTGCTCGAGTGCAAAGATGATGAGGATGGAGGCAGCTAATGACACAGCCATACCCACAAAGTCAACCCGCTTCCACATTTGTTTCGATGCGAGGGAATGAAAGAATCGATCGGACTCTCCGTAAGGAAAGTTGAATGGCACCGAAAAGGCGAGAAGAACAGCCGCAAGCGCTCCTCCGGGGCCGCTGCAGGTAACGAGTCATTAGACAGTGCCTAGTTATATTGCAGGGTGCCTGGAAGAAAATGGGACTCACTTGAAGTAGAACACCCAGCGCCATGTCGTGTGATCTGTGATTGCTCCTCCAAGAATTGGGCCAAGGACACTTGAGAGGATAAAGGTTGACGACATGATGGAGATGTAGGTCGCGTACTTCTCTGGAGGCACCATGAGCGGTACCATGATTGTCGACAAAGAGTAGATGCCGGAGCCTCCCATCCCTTGAAAGGCACGGAAGACGATCCTAGGGTAAAGATTGATGATGAGAATACGCACGAGGTTGGTATCAAGAGAGGGAATTGACATACAGAGGTACCATGGAGTTAGAAGCACCACACGCCATAGAGAAGATAGTAAATATAGTGATCGCAAGCAATAGCATTAGCTTGCAGCCAAATATATCACTTAGCTTAGAATAGATAATGAGGAAACCTGGGATCTTTTAGTTCCTATACCGGCATTACACGACAGAGTAAAGTTAGATCATACCGGTGTATGTTACCAAGTAGGATGTCACGATCCAGCCAGCCATATTGAAGCCTTGAAGGGCATCAACGATTGAGACCAGAGCCGTGCTTACAATAGTAGTTTCCAATGTCGACAGCAATAGGCTCAAGCAAAGGCTACGTCGATGGCGATTAGCTATCAAGTAAGGGCAGTTAAGCAAAGGTGACCTACGCTAAGGTCAAGGCATGAAGCCTCCATCCAGTATGGTACACCTTTTGTTTTGTCGCATTGTCTGACGAACCAACCGCAACCTCGACATTCCTGTTATTGTCGCTCAAGACCGAGCCGTGGTTGTCGGATGAAGCTTCAACTTCAGTCACCGTATCGGGTAATACACGTGCATCGCCGGCAGACGCCTCGTTACTCTCGTTGTTTGTCTTGACGGGAGTCCCGGGCAGGGAGCTCTGAAGATGTTTCAATGGCAAATCTGGTGCTCCCCACATGGCGGGAAGAGAAATGGGCCAGAGTGAGTTGTAAGAGCTCAACTGGTGTTAGAAAAAGAGTGCGTAGTCTGGGGACTCAGGCTTTGCGTGGGTATCAGTAATGCAGAAAGGAAGACGGAACAAAGGAGAAAAAGAGTGGGGGATGAATTTGTGGCCAGCTTTACGAGAAGAGACAACAACAAAGGTTTCAGCCTCAGGAAACAAGAAACAGAAATTGCTAATTCCCGGGCTGCCTTCACTTGTTGGTCTGTGCGTTTCCTGTGAAATCCAGAGGGGAGGGGTGGGGTGAGGGAGTTAACAAGGGGGATAGATAAGGAGCCTGATTACCCTGTATCCGTAAATAAGGGATAGGAAAACACTATTGATTGGAGCGGTACAATGCGCTCTCAATGTCTTAGATGGACAGATTAGCATTTAGATCTTTCCTTTGGTTACTCGTTTGGTTACTTGTTTGCCTATCCGTGAGCTATTAGGCGCTAGCACTGCATTCCTGCAATGATACTTTGGATACAATTCTACAGCCGCGAGCTCTTCGTTTACCCCATCGGGATCGTCAACAGATTTGCCATTTCGGCACAAATGTCTTACTCGGTAAGACGCATGATAAGAAAATTCCGGCGAAGGGGTATCTACACACTTTCCAACCATTAACCAACTTGGACTGTTACGTCAGTATGTAGGTTAAGGTGTTTCTCACGGCGTTACAACCTTCTCTGTATTGTATCCACTAGTGGGAAGCTAAATCCGGAACTCCCCTGGACCTAGATCAGCCCGGACACAGAATGACACCCAATTAGCTGGCTGGTGAATACCAAGACACTAAGATTAAGCATATATTTAGCCTTTGTAATTTACTTGAGATAAGGAGCTGCATGAGTAAACCTAAACCTTGCCCTATCTAACAGATAAAAGTTATATGCTACAATTGCATCAGAGATAACAACACTTCAACTCTCATCGTCGATCAGCGAGAGGATTCGCTCGTGGGCAAAAAAGATGGTGTCAATCTTTCCCGACATGACAGAAAACACTCGGCCGTGACGCGAGACTCGACAGCTGCGGTCATCATAAGCCCCTAGCGGCTTGGTCTTGACGGCAAGCTGTGGTCCAATGTAACGGAACGTCTCGAGGAACGTGGGGAGGTAGTGCATAATCTGTTCCTCCATAAGCGCCCGCTTGGCTGATATGGTTGCGGGGCTAACGTCGTCCCGTGCCGCCCGAGCTTCTGCTGCAGTCTTGAATTGTCCGAGAGGCGTGTGGGGGACGCTAGACAAGGTGAATAACCCCGGCACTTCAGTGGGGTAGACGGAAGCTAGGGGACCATCGACCAAGGTCACAGCCGGAAACTCAGGAGGCCCCTCGTAGTAGAGCAACAAGGTCGCCTCGTATATCACCTGCAGGTCCAGGTCCATGTAATGCCCCCACGTTGCATCCACCACGTAGTCAAAGCTTTCACCGTCGATCAAGACGCCATCGTCCACCTCTTGGATGCTCGAAACTTTTTGCCCAAGCTCAAGGGCACCCTTGAGTGCCGCTTCAAAGTAAGCACGGGCTTTGCTCAGCAGCAAAACCCTCTCCGGCACACACATGATGCCGTCAACGTTAGTGATATGGATACCCGGAGGTGCCCCTTCGGTGAATGCTACGCCGCTCGAGGCCATGATGGCCTTGTAGGTATTGTAATCAAGCAGGGAATCTTGAGTGGGTACAGCATAGATATTGCAGGGCACAACGCGGCTGAGTTCGGGGTAATGCTCGACGAAACGTAGAAAGCCATCTCTGGACTGAAGACGTGTACCACTGTGACGGGCATAGTGGAAGCCCATATGCAGCCTGAACTGGTTGTTGCCAGATGCTTCATGTAGCAGTCGCTTATGCTGCTCGAACAATTTGACGCGAAAGCCGAGAGCGCGAAGGGATGCCGCAATGTGACAGCCATACCATCCACCACCGATGATGCCAAGACTGTGGGGGTTGACGCAGTCGTCTTTTTCTATTTTTGTGGTTCCATTGATACCATTGCCATTCCCGTTGTGAAGTTCCTTCTCGAGGTTCGGCATATTGAGTGCGTTTGCGTGTTTTGAATAGTGACTTCTAGGACAATGCTATTTGCGTCTCGCTAGACTCTAGAGGTACTGAACGAGCTTTTTGGTGTATATCAGGTACTTGTCACGATGCGCAACGATAAAGATAACAAAGGCGATTTCAATGATCTCTGCAGACTTATTGAGTTCTGATACATTTATGATTGGGATTATGAGTCCTTTTTATCTTGTCCTCGCTCATTCTCTCCGTCTTGAGTCCTTGACTTGCAAGACTTGACACAATTATGGGCTTTGTGCATTCCTAGATGACCAAGAAGTTCCCCCTGGCTCGGGAGGATGTATCCCTCTTACTGATTCTGGTGCTGGTGGAGGGTAGATAAGATTCTCAAGGATTGGAACAAGATTGCCCGCGACATATACATCTGCCTTGCAGGATACAATGGTGCGAGATGCGACTCTGTTGATAAGCAAATGCATCTTGTATTGATGGAAATATTGCCTAGGCATACTGTGTTTATCTGTTACATTGAGCTCTGCACATCTGACTTGACAATTGACTTGGATATCTGTCATCATGCCACGTAGCATCAGTATTTCAACGAGCAGACGCTTATCCTGAGCCTGGTCGCCTCTTGCAGCGTATCAAGGCGACGCTAATTACTGTTTCCATACATCTTCGAAAGTCTCTTGATTCTTGGGAAACTCAAACTCTGCATCACCTGAACATTTCAAGAACTTTAACGTGCTCAATATGCGGATACTTTGCCTCCACGGGATGGGCACCAACAGCAAGGTAGGTAATCGTCGCATCAAACTCACAAACATCCTACCATGAGAAAGTCTAACACAGATTCTAGGTGCTGGAGATGCAGACGTGTACATAACATTCCTTCACACAGTTCATCTGATTATACGGACTGACCTCATTGCAGCTGCGCTCCGACATCAACTCAGCCATTCACAATCGCACAAATACGAATATGTTGATGGTGGGGAGCCAATGCCGCCTGCTCCTGGTAAGTCATTGAGCCATTTACTTACTTACTCAAGACTCTTACACATAACATAGGCATAGAAGCTTTCATTGGTCACGATGAGAGCCTTGCCTATTACCATCCACACTCGGCAAAGAGTATCCTGACAGCCATTGGCGACTTATGGGAGTACATTGCCGAGGAAGGTCCCTTTGATGGGGTCTTGGGTTTCTCCCAGGGTGCATCACTGGCTGCTATGATTATTGCTCGTGCCCGCCACTCCAACCCACCACCTTTTCAGTTCGCCATCTTCTTCTGTGCAGGACTCCCTTACTGTGAGAAGTCTTTATCCGCGGGCGAGGTCAAATTCCTGAGGGCTGAGGACACGCAAGGTCCAGTTATACATGTGCCAACAGCTCATATCTTTGGCAAAAAAGACCCTGATGTTAGCTATAGTAAAGCAATGACTGAACTGTGCCATCCCTGGGGAAGAGTTCTTCTGGATCATGGAGCTGGCCATGAGATCCCGAGAGTACCTGTTGAGACAGTGGACGACATGGCAAGGGCGGTAGAGAAGGTTGTCGCCAAGGCAGTTATCGGTCAGTAGATATAAGTAGATTGATGGTAGAGATAAAGTACAGGAGATAAATCATAGTCGCGCCATATTAACAGCTGCTCGAGTGATCCATGCAACGAGTCCCAACAGGACAAAAAGAAAAACCGTCAAGTCGATGTTGTTGAGCTTGATCCAGGACATACGCACATCAGGTGTCTGAAGATGCATTGGGCGCAGCTCTTTGCCTCGTGGATACACGTCTCTTGGATCGGAAGCTTGCGAATGATTCGCTTTACTGTTGGTGGATACTTTGAGATCCAGAAGGGAATTCTCAAATCTACCGTCCCAATCATATAGATGCTCCTCGATTAGATTGGCAGCAAAATGCTTCTTCCGTGATCCAACCATGGCAATTCTCTGCATACGCTTGACGTTTCTTTGAAACGACTCTTTTTCAAACAAGAGTATGTTTCTGATGGCTGCTGTCAAGGAAGCTGCATCGAAAGTTTCTTTCTCAAGACGGACTGCAACGCCAGATCGTTCAAGTCTCAGTGTGGTGACCATTTGGTCACCGAATATCCCCATTGCAACCATAGGGACACCATGGAAGATGGATTCATTGACAGATGAAGGTCCAGCGTGTGTGACGAATATGGATGTAGAATCATGTTCGAGGACAGAACGCTGCGGAACCCAGGTAGCAAAGTGCCACGATTGATCCTGATTCTTGAACAGTTTATCAATAGTCAAGTGAGAGAGGTGAGACGATGGGACTCGAATGCTGGTATCAAGTCGGCCACGGCTTCTAGCACTGAGTGCCCAGACGACACCATCGATCACGCCGGAGGAAATGGCATCAGCGAGACCGTTGATGATTTTGAAGATCTTTCCGTCATCAAGAATAACATGTGTACCAAACGCAACTAGAGCGATCTTTTGATGGGTCTCAACAAAGGACTTGATGTCTCCATCGAGAGCAGGGTATGAGTCGGCCAAGATGGGACCAACAGGATGAACCAAAGGTGGAGTGTCTCGAGGCGTTTCCATGCCATAGAAGTTATTCAGAAACACAAGGTAGTCCGGCTTGGAAACTTTTGGCCGAGGCGCAACTCCCTCTTTTCGGCGCATTGCCTTGGTCCAGAAGATCCAGTGAAGAAAGAATGGCGCTGAGCGAAGCAAAAAGGTAATTTCAAACAACCGATCATAAATGCTTGCGTGCTCGCTGGTCAAACATCTCTGCTGCATACCAGGCTGACCCGGAATGTACTTCTGGGGCATCATCAACCACGGCATTTGGGGCCACATGACTGCGTGGGGGAGCCGAAACTCGTTGCAGACATCCAGCGCCGCTTCAACATGGAAGTCGGAGAAGATAAAATCAGGTTTGCTGGTGGTGGTCACCTCCTTTAGACCGCGATATGTAAAAGGCCAGAACGCATCAAATGCCATTTTGCCCTTGACAATATCCCTTTTGCCCTGGGCAGTGTTCCAGTTCCATCGCGAGAAGAGGATGTAGTGCTTTTCATCTTCTTCAGCAGAGATTGCTGGTCCAACTATGTGAACCTTTTGCACGAAAGGATAATTGTCAACCAGCTTCTCCCTGCCGCTCAGTGTTGCGAAGTCAATTGTATGACCTCTAGCGGCTAAAATGGAACATATTTCTAGGATTGGCGCTATCTGCGAGTTAACATCCTGCCTTCTTTATCAACATCAGGGTGACTTGTTTACCTGAATTGGTCGAGCCACCAACCGTCACAACAACGAGAATTTTGGCTTTGGGCAGCGACATGATGATACCTTCACTCCGGTACGCAGCTCTATAGACGAAGAGATATTCAATGGAGTTTGTGAGATTTCTTTTGGATGCAGAGAGGGGCTTGTTGAGGTACCCGGAATCCTTGAGGTTTGAAAAATGCACTTGATCGTCATGGGGAAACCGAGCCTTCAGTCACATGTCTCGACTACAAACGTCACATCGAGATGCGGAAGCATATCCCCACGAATGGGGGATGAGAATGGCTTGTGTGGGAACGCGAGGTTATCTTACTGCATCAGTGCATCGTGATCGACAACTCAAAGCTCAAACAGATAAGCGCCTAAGAATGTGATATGCGTGATATATGCAATGGCACATATCGCGTACGAACCAGCGTAGTACTGCATATTGGTCAGCATTTGTGGGCTGATTTCTCCTCGCCCTACGGTTTATTGATTACGTGGTTGCAATTGCCCTACAGCCCTACTCTTGGCGAATCTTGCCAAAGGCTGCTATAGCCATTCTATCTTGAGTCCTTGACTCACTCGAATGCCAGGATCTTTTGCCAGATGCAAGTAATGGTCAACACCACGCTTACTACCTGCTTATCTGGTCCAGGCTAAACACACAAATGGGACTTTCGCTCGAAGGCATGCATTGCATATGGGATGGCAGAATTCTAGAACCATGCTTGGAATACCTGGAAGAAATGTAAAGATACGAATATTCAACCATGGGAGCCGTGATAGTTTCTGTATTGTCACTTAATAATTTGTCAACAGGGCTATCTTGACCTCAGAAAGATCGGCCCTTCCAGGTAACGTCACGACACCATATGATAACCGATACTTCCAAATAGTAGCCAAATCAGAAGTCAGGAAACTGTCCGCGGAGAGATTTCAAACCAAATTGACAATGAATTCCCAAAGTTGCGTGAGACGGAATATCTTCACAACAGCTATTAGGCTGTTTGTCGTGCATGGAATCCATGATAACAACATTGGGGTGAGCTTCAGTACTACTCACTCTCTGACAACTCATCAACGCCACTGCACATGAATATGATAATCAGTAATCATTCAGTGAAAGCTCACCCCCACGGTGAACTGGATACCTGATTGATCCACCATGCACTATCTCGCAGAGATATTGAAGGTAGCTACGATGAGGAGTTGGTCGTGAGAGGCCTAGGAGAGACTAGAGCACTATGTCTAAGCATAAGCCTATAATAACTCTGCTACGCCTATTATTAGCCCTGTGACAAACTCCAAGTATCTCAAGCCTTTTATTGTATACCCACTCATTCAACATTACTGCATTATTGTTCCTGAATCTATCTCGAGTCAAGTTATGGAACCCATCGCTGTTATTGGCCTTGACCTCAAGTTCCCCGGCGATGCTACTGACGCCGATGGGTTCTGGGATATGCTGGTGACTGGCCGCTCAGCATGCACAGATATTCCAGACGATCGGTTCAAAGTCTCGTCATTCTATCACCCGGACCCAGAGCGCTCGGGCTCGGTTAGCATTCCTCCTTTTCTGTCATGTCATGATAAGTGCTCCGCTGATCAGCACCCCAGCTTAATGTCACCAGGGCGCATTTTCTGAAGGGGGAAATCGCTGCCTTCGATGCTCCCTTCTTCTCTATTACACCTGCCGAAGCGGGTGGCATGGATCCTCAGCAGCGTGGCCTGCTCGAGAATACCTATCGTGCTCTAGAAAACGGTATGAACCCTTCGTGTTTTGATTGCGAAGAATCTGAATCTGACCCCATTTTAGCCGGATGTCCCATGAACAAAGTCCTTGGAACAAACACTGGTGTTTTCATTGGTTGTTTTACTCGTGAATATGAAGCCATCATGTTCAAGGAGACCGAGATACAGCAGCGTTACTTTGCTACTGGTACTGGAACAACCATGCTTGCCAATCGATTGAGCTATTTCTATGACCTCCATGGACCTAGCATAAGTCTTGACACAGCGTGCTCCAGTAGCCTCAACGCCTGCCACTTAGCCTGTAACAGCCTAAGGTTGGGCGAGTGCGATATGGCATTGGCAGCTGGCTGCAACCTGTTCTACAACCCTGATACCATCATTCCACTCACAGCTCTTGGCTTTCTATCTCCTGATGGAAGATGTTACAGTTTTGATGAACGAGCCAATGGATACTCACGTGGTGAGGGGTTTGGAATGATTGTGCTCAAGAGGTTGAGTGATGCTATCCGGGATAGCGACTGTATTCGTGCCATCGTTCGAGGATCCTCAAGCAACCAGGACGGCAACTCACCTGGCATTACACAACCCACTCGACAGGCTCAAGTTGACTTGATCAACGCCGCTTATCAATCAGCTGGTCTATCCAAGACGCAGACACGTTTCTTTGAGGCCCACGGTACAGGTACCCCTGTGGGTGATCCTATTGAAGCTAGTGCTATTAGCGGTGCTTTCTCAGAGTATCGCTCCGAGCAAGAGCCAATGGTTGTCGGCGCAGTCAAGACAAACATCGGTCATCTTGAAGGCTCGGCCGGGATCGCAGGTCTCATCAAGGCTATTATGGTCCTTGAGAAAGGCATAATCCCTCCCAATATGGGCTTCCAGACCCCCAACCCCAAGATTCCTGTTCATGATTGGCACCTCAAGTTCCCTACCAAGCCTGAAGCCTGGCCTACGAAAGGACTCAGGCGAGCTTCGATCAATGCCTTTGGCTATGGTGGAAGCAATGCTCATATCATCATCGATGATGCCTATCACTATCTCCTCGAGCACGGCTTGAAAGGCAAACACCAAACCATTGAGTTCCCACCAGATGAGGGGTTGAAGTCTTCTATCAATGGAGCTAATGGTACCAATGGCCATTCTAACGGCATCAATGGCCACACCAACGGTCATCAGTCTACTTCTAGCTCGAGTGACGACGAGTACATCTTGGTGAAGCGCTTCAAAGGTCATGCTCCCCCTAGTCGCTCATTCTTCTTTTCCACCTTTGACGAAGCTGGAGCAGCTCGCATGGCACAAGCTTACAAAGAGTTTCTTGCTTCCACCAGCAAGTCAATAGTTGCTGGGTCTGAGGAAGAACAACGCTTCTTGAGTGACCTTTCTTACACCCTCATCAACCACCGCACGTCCTTCCCTTGGCGGTTCTCCATCGTCGCCGACAGCATCAAGGCTTTGACTGACAAATTGGAGGCTAGCCCTTCACCTGTCAGAGCCACTGTTGACCCTAAGCTCGGATTTGTCTTTACGGGACAAGGTGCACAGTGGTACGCCATGGGAAGAGAATTGCTCTCTGTTTATCCGACATTTAGCACGTCCATCTTTGCTGCAGACTTGTATCTGCGAGAGCTAGGATGCCCATGGTCACTTGTTGGTGAATTACTCCAGAACCAAGACAAGTCACGCATCGATGATCCTGCACTGAGTCAACCAATCTGCACAGCCTTGCAAGTGGCTCTTGTTGACCTCCTGGCCAGCTGGAGTATTAAGCCTGCTGCGGTGGTCGGCCATTCATCGGGCGAGATTGGTGCTGCCTATGCCACAGGTGCCATCTCGCAGGAGTCGGCCTGGAGGCTGGCCTTCTACCGCGGTGCTCTGTCCTCTCGACTGGCCAAATCCCCCGACCATACCAACGGTGCCATGCTTTCAGTGGCTATGAGTTCATCAGATGCCACGACATATCTCGAGGAACATGTCGGCAGCGCCGCCGGTAGAGACATCGTTGTGGCCTGTATCAACAGCCCGAGGAATGTGACTCTCAGCGGCAGTGCGGCATATATCGACAAGATCAAAGCTGCTGCAGACTCTGATGGTATCTTTGCGCGCAAGCTCAAGGTTGATAACGGCTACCATTCACCTCTGATGGCTACAATTGCCGACGAATACAGGAGCGCGATTGGTGATCTCGAGGCCGGAACCAACATATCCCCAGGCCAAGTTGCCCCAGTCTTTTACTCGTCCCTCGGAGGAACAGTAAGCTCTGTCTCTGCTCTTCAGAACCCTGATCACTGGGTTGACAACCTGATTTCGCCGGTCCAATTCTCCAAAGCCTTCTCGCTCATGTGCTCCAATGCCAGTTCCAGCACGCCAGTCAAGAAGCTTGGATCCTCGGCTAAAGCAACAGTCAAGCCTCCAAAGATCACTCAAGTACTTGAGATTGGCCCTCATGCGGCCTTGCGTGGCCCCATTCGTGAGATCATGGAGCTGATGCCAGAAGTGAGTGGTATTGGTTATGAATCAGTGCTACGTCGCGGTGCTTCTGCCGTTGACACTGCTTTGGGCGCCGCCAACTGGCTTTGGTGCCGTGGGTACGAGGTGGACATGTCTGATGCCAGTATAGCAAAGGACAGTTCCCTTGTTATCAACGCACCAGGATACCCCTTTAACCACTCCAACATTTATTGGAACGAGAGTCGTATCAGCAAAGGATATCGCTTCCGTCCTGCTATGAGACATGAACTATTTGGTGCGCCAGTGCCAGATTGGGACCCTGCAAATGCTGTGTGGCGGAACTATATGCGTCTTTCAGAGAACCCTTGGGTGAAGCATCATCGAATCACGGGTGCTACTATCTATCCCGCTGCTGGAATGCTTGTCATGGCCATAGAGGCTAGTCGACAGATGGCAGACATATCTCGTGTAGTCAAGGGCTTCCGCATTCTTGACGCTCGATTTAATGTTGCTCTTCGTGTTCCAGCGACACAAAATGGTCTGGAGACGCACTTTTATATGCAGCCCTCACGTGATCATCCCGACACTGTATCGAGGACTGTCCGCAAGTTCTCCCTCAGCAGTTACGAGGGCGGCGAGTGGCGTGAGCATTGCCATGGCCTGGTCGTCACTGAGTACGAGCAACCTTATACTGTCGTGGACGATGGACGAGAGGACTTTGAGTTCCAAGAAGCATGCAGAAACAGACTCGCGAGCGTGGAGAATGCTTCAAAGGTTGAGACCTCTTTCCGACAGCTCTATGAGCATCTGTCGACCGTTGGTCTTGACTTTGGCGCTACTTTCCAGACCCTCCGTGACATTCGCTGCGGCGATATTGGAGAAGCTGTGGCGACAGTGGAGAGGCAAGATCTCGAGAGCTTGATGCCTTTAGGCTATCTTCAAGACCACTTGATCCATCCTACTGTGCTCGATGGTATCCTCCAGAGTATCATTGTCAGTCTGACAAAAGGTGGTCGAGAGATTGACCAAGTCATGGTTCCCTCCGAGATCGGCGACCTCTGGGTATCTGCTGACCCCTCAACATCCAAGTTTGATGCTGTTCGAGTCTCTTGCTCAGGCAAGTTCCTTGGTATTAGACAGGCTGAGGCGCGCATCGTTGGTATGGATGTTGATACCGGCAAGGCCGTCTGTACCGTGGACAACTTTGTCATCACTACCGTGGCACGAAGCGAAGGCTCCTCCTCGTCTGACGCGGCAAGAAGACTATGCTTCAACCTTGATTATAAGGTAGACCCAGTTCTTCTGGATCAAGAGACCGCAGACAAGACACTCCAGCCTGATGCAAAATGTGGTGCTACACCTCAGCAGGCCCAGTTGATTCAGGAGGTGGAGATGATGTGTTTCTTGTACATCAAACGCTTCTGGGACAGGATCTATGATGAGAACCGCGACGCCAAGTCAGTTCCTTATCACAAGAAGTATATCGCCTGGATCAAACACCAACTGGAGAAGTATGACGCTGGCCTTATCCCACATGCCATGCCTGAATGGCGTGAACGAGCGGCCGATGATGAGTACATCAGCCAAATGGAGACCAAGCTTCTCACAGAGGGCTCAGCTGAAGGGAAACTAGTCGTCAATGTGGGACGAGAACTCCCTAACATCCTGGCTGGCAAGACTGATGCCTTGGAACTCCTCTTCAAAGACAAGCTGGTAGAGAACGTTTATCGTTCTGGAGTTGGAGCCGAGATTGGTTACGACCGCATGGTGGCTTACATCGATGCTCTGGCGCATAAGAACCCAGCTCTTCGTGTTCTTGAGGTTGGTGCTGGAACAGGTGGCGCCACAAGACCCATTCTCAAGTGCCTCACGACACAAGGTAATGGCGAGACTGGCACGCCACGGTTCAGCCACTATGCGTTTACAGATATCTCGATCGGCTTCTTCGAGAACGCTCGAGAAATGTTCAAGGATAGTGCTGCACGTATGAGCTTCCGCGCCCTCAATATCGAGGACGATTTGGAGCAACAAGGGTTCTCGGGGCCCGGAGAACAGTACGATGTCATCTGCGCTGCCAATGTCATCCATGCAACCAAGAACCTTGAGGCGACCTTATCCAACGCGAGGAAGTTGCTCAAGCCTGGAGGCAAACTCATTTTGTATGAAATGACCAACACTGGCATGATACGGACCGGCTTTGCTTTTGGACTACTACCAGGTTGGTGGTTATCCGTTGAAGACTTCCGTCAATTCACACCGCTGGCGGCTCCAAATGACTGGTCCAGATCTCTCAAGGCCAGTGGGTTCAGCGGTATCGATCTGCACATCTATGACTTTCCAGACCACAGGCATCAGATGGTCAGCGTCCTCATCTGCACAGCTCTTGGTGATGGAACTCAGGAGAATGCACCAGCCACTTCCTACTCCTCATCACCTATCAAGATCATTACTTGTGGTACGGGGTCCAACTCAACCACGCAAGAGAGACTTGGTACCGCTCTTGAGAATCAAGCGACCAGCCTCAGTACTAGTACCGATATTGTCAACTTGCACGAAGCTGTGGCAGATCTTAAGGAGCTCCAACAAACTCGTTGCATCTTCCTGGGAGACATCGAGTCCGACTTCCTGGAACACGTTCATGATGATGACTATGAAGCTTTCCAGAAGCTGATTAGTTCCACTAAGACGTTGCTTTGGGTCAACCAGGGAGGCGGCCCGTCGCCCAAGAACCCTGGCGCTGACATGGTAACTGGTTTCGCTCGGTGCATGCGTGCTGAGAACCCCGGACTAAACTTTGTTACTTTATCCGTCGACGAACTGGAATCCTTGGATAAGGCTAGCTCCATTATCTTGAAAATCCTCAGTTCAAGCGGTGGAAATGAGAACACCTTCTTCGAGAAAGACGGCGCTGTTTATATTCCACGCATCACCGAGGCCAACACGGTCAATCATCTCATCGCTGCCAAAACCAAGGGCGAGCCAGCCAGGTCAGAGACATGGCAGGATGCTAGCAAAGACAGAGCTTTGACGCTACAGTGCGCTGTGCCTGGTCTTCTCGATAGCCTTCAGTTCCAAGATGACGAGCTATATGAGAAGCCTCTCGGACCTTACGATGTTGAGGTACGCGTTCATGCTACCGGCCTCAATCTCCTTGATGTCATGATAGCTCTCGGTCAGGTCATTGGTGAAGCCTTTGGACAAGAGTGCGCTGGTGTAGTGACTCGTGTCGGAACAGAAGTTGATCGCGTCTCTGTCGGCGATCGTGTCTGTGGTCTCCTCAGGGGAACCTTTAAGACTTTTGCAAGGGGTTCTCAATGGCAATTCGCCAAGATTCCCTCAACTGTCGATTATGAGGTTGCCGCAGCTGTACCAGTTGTTTACACCACCGCATACTATGGACTTCATGATCTAGCGCGCCTCCAAGCAGGAGAGAGCATTCTGATTCACTGGGGTGCTGGCGGTGTCGGGCAGGCTGCTATTCAACTTGCCAAGGCGGTTGGAGCTGAAGTGTTTGTCACTGTGGGCTCTATTGAGAAGCGAGACTTTGTGCACGAGCACTACGGCATTCCTCTACATCACGTACTGTCAAGTCGCGACTTGAGCTTTGTACACGGTATCAAGAGATTGACTGATGGACGCGGTGTCGATGTTATCCTCAATTCCACAGCCGGACAGACCCTGCGTGCTAGCTGGGACTGTATTGCACCATACGGGCGATTTATCGAAATTGGCAAGGTCGATATCTTTGCCAACGCGGGTCTCCCAATGGGACCGTTCAAGAAGAGCGTTACCTTTTCCTTCTTCGACATTGGTCTCATATCACTTGAAAGAGGTCGACTGTTCTCCCGTGTCCTTCAAGATGTCGTTGATCTGCTTGCCAAAGGATCCATCACCCCACCGCAGCCACTTCATGTTTACAGCTACTCCGAGATCCAAGATGCCTTCAGAATCATGCAATCAGGATCCCACATGGGCAAGCTTGTCTTAAAGGCTATATATGATGATGTTGTTCTGGTAAGTTATGAACAGCTCAAAGAAAATATCAACACTAACACATTCAAGGTCGAACCCAGTCGAAAGCCGACGTATCGCTTTGATCCTGAAGCAACATACCTTCTTTCGGGAGGTCTCGGCGGTCTTGGACGTAGCGCGGCACGTTGGATGACATCTCGTGGAGCTAAAAATCTCATTCTTCTCTCTCGGTCTGGAACCACGCGACCTGCAGCTCAAGAACTCATAAAGGAGCTCGAAGAAGCTGGTGTGGCAGCGGCAGCACCCCAATGCGATGTATCTGATCGTGCTGCTCTTGAGAGGGTTCTCAGTGATTGCGCCAAAACTATGCCGCCTATCAAGGGCTGCATCCAAGGCTCCATGGTCCTCAAGGACAGCATATTCTCCAACATGTCTCAACAAGACTACTACACTGCCGTACGCCCCAAGGTGGTTGCATCACGAAACTTACATGAATTGCTTCCCCAGAACCTGGATTTCTTCATCCTCCTCTCCTCGGCTTCTGGCGTGGTAGGCAACCGTGGCCAATCCAACTACTGTGTGGGCAACACGTACCAAGATTCCTTAGCCCGCCACAGGGTTGCTCTGGGGCTTCCAGGTGTAGCTGTCGACCTGGGAATGATCCTTTCTGTCGGCTTCGCTGCCGAGAATCAAGAGAGTATGGCTAATCTTCGTCAAGAAGGTTTCAATGCCATGCGAGAAGACGAGTTCCTTGCCCTGCTCGACATGCTATGCGACCCGAATGGGAAGTACTCTACCAATGCCAACCGAGAGTCCCAGGCTTCCTCATTTGCTCAAATCGCAGTTGGTCTTGAGGCTCCAGCCACTCTTCGTATCAAGGGCATTCCAGAGCCTGCTTGGATGACTGATCCCTTATTCAAGCATCTATACCAGATCCGAGGCGAGGGTGATCATGAGGGTGAAGGGGATGGTGAAGGTTCAGCCACGTCTTGTTCAACGCTACTTCCAGCGGCGGCATCGTTAGCTGACGCAGCCAAGATTGTTAGCGCGGCTATTGTCCAGAAGCTTTGCAAAGCTCTGTCTTCAAGTGAGCGAGATATCGACGTGTCAAAGCCCCTTCACAGTTATGGAGTTGATTCCCTTGTTGCAGTTGAGTTGCGCGCCTGGTTCATGAAGGAGGTTGGCTCTGATGTTGCTGTATTTGACATCATGAGTGGGCAGAGCTTGGAGGAGCTGGCTGAACTGGCGGCAAAGAGGAGTTCATTTGCCAATTTTGATGACGAGAAAGAGGCCGATTGAGTATGATTGCCTTTCAAATCGTCAAATTGTTTCATTTTATCATTTTAGCTGTTGTGCTTGGGATGAGGGAATTATGTTTGGGCTGGTTGCAGCTATTCCATGCCTGCGCATAGGCTGGTTGTTGTCACCGAGGACTGCTAATTGAGTTTTGAGAACGTGAGAGAGTATTCCATAATAAACTAATATCTGAATTCTTGTAACAACCTCTATAGTATCAATTGATTAGGCTTGAATGAATACACTGGAGTTGGGTTCAAAACATTAGGCACTTCAGGGACAAGCATCCCTGTTTGGGTCTATCCTGAACCAAAAGTCAAAGTGGTTCTGTTCGCTCCCGAAGCTACAACCACCGAACTCCGTGGTGAATGCTTCACTGCATTGCTCGTAGGTGATCTCCTTCTCCGCTTGGCCGTCGCGGACTTCAATAGCCCAATCGATATGGTTATATCCACCCTCGGGAGGCTCCACACAGTTTGGATTGCAACCAAGGAGACAAGTCCACCGATATTTCTCGTCAAGTGCACCGCACAAATCATCATTGCAACTGGAATAGCAGTCCGGATTGGGCACCATGTTTCTGTCCCAGTTGGTGCACAGCCAGAAAGGCACAGAAGGTCTGATGACTTTGCCGGCTGCCAGGCTGCAGGTTGTATGAATGTCGTTTTTGACCTCTTCCGTCCGGTCACTACTTCTAGGGTCGCCGTGGAGCCCATTGAAGCCCAAACCTCCCGTGTAGCAACCCAAGGCCTTGGCAGACTGGATATAGGCGATAATGACTGCCAGAGAGGTCGGCATGATGTTGGCAAAGGACGGCATGTTGAATAATGACAAGACTGTATCGTGATAGGGGCGCGAGGTTTGTAATTGAACGTATAAATAAGCGGGTTTGAGAACAGAGGTTCAAGCCTTCCATACAATCAACCATGGCACCTTGTATACCTAGTACCATTTTCAATGCATTTTGCCCCTCTCGCAACTGCTATATATCGGATATCCGTGTCCAATGGACATATGTAGCGACATGGTACTCAATCCTGAATTTCTAAGCGTAGCATTGACAGTCCATTGCCATTTGTATATTCTGACCCTTTGAGTTGTCTATCGGTCAGATTACCAATGAGATCCCATGGATCTATAGGAATTCTAGGATGCTGCTACATTAGTAGAACAGTGTGAAATTAATAGAGGAAGGTCTGACGTGAGGTAAGGTAACATTCATGTCTAATTATGCTTCATCCTCTTTTTTAATTTCTCGCCTTGATCGCCATGTCCGTTGGATACGGAACAGACTGAGGGCCAACGGATCCCATCGCCGTGCTACCTTTATAGCTAAAATACATCAAGACAAATGGCCTGTTCAGGACACCGTCGTAAGGTAGATTAGACTTCGGTGCTTGCCGGAAAGGAAAACAGAAACTGGTGCGTAACCTGATAGTAGCTGCTTTCTCGAAGCTCATGCTCTCCGGTTCACGCATCAAGGTCACACCTTTGGCAACAATGTATTCCACAAAGGCGCCACCCACTGGCCTCTGAAGCAGCCACTGGGCCATCGCCAGCGTGAAAACACTTCTGTCATGGTAGACCCTCTTCCAATTGCGGTGGTGCAAAAGGCGGCATGCTTCCAATCCCTTGGATTGAGCGGAAATGAGACAGGACGGGCGAGAAGACAGTTCGGTTGCAATTTAGGTTGAAATCCGTTTATGACTAGGCCCGGGTTGCTACTCGCTTGTTTATTAGTAATCTCCGGCGGCTTTGTGAATACCTCGTCGGGGCTGACGTAGTTTATGGTCTGCACACTACACTAAACGTCTGATTGTCAGTCTAGTGGACTTACTCATGTTAGAGTGTTGCATTTCAGAACTATGCCACCTCCACCCGGAGGCCGAGGGGATGCGAAGGCCGAGTACCAAGATTCAGAATAAAGAGATTTAACTTCTCTGTCCCGTAGTTGTATTATGGTACTGATGGCGGTTCCTTTCGTGCTGCAACTAGCGGAGATGAGACCGCCTTGGAACAATGGGTTATCAAATGTATCCCAAACTCGACAGGGCGTGAAATCAATCATTGCAGGGTCTTCGCCTTGAGCTGAGTGTTGATTTGCATGTGACCGACGTCATCGTCATCTCCGGCCTTTCCCTCTACTCATGTATCCCGAGGAACATTGCGGCCGGACCCTACGGTGATTATGATAAAGTTGACAAGCATTCATATTGATGGAGCTCGAAGAACAACAGCTATTAAAACATCCCGCTCAGATCTCGGATCACACGGTGTATCAAGACTTGGTTAATGTGCCGTTGAACCCAAAAATAGACCAATGGGAGAATTGGTAGATCTGGGGCTTGAAGGTCCTGAACTAGGTAGTTTGCAGCGCCGCAATTTTCAATTGATCCAATGTACCTTTGTCAGTTCGCTAGAGGTTAATTCTTTTATCCAAAGATTGCCGTAGCAATATGCCGTGTGGTATAGTACAGATAAATGCTTGTCAATGCAGGTGAGCACAGGTGAGACAATAAGCTTTCATATTCAAGATTGATCGTCTGCATGATGACAAATGTTGTATAGATCGGACTCGATAACCACCGATTCCCGGATTTTACCAGTTCTGATAACAAGTCCTCGTGGATTTATCAAGAAGTGGCCCCACTTCCGAGCACAGATTCGCAGGTTAAGACACTTGGGATTTAACTTTCCGCGGACTCGAACTCCATGGAGAGTGGGAGACCATCTGACATCCGCACTGCCCAATTGTTACTGAACGATGTACTACGTGCTGTAGCCAATATTGTAACTTCGAGTGCTGGTACTTAGATATCTAGGACATTGGACCTTGCAAGGATGGTTTTTGAGTTTTATTGATAGTCATATTATATCCCTTTAACTGTCCACTGTGTTGCTTACTCTGCGCTTCCTACCTCGCATCCACAACACAGCAATTACCTGGCGGGTATCACGCGTAACACTCACTTTATTAAACAAAGAGTAGAGGCCTGCGACTCAAAAGTGTGAGCCAGCATATCCAAATTCAGCGACAACTTTCTAACTCTACAAGTCCACGCTCGAAGCAACAATGGCAGAGTCCGACGAGAAGCCTCGGCCCGACGACGCCGAAGGCACGAAGACGAAAGCGCTCTCACACTGGCGGCTAGTCATCGATCAGGCCGGCGTCACGCCCGAGGTCCTTGCCTACAACTATCAAGGGTCCGGTACCGAACAAGACCCTTTTGTGGTCCAATGGATCCCAAATGACCCAAGAAATCCCCAGCAATGGAAAGACTCTAAGAAGTGGTATATAACATTGGCCGTTTCGTTTGCCACATTGGCTATCAGTCTGATATCATCGGCATATACAGGAGGCATAAAACAGATCATCCGAGACTTCCATCTCAGCCAGGAGGTAGCAACTTTGGGCGTCTCTCTATTTGTCCTTGGTTTTGCTCTCGGGCCTTTGCTGTGGGCACCACTTAGCGAGATCTTTGGCCGCCAGCTGCTGTTCATTGGAACCTACGCTGGCCTTACCATCTTCAATGCAGCCTGTGCTGGTGCTCCCAATGGGGCTTCATTACTTGTCTTTCGGTTTCTAGCTGGTTCCTTTGGCTCTTCTCCCTTAACAAATGCTGGCGGAGCTGTAGCCGATATGTTTCCATCCCATCAGCGAGGTTTGGCGATGACGCTCTTTGTGGCTGGGCCATCGCTTGGTCCGGTGTTGGGCCCGATATGTGGTGGATTCCTTGGTGAGAATGCTAGCTGGCGTTGGGTGATGGGATTCCTTGCCATCTTCGCTGGGGTTACGTGGATCGGAGGAACCATCCTTATCCCAGAAACCTATGCCCCGACTTTGCTTAAGCGCCGGGCTGCCAAGCTGTCTAGCATGACCGGAAAAGTGTATACCAGCAACATTGAGTTGAAACAGGGCAAGGTTTCGTTGCGCAGTGCTATTAGCACCTCCTTACTGCGGCCGTGGATTCTACTCTTCAAGGAACCCATCGTTCTCCTGTTATCGATCTATATGGCGATTGTCTACGGTACCCTCTACTTATTCTTCGCCGCGTTTCCAGTCGTTTTTGAGAGAGCTCGGGGTTGGAGTCAGGGTATGGAAGGTTTAGCATTTCTGGCCATAGCTGTGGGCATGGTGATTGCTCTGATTTATACCATCCCTGACAACAAGCGTTATGTTCTTCTCGATCAAAAGCACAACGGATTTGCACCACCAGAAGCCCGGCTCCGACCAGCAATAGTTGGCTCCTTTGCTATTCCAGTGGGGTTGTTTTGGTTCGCTTGGACTAATTCCCCATCCATTCATTGGATCGTCTGCATCATGGCTGGTGCTCCTTTTGGCTTTGGTCTAATTCTAATGTTTCTAAGCATTATGAATTATCTGGTCGATGCATATACAATCTTTGCTGCTTCGGTTCTTGCTGCCAATTCCGTCCTACGCTCCTTGTTTGGCGCGGCCTTTCCGCTCTTTACAGTACAGATGTATGATAACTTGGGCCTGCATTGGGCATCAAGCATCCCAGCATTCCTGGCATTGGTCTGCGTTCCGTTTCCCTACCTGTTCTACATATATGGAGCGCGCATCCGGACTCATTGCAAATTTGCAGCTGAATCGGACGCGTTTATGCAAAGTTTAAAGCAGGCCCAGGATCACCAGCAACGGGACCAAGAGGACCAAGATAATACTACCGAGGACGAGCTTACAGTTATTGATGAAGGAGTGATCAGTTCAAGTCAGAGACGAGCATCTTCAGTCCATGGTCCATCTTCACTATATGACGGCAATCCCTATGATATTGATCGTGTTCACACTAGAAATTCATTCTCTTAGCCTTTTAGGAAACCCAACTTAGCTCAGCTTTAATTAGACTTCAGCACTAGAACCCACGTACTTAATATTTAATTCGGTTCCCTCTTATAAATACCTATAACTTGTTTAGATCCATCTCGCCGAGATATCTAACTGGCTTACTGAATGAAGTTGGGAATTTACGACCTAAGTTCAGTATCAACAGTGGGTGCGCAAAAGTTCTGACAATTTAACTATTTTACACTAAAAGTTACCTATTTTAAGCTTTAATTTAAAATACTTAAAAAATAGATATAATTTAACTAAAATAGATATTATATATTATTTTATAAGCTATTTAAGCTATATATTTTATTTCTTATTTTTATATATAATTTTAAAAGATATAGCCTTTTAAAGTTAAAAAGGTTAAAAAATGTTAAAAAAATCAGCAATTTTACAGAAAAAACCTAAATAAAATAACTTTTATACTATTTGAT